TTCTCATATCATAGTAATGGATATTGGTTGAGGCGTCCCCCAACATCGTCTTTAAGACGAATCCTTTCATGAATGAGATATGTAATATAATGAGATCAGTATGATGCTACTAGCGCTAGTAGACTTTAATTGAACGGTATTCACACCACTTATAAGGGTGTTAATCATTCGAACCAACATATATATCTCCCCCTCTTATATGTATAAAGTATAATTGGTTAGCTGTGTACCATAATCATTTTTCACCCATTTAGGGATTCACGATGCAATCACAATGTTAAATTTGTCCTTCGAGGACATTCGTTTATTAAGCCTTTCATGGGAAAAAATGTGTCCTTCTTAGACATTTTCTCATGCACTCATTTGCAACATATATTATAATTTCAAGTTGCTATTTGTAGATAAATGCATCTAGCATTTTACACATTTAAATTGTTGCAAATGATTTCTTTTTTCTTTTGTGCTTAAATATTTCCATGCACAAATGTGAATGAGACAAAGATCATTTCATATAATTCACGCCGTTATACAAGAACCGGCTTCTTATCTCCCCCTTAACGGCGGGAATATTGTCTCATTAAAATGACAATTGGCAATGTATGCCATATAAATATCTCCCATTAGGGGTGCAAAATATTGCATAGCATAAATTATAAATAAACCATGTGATATAGTTGTTATCTAGATGAGAGTAACTATATTTGAGAATCTAACAGGTTCGGTACACAAATGACCAAATTTCAGAATTTTAAAAATTCAGGGACCAAACTGTAAAATTTGAAAATTTAGGGACCAAACTGCAAAATTTGAAAACTTCAGGGATAAGACTGAAATTTTAAAAACTTCGGTGAAAACTGGAAATGCTGAAATATATTCATAATTTCAGATGATGAAAGGAACGAGCTGCATATTCTAAAAAAAATATTTGGATTGAATCGTAAAATTTTTGAATCCGGCGGACTAAAATGAAAATTTTGAAAAGTTTGAGGAGTAAACTTTAAATTTTGAAAAATCAGAATATGCAGAGGGTTTGGAATTTTAACAAGAAAATCAGATCCCCCTTTTTTTCGTTTGGTTTGAAATTTCATCTCATCTCATCTAGACCAATTATAAAAAAATCATATACATACCTCCATATGTATTTGGAATGAAATTTACAACTTTAATTGAATTGGTCAATGTCGTGACTCCAAAATCACGCAATTTCTTTTGATTTTGTGTTGGTGCTTGATAAAGCTTATCAACATGCTTTATCGTAAAATGGAAATATTTCTCATCTCTCTTCCACTTGTAATGATGAGAAAATTTATAATGAATAAACTTTGAGCACCATGATAGCTTTTCATGTCAACATATCTCTTTGATTTTTTTTTCTATTGTTGTTTTCACTTTCAAAGAATAACAACAATTGAACGAGTTTAATATTAGCTCACAACTCGTATTATAGTACGATATGCTATTAAAAATCTTTATTTTGCTATTACTAGTGCAACTTGAATTTTTATGTTGTCACTTCATGATCATAATATAGATCCATAAATTAGAGAATATTTTCTCTTACAATTCTCCCTTATATGTATCTTCAAGACACATATATCGAAATATTTTTCTTGTCGTTTTCAAAACAACAAAGTCAAGATTTGAAGAGAGCAAATTATAGAGAGGATCACATATCTATCTCTCTTTTTCTTCATAAGTAACTAGATGTAATGTTACTTTTACTTGTGTGTTCAAGACACGTCCCCAATTAAGTACTCGTTTCTTGAAAATGAAACAATAATATTTTGCTTGGTGTCTTCTAGACACATTTTCATTAAGAAATATTTGGCTTGTGTCCTCAAGGCATATAGTAATAACACAAACATTTTGTGATATCATGAGACATAAATGGATCTTTAACTTCAATGATCCAAATTTTATAGTTATGTTCATTCTTGAACTATCATAGATAATTTTAAACTTCATGATATTTTTGATATCATTGTATCACAAATGAATACTCATTTTGAGTACATATATACCATTCAAATATCAAGGATTGAGTTTTATACCTTGAATTTATGTACTTGATTTGGGGTCTTAAGCCCTATAATTGGTACTTAATCATAAAATAATAGTATCTTGAGTGGAAAATACTTATTAACTCAAATATTCAATATTGATTATCATCACTTAGACCTTGAGTCTAATGTATTCAATTGAGACTTATAGTCTTCAAATTTATTCTAGGCCTCAAGCCTTTATATTTGATGTTCCTCCACATAAGCTTTCAAGCTTTCATATTTAAACTAGGCTTTAATTTGAGCCTAAACTTTATGAACTTCGAGTTTTTTTTTTCGAGTGATGGAGCTTTTCAAGTCGCATAAATTAGAGAGCAAGTGGCTTTTGTTTTTTAATATATCACTCAAATCTTCGAGTCACTTGATTGCACGTGCTCGATTTGGGCCTCAAGCCTCAATATATAATAAAAATCGTTATAATACAACATTCAAATATTCGAGTCACTTGATTGCACGTGCTCGATTTGGGCCTCAATATATAATAAAATTGTTATAGTACATTGATCATGAACGAATAATACTATAAATGGGGAATACCCTCTAACTCAATTGTTCAAAAGTCTTATCATTTAGACTTAAAGTACTATGAATGAGAAATACATATCAACTCAAATCTTAAGTTTGAGTATTATTATCACATAAACTTTGAGTCTATCATATTCTATTGAGACTTATAGTCTCAAAATGTGATCTAGGCTTCAAGCCATAAATTGATTATGATCAATTATCAATTTTCTCATTTCAATATTTTGTGGACTTGAAAAATGTCCACAAATGACAAATTTGTCATGTCTGAGTAATTTGCTTGTATCTCTCTCATTCGAGATCCAATTTCAACGCTTCAACATGCTGTGAACAGCCAACAGAAAGTTCTACAACTTTCGTATTTTACATTTTATCAAATTCGGACAATATCAGGTCCGAAACGGGACTCAAGGTCTTGAAAAATGACCACAAATGACAGATCTGGCATGTCTGAGTATTTTAAGCATATCTCTCTTGTTCGAGATCCGATTTTGATGATTCAAAATGTTCCGAACAGCCAATAGAAAATGCTACAAGTTTCGTATTTTGCATTTTCTGAAATTCGGATATTATCATATCCAAAACAGACATAGAAGTACAGACTCGTGAATTGCACGAAAAATCACCTACAACAAAAGTAAGATGGTTAATATTTTATCAATTCAAAACAAGAATAAAATATTTAAAATCAACTCCCTTTCATCTTCTGCTAAGGAGTCATCTTCCTTGGACCATCTTCACTCGAAAATTTAGGTAGAACAATCGTGCTGATAACGTGTTATAAAACAAGAGAAAAACAAGAAGAGAACAAGTGTGTGTATGTATTGTATTCTTATTCAAGTGTATATCAAATCCATACAATGGTGTCCCTTTTATAGTACAAGAAGACCATTCAAAAGGTCATGAGTTACAAGAGAATGAATAGCCTTAACATCCACCATTATCACCTCTAATTACACACACTAATGATTTTGTAACTCCCATAGACATCCACCATAGGTTACATAATAAAAAGTATGCTTTTTTTTCTTTTTTCTCTCAGAATGAATATCAATAATTTAAAATGAAGCTGTATTGTTGGCTTGTTGATGTGAAATAGTAATTATTTAGTTTATTTTATTTTTTTTGTTATTCACACTATTGGTATATTCGGTTGATTTATTCTCCGACGAAACACACACAGGTGTAGTGTAGCGATCCTCACCATTCCTAACCACTAATAAAATAAATACGTAGACAATTATCTTTGAAGGCATGTATGTATGTGACTTATTATTTCAACAAGTATTTAAGTGGCCACGCGAATCCAATTTAATTATTTATTTTCCTCAAAAGCTCCCTTCTCCGCAGCCCCTCCCCAACAAACAAAGGTACACACTCACTGAATTTTGGTCTCTTCTAATCTTGCCTGTTTTCAGTATTCCGTATTTATTTCAACTAATCAATAAGCTAAATTTGCTAATCTATTAAGTTTTTTATGAGCAGTCCCAATACGGCAAATATCTGCACTGTAGCGCGAGTTTGAATGTGATTTCCCCGCTCGGATTTCTCTTTTCTTTTTTTTTTAATTTTTATTTTGTGGGTTCAACAAGAACTGTTCGAATCTTAAAAATGAGGAATTGATGTCTTTTCGATTTTTATTTGCATGCGTCTGAACTTGTTACTTACATTATTCTTAAGGGGCAATTTATGTTATGGATCATAATACATTTTTTAAGATCTGAAATTGTGTTCTTTTATCAGCATGATTTCCTTCTTATATGCCTTGTTATGATGAAAGACGCATGCTTGCATCTGGATCTGACCCTTGATATTTGATTTATTCTGATTAGGCCTGATTTCATCAGGTAATTTGCAGTGAGTTGAAACATTCTGGTAATTTTGCACCATGATAATCTTTTGTTTTGATTGTATTGTTTCCGGCTCCAAAGACTTCATTTTGATAATTCTAGATTCTACTTTCCACCAACACTCTAATTATGTGGCAGCCTTCCATAAACAATTTTCGTTCAAGGCATACTTCAAATATTTTAATTTAGTAATGGGTTAGTGAATCCTCAAATTGCTAATAACCTATTGATGGACTGTATTTATTATTATATGAATAATACATTGATTCAACTAATTAGATTTTTATACACTTGTGCATATTTCTTGGCTGATTTGTTCGTCCTAATATGGTTTCAGACTTGACAGCCAGATCTTCATGAATTCTAAAACCACAGTGGCATCTACAGTTTCCTGCAACTCGGGAAACAAGGACGACTTCTTTTTCTGGAATCTTGTTTGCTTGCTTTTGAACTACCTCAAAACTCCTAAATTGCACGTAGTTGTTTCTTTGGTTAAGGCGATCCCGTAGTTGTTTTGCAACTTGGAAGGGATTCACTTGTAGTGGTGATTGATAATCACCTATCTGCATCCCCAATTAGTTTTTGCCAGCATGGTTTCTTCTCGGCTACTTTCTTCTCAAGGGAAAGATCGCACCTCCAAGACTATCCAGGGCCAGTTTTTGTTTCCCGTCAATCCTCCAGATGTTGTTTCTTCGGAACAGGTTGAGTTAGACTTCTCTGATGTGTTTGGTCCTCCACCAATTCAACCCTCAAATAATGGAAATGGTGGAGATACAAATGAGCTTGTATATGATGACCCGGAGGTCATTCACAACCGTTCCCATTCTCTAGTTGGTCCTTCTGTTTGTGTAAGTCAATCTCTGAGGCTCAGTGGCCTAACTATACATGAGAATGAAGATCGTTTGGAACTAGTAGAAGGTGTAGTGAACGTTACAGTTAAAGATGAGGACTTATCCGGGGATGATTCTGTTTCTGAGAATTGTCATAATTTGTCGACAAACCAATCTGTGGGCCTTGAGGATTTTGAGGTTTTGAAAGTTGTTGGACAAGGTGCATTTGGAAAAGTATATCAGGTGAGAAAGAGGGGCTCGTCCGAAGTATATGCTATGAAGGTCATGAGGAAGGATAAGATTATGGAGAAAAACCATGCTGAATACATGAAAGCAGAGAGGGATATCTTGACAAAAATCGATCATCCCTTTATTGTGCCACTGAGATATTCCTTCCAGGTGCACTTTTAGGAAACAATCTACAAATTCAAGTAGTTAGCTCCTTTCAGTAATGTAACTTTGTCTCTTATCTAATATGCAGACAAAATATAGGCTTTACCTTGTGCTCGACTTTGTTAATGGCGGGCACCTGTTCTTTCAGCTTTATCATCATGGCCTCTTCAGGTATTTCTTTTGGTCGTGCTCTGGATATTTTCTCTGATATTGGTGATTTAGTGGATAAGTTCGTTTTATACAATGCAGAGAGGAACTAGCACGTATCTACACAGCAGAAATCATTTCAGCAGTATCGCACCTTCATGCTAATGGAATAATGCACAGGGATCTCAAACCTGAGAACATCTTACTGGATGCAGAGGGCCATGTATTATAATCTTTATAATCCATCTTATGAATTTGTGTTTTAATTTATCTAATTATAATACTGAATTATCATTTATGTTGTTAGGCCATGCTAACTGACTTTGGATTGGCAAAAGAGTTGGAAAAGAATGGAAGATCAAATTCCATGTGCGGAACTGTAGAATATATGTCGCCGGAAATTATACTTGGGAAGGGTCATGACAAGGCTGCTGATTGGTGGAGTGTAGGAATTTTGTTGTTTGAGATGCTTACTGGGAAGGTTAGCATTCGCAATTACTTTAAGTTCTACATTGATACATATACTGCAAAGAGGCAAGTTATCTGAACATAACTGCTTCTATTTTCCTGTGACTAAGTATTGTTTGTTCTTTTGACAGCCCCCTTTTATTGGTGGAAATAGAGACAAAATTCAGCAAAAGATAGTTAAAGACAAGATGAAGCTGCCGGCATTTCTAACAAGTGAAGCACATTCTCTATTAAAAGGGGTAGTCCTCGACATCCTTCATCTATTTTTTACTGAAACTTGACATGATAATGTTTTGTATAAAAAGATAATCTTTGAAATGACTGTATTTGTGTCAACAATGTAGCTACTGCAAAAGGAACCAAGTAAGCGGTTGGGGAGTGGGACAAATGGAAGTGATGAAGTAAAGAGCCATAAATGGTTCAAGTCAATCAACTGGAAGAAATTGGAGGCGAGAGCTGTGCTACCAAGTTTCCGGCCTGAAATCGATGGAGACCACTGTATCGCCAACTTTGATAAGCATTTTACAGAAATGCCATTGTCGGATTCTCCAGTTTCCAGCCCTAAAATCACTGAAAATCTCTTCTTGGGTTTCACCTATGTGAGGCCTGCTTCTGATTTTCTCAGAAGAAACAGTCCCTTGTGCCAGGATGGCTTTGATTCATAAACTTTTTGTGGTTGTACTACTACTGCCTGTTATTTAATTGTACCCTGAGATGGTTTAATTATCTTGACATAATTTATTTTGTTATTGTATGGTTTTCTTAATTATTCAGAACAAAATTCAGCCAAAGAAGTCCACATGTATATTTTGTTTTTAAACTAATTATTCTGAAATAACGTTTAATTATTTTAATTTAAAATCTGCACTAAAGTGAACATGCAATTTCAAAGTTAGAATCTTGAGAGCTAAAATTTGAGCAAATTGTGCTGCATCGTTGTTTCCGTTCAATCCACATATTCATGGAGTTGAGGATAACCTCGGATTGACACGTGGAAGAAGTCCCTCCTCTGCTGACAAAGCTTCTTCCTCCTCTCAGCTCTCCAATAAAAGAAAAAAAAAAACAGGGGAAACAAAAGTAGGTGGCGGTGGCGGTGGCGCCACTGATTTATCAAATTCATGGCCTCTCTCTTATCTCCCACTGCAACTACATTTCATCAAGACCCTAAACCCATTAAATTCCCCCCCTCAAAACACATATCTAATGGTTTCCTTTGTTTCAAAAAGAATTCTGTCAGGTGCAATGCATTCTTGAACGATATTTCCGACAATCTTCTGAACAATTCCATTCATCTGGACCAGTCGTTGCTCCAATATCCACCTATCCAGCAGCTCCAGATAGCCGCTGATGAACTCCCACAAGTTCAAAAATGGGGTTTCTTGATTTTCTCCGGTGTTCTTTGGATTTACTTAACTGCTAGGCCTGGTGTTCTCATTGGGGCAATTGATGCGTATATATTGGCTCCTCTGCAACTGGGCTTGGACACTTTGATCGGGAGAAGGAGTTTGAAGAGAACCGATTTCTTGATCGGTGATGTTTTGGGTGAAGGTTCTTTCGGTATTGTTTATTCTGGTGTCATTGTTCCAAAAAATGTAGTTGTTGATGAAACTTTTCGGAGAAAAGGAAATCGAAGAGGCCGCCAATTGGATGAAAGGTTTAAAGATAAAGTTATCCTCAAGAAGGTATACTAATAATTTTCATGTGCTGCACTCACTCATTTATCTTTTTTTCTACTTTAACTATGTCTATTTGCAGGTCAAAATTGGAGTACAAGGGGCTGCTGAGTGTGCAGAATTCGAAGAGTGGTTTAATTACAGGCTATCGAGAGCAGCTCCCGAGACTTGTGCTGATTTTCTTGGAAGTTTTGTGGCTGATAAAACCAATACTCAATTCACAAAGGGTGAGAAATGGCTCGTCTGGAAATACGAGGTAACTCTTGATTTAGTGATATGTGTGTTGTGTTTGATATACTTTCAATAGCTGCATTAAATTCAGAAGCAAAGCTTCGTGCAGGGAGATTTAGACCTGGACGACTACATCAAAGATCGAAGCTTTCCTTTGAACTTGGAGTCTGTCATGTTCGGGCGTGTTCTAAAAGGCCTAGAATCCGTCGAGCGTAACGCACTAATCATCAAGCAGATAATGCGTCAGATTATTACTTCCCTCAAGAAAATCCACAACACGGGTATTGTTCACCGAGATGTAAAGCCATCGAACTTGGTAGTCACCAAAAAGGGCAAAATCAAACTAATCGACTTTGGTGCTGCAACAGACCTTCGCATAGGCAAGAACTATGTGCCAGATCGTGGCTTGCTCGACCCTGACTATTGCCCACCTGAACTCTATGTAATGCCTGAGGAAACTCCAATTCCACCCCCTGAGCCAATTGCTGCCATTCTTTCTCCTGTCTTGTGGCAGGTATAAATAGTAAAAAAAATACCAACACCTCTATTTTGATATGTTGACAAAAGATGTATTTAGTGAACTGAGTAGACTGCATTTACGTTTGGTTGTTGCAGCTAAACAGTCCAGATCTTTTTGATATGTACTCTGCTGGAATAGTACTCCTGCAAATGGCTATACCAACATTGAGATCTAGTGCAGGGCTGAAGAATTTCAATACAGAACTGAAGGGATTTGGTTATGATTTGAATAGATGGAGAGAGAAAACACGAACGAGGCCTGATCTCAGTATTCTTGATCTTGATTCGGGTAGAGGGTGGGATTTGGCCACAAAACTTATCTCCGAGAGAGGTTTCTTGAAAAGGGGGAGATTATCTGCTGCTGCTGCTTTGAGGCATCCTTATTTTTTGCTAGGTACTGATCAAGCTGCTTCTGTTATCTCCAAATTCAATTTTATCAAGCAGTGATCAGGATTATTATACGACATGTGAGTGTAAAACTTCTTCTTCTTCACTGTATTCGAGTTTTCATTCTTTACTCAAAGTAGTATAAAATGCTGAAGATATAAATACTGGATAAATAGTAATATTATTATCTAAATTTATTCATGAGTTTGTTGTTAATAATACATAAGAGGCATAGCTAATTGCATTATCAAAGCTCGTTGTGGTAGAGTGAGTTATGCATAAGATGCTTCTTCTTACAACCCCATCGGCAGTTCCAAGAACACAAGGAATTGAAGGTGTTTAGCCTGTTGGACTGAATAGATATGATATTCGAAGTCGAGGGAGACTTGGAGAGAACAACAGCATATCCATCGTCCATGTAATCTGTACCTTCCGGAAACAGCTGCCACAAGAGGGTCCCGCCTCCACCGCCTCCTCTCTTGGTAGAGTTCAAGACGGTGTTGTACACTGTGCTTATGAGGGTGTTCCTAAAAGTTATAGTGTAGTTTGGATCTTTTGTGGAGACTCCAAATTCTGAAAACACAACTGGCATTCCTAGGAAATTCTCAGCATCGTCGATGTGGGATTGTATCCACGATTTTGTGAATGCAACTTGTGCTTCCGCCGTTGGTTGAGATATCCTTTAGACAAATTGTGAAGGTACTAGTTAGACAGAGAGAGAGAGATCTAGAGAGAGATGTAGAGAGAGAGAGATGTATAGAGAGAGAGAGAGAGTCCTGACCAAGAATCAGGATAGATGTGAACAGAAGCAAAATCAACCCCAAGAACTTGATGATTGCGGATAAAATCAGTGCCAACTTGTTGAGCATAAGTGTTGGGGTTATTTTGAAGTTTATTAGGAGTAGAAGGACCATAGAAACCTTCAAGGCCAATCTCCACCAAATGCTTTGGATCAATGCTTTTCACATAAACTGCCATTTCTTCAATCCAATTCTACAAATAAAAACGTATGTTATTTATTTGTAATTGATTTAAGTTAATTATTTGGTTGTTGTGGGTTTAATAACAAGACAGACCTGCAACTTATCTCCAGAGGGATCGGATTCACAGCGAGGCTCGTTCATCAGTTCCCAAGCGAAAATAGTAGGATCGTCTTTGTACGTTATATTTGTTACAGTATTCATTCTGTTTAGCACTGTCTGCAGAAGCCAAACACGAAAAGTGAAAAACGAGGGGAAGAAGAAGGCAAAGTATTACGTGTAAAAAGAAAACGAGAAAGCTGCTTACGTTAACATGGGACTTGTAATAGGATTTGATGGTTGGATGAGAAAAGAAATCATCATCAGAAGTTAAATTGAGGCCAGCAGCTTTACCCCATTTAACATACTGTGATTTGCCTCCATATGCTTCCCAGTTATTAACGAAGGATAATATCAACCTTATTTTGTACTTCTTAGCTTCACTCACGACGAAATCCAACGCCTGAAATCAAATAATTGTTATCATATTATTAGAGCCACACATGAATAGTAGTAATGTAGAGTGTTGTTAAGAGGAAAATGAACTAGTATGTATATACCTTAAAAACGTCTTCGTCGTAAAGGGAAGGGGATTTCTGAAGAGCTCGCCATTGGCCATCGTTGAAAGCCCACGTTCTGCAAACAGATAATCCAACAGAAGATGCCTGTTGAAATACCTCAGTCACTTTACCTCTGGTAGAAGCATCAACAGCAAAGACCATTAACCAGTAAGTGTTGAACCCGTTAACGTAAAATGGCTGGCCGTTGACTGTGAATTGGTTCCCGTTTTTCTGCACCATAGACCATGCATCTGCTTCCATCTCATCAATCCTACTGATTAAACAGAGTATTATGTATGTATGGTTAACTAGTAGTTGGAAAAGAAAAGGAGGAAAAAAGGTAAACACACTAAAAATAAATATAAATGGTATGTATACCTATTGGTTATGCCAGAAGATGATGGTAGATAATATCCAGAACCCTCCTCCCACTCGGAGGGATTGTTATTATTATTATTGTATATAGTATCAACGAGTAAACACGATACGTGGAGAAGAAGCATGGTCATGAGAATGAATGGTAAATAAATGGATATTTTAAAACTCATGTTTACGATCGAGTATTGACAGCGCAGAATGAATGAATATATGAGGATCGGAGAAGAAGAAGCAAGTATATATAATATATTGGAGGGTAAATAATGTTGGAGCTGCATTGCATTGCATTGCATGCCTTGGAAGCAAAGATGAAAATTTGATTTCTTCTCTTTAAATTTAATTTATATGGAAATGGTGGGATAGAGGAATGTGTTATAATGATTTTTACCTGCTCCCTCCAATAATAATTTATTTTCTTTAACTCCCGAATTCCGACGATTGATTGATGAACTCATAATGATCTACAGATTCCATAAACTATATATTATTATTATGAAAATAACAATGAACAGCAAATGAAATGATCAGGGTAGGGTTATTATTAATAGACATATATTGATAACAACATCTTCAAGCTATTTAATTAATACGAAAGTAAATATTTAATTAATACCACCAAAATAAAAATTGAGTGTAGATCATGTAAAAAGAAATAGATGAAATAAAAGCATGTAGTAGTACGTACCTGGCTAACAGTAGATGTGATAGTTGCGTTTCAGCTCCATCTTTTTCTGGTAATAATTCATTCATTCATTCATTCATGGAAGGAAAGGTTTAATGAATAATCATTATGTATAAAAGGATTCATGTTCTCCAGTCGGTTCTTGGCCTTCTGGATTAAACTGGATGCTGACGACACCGTTTGGTGGAACTGGAACTTGACTCCAAAAAAACAAACCCACATAATTTAAATTTTAAACGATGTTCTTCTAAATTCAATTCATCGTCCCAATAATATTAAATTGCAATTTTTTTTTTTATTATGGGCCTTCCTCTAAAGTTATTATCTTTATGGGCCTCCAACACACAAGGAATTTATACATATTATCAATAATTTACGCATCACAATCCTAATTGCTGTGCCACAGGTAATCCTTGTTAATTATGAACACCGCTTTTTTTATCAATTAAAATTCAAACTCCCCCCACTTTGTTTATATATATATATATATATCTGTTCCTCCTTTTCGTTGATGAGTCGGATGATTTTGATAAATCTGTTCCTCGATCAACAATATTCACGATCCTATTTCTCATCCATTTGCTTTTGACCTTTATTTTGAAACCCTAACTCAGCTGTTCGTTGATATAAGAAAATGTCGACGATTTATGTATCCGAGCCGGCGACGAAGGGTAAGGTGTTATTGACGACGTCGTATGGTCCGGTTGAAATCGAGCTCTGGCCCAAGGAGGCTCCTAAGGCCGTCCGAAACTTCGTGCAGCTGTGCCTCGAAAGTTACTATGACGGCACCGTTTTCCACCGCGTAATTAAATCCTTTCTCGTTCAAGGAGGTGATCCCACCGGCACCGGAGAAGGCGGTCAGAGTATATATCCCGGCGGTGTTTTTCCCGATGAATTTCATTCTCGTCTCAGATTCAACCACAGGGGTTTGGTAGCATGTGCCAACGCTGGCAGACCTAATTCGAATGGGAGCCAGTTCTTTATAACCCTCGATCGCTGTGAATGGCTTGACAAGAAGCATACTATTTTTGGTAAAGTAATTGGGGATTCAATGTATAATGTGTTAGGGTTAGGTGAATTAGAGACTGGTAAAGATGATAGGCCCACTCTGGATCCACTTCCCAAGATACTCTCAGTTGAGGTGTTATGGAATCCATTTGATGACATTGTCCCAAGGAGAATATTAATGCACCCAAACTTCGATTCCTCTGAGGAGAAAGAAACGGAGCAGAAGAAGAAGAAGAAGAAGAAGGTTACAAAAAAGTTGAACTTGCTTTCATTTGGAGAAGAAGCTGAAGAAGACGACAAGGAATTACTCGCCGTTGCTGTCAATACTAGAATAACAAGTAGTCGTGATGTTTTGAACGAAAACCATGATCAAGGCCAAAAAACAGAGGATGTGCAATTATTAATGGTGAAAGAAGATGAGGGTTATAAGTTTGATGCACCAAATAAGAAGGAGTGGGCTGATGCGCATGAACGTGTTATAGCATCTACAGTTGCTTGGAGAAAATTGTTGTCGATGAAAAAACGAATAGGGTCCGAATTCAGGGCAAAGCGCATGGCAGCTGATATTGCCCGTGATGCTGGTTTACAGTTGCTTGGAGATAGACAGATGCACAAGCAGAGGAAACGCATTCGTAAGGAGAATGAAGATGATGTTCTTGCCAAACTTGACAGATTCAAGTCAACCAAATTCCATGGATCAGATTGAATGGGACTTGACCTAAAGTTCAATCCGAATGGGGTTATTTTGAAGTTTATCTAGTGCATGAATGACCCCCCGACCCTCTTCTGGAAAAAAAAAATCTCTTACTTGAGAACTAATTTCAGTTTCTTACTATTAACATTTGGAAACAAAGGTTATGTTTTTTTGGAGTCAATTGACGATACACTATCATATCTGATTTCGATTGATTAACGTTTCGCTTGTTTACTGGAAATCGTTCGCCATTTCAGAACTACAATAACACTGCAGCCAAATGAAGTTTGTAGATATGTAAAATTAAATTAAGTAAAGCAGCAACAACAACCTTAACAAATCATCTGAAAGCAAGGTTGTGGTATAATCAGCCCATATATATGTATTATAATTGGGCCTATCAGTTAGCCCACTTCTTCCTGTTGTTATATATTATCTAATTATTGGGCCTTTGCTTTCCTATTTGCAGCAAAAGTTATTTACATAAATTCCCAATTCTATATGCTAGTCTGGTAGAGTAGCTAAAGTTATTTTATCACATTGAATTAATCCCCTAATTATGGAAAGAATATTATTAATACAGTGAACCCTAAACACCAAATACATTGAACTGATCGACATTTGAGATTGATAGTTTTCTTCATAAATAATAATTACAGTTGAGAGTGTAGTAGAGAATAGGTGAAGAACATGTAGAATGTTTTGCTTCTTCGAGAAATTTGTCATCTCTTGCCTATCATAAACTTCTTTAAATACCATATATATTTCCTATTTTAGAATGACAAAAATAAGCATTCAAATTTAAAATTTCAACTTTCAACCAATTGTCAATCCATAATGCACAATTATTATCATTCCGAGACAAATAAAACTAGTAGTATTTGATAAAAAAATAAAAAAATTGAAAATGTAATATTTGGGTAGTAATTAGGAAAGATGAATTTAATAAAAATGGGAGGGAGGGGGAGGCGATCATTTTCAGTGGTTCGTGGCGGGGTGCCAGCTTCGATGCACCGAATTTATAGTGGGACCCACCCCTAACGTGATTGCCTCCTTCTATCCTATTTTATTGTATTGTATTGCTAACTCTTATTTTAAAGGGTAAATTACAAACACCCCCTGAGGTATGGTCAAATTACAAAAACACCCTTCTTGTTTGGATAATTACAACCACCCCTCAGCTCTTAAAATTTAGTGGAATCTTCGAAATTATATGAAATATTATCACTTTTGTACCCGTTTTATACCATTCAAACTCTAGATTATGAAGTAAGATGATCATAATATGTGATTTTTAGCTTGTTTATATCAGTTTGTAGTGCATCGGAAACTGTATTTTTACACAAAATGAATACAAACTAGAGCACATTACACGGAATCTAGATGATTATATTGAATTTGGCACAATAAGGGTGGAGGTGCAAGAAAAAATCATAGTTGAGGGGGGTAGATGTAATTATCCAAACAAGAGGGGGTTTTTGTAATTTGACCATACCTCAGGGGGGTGTTTGTAATTTACCCTATTTTAAACTGTATTCAAGGAAATAAAGAAAATCTTAATATTAATATTAATTATGGGTCCACATCTTCTGGCGCATACTACTAACCTTTGTATTTTGTACAACTCATTCTCACCTATATTCACACACTTATGTCAAATATATATTTTATGTGGCAAAATGAAAGTGGAGCCACAAACGCGTTAACCAAAGCTACCTCCCACGCGTTCACTAAATATCTAATAAATAATAATAATATTATTATCGTTATTATTTTATTATTTTAAAATCACTTTCTTACTGAATAGAGATGGATCAATTTCAGAGTTTTATTTGACGCTGTCCTAAACATTGAACTTAGTCAAAGCATTTCATAAGTTTTAATACTAGTAATTCTTAATTGACATTTGATAATTTACTGTGCAGTGCAGAGGGCTTTTCGGTAATTCAACATTAGGTAATCAATAAATTAACTAGTTGATTATTGTCTAAACATTTTCTATTATTGTCCTGAAACTTGAGCAGATCATTGTATATTACCAGCTTAACCACTTCTTCCACCCTTTCCTTCTTTTAATTCTCTCTCTCTCTCTCTCTCTCTCTAAACTTCAACTCAAACTCGCTACCGTTTCCAATCACAAGCATTTCTCTGATCGGAAGTAATTAGCTTGGTATTATTTGAGCCTTTTTCTTTATTTATGTGCAAATGAAGTTTGCATATTCGGTGCTAAAGTGCTGATATCTTTGAGGTAATTATTCTTCTCTCTTAACTTGTTCATGTTCGAACTAGGATGAGTTTCTACTAATCCCTCGGAAATTATTGCTTTCTGAGCTGGGTTTTCGTGGATCTGATCAAAATTTCCCACAAGTCTTTGTTATGAGATAATTTCTTCGTTTATGCCCGTGCTTGTTGTTCAATTTGACCTTACTTTTTGATTCTGTACTCCATCAGATCTTCAAATAGCCCTAGTTTATGTTATTGAACTTGGATATGTGTGAATTAGTTAAGAGGCTTAAAATGGTGCATTGTTCTTGTCCATATTTTTCTTATATGTTTATACTTTCCTTTTGAGATTTCTGAGCACCTTTTTAGATCTGTTTATCTGACTTATATTCAGGTCACGGAATTCACACTGTTTCATTTCATTTTTTCCAGAACTTGAGTGGCTTTTTTTTTCTCTGGGATTATCAATCCCATCATCTATGAAGAAACTTTGGCTTATATCTGCTCTCAGTTTTCTGTTGGTGGTATTACTGGGGGTTGAAATAATATCAGCAGCTGATTATGTAGCAACGGATCAGTTTTTCTTGAACTGTGGAGGCCCCCCTGATTCCACCGATCCTGACGGTCGAAAATGGACATCAGATATCGGGTCAAAGTTCGCATTGTCTACAACCAAATCTTCAACTTCCCCAGCAGCTACCCAAAAGCCATCAGTCCCAGAAGTTCCTTACATGACCGCTCGAATTTTCCAATCCGAATTCACCTACAGTTTCCCTGTTGCCCCCGGCCGCAAATTTGTCCGTCTCTATTTCTATCCAGCGACCTATAATGGTTTAGAAGCTTCCAATGCTATCTTCTCGGTAACTTCCGGATCATTCACTCTCATGAAAAACTTCAGCGCCTCTCAAACAACCGAGGCTCTAAACTACGATTACATAATGAAGGAGTTCTCCATGAATATTCCGTCCGAAGTGTTGAATGTCACATTCACCCCTTCGCCCAACACATCCAACTCGTACGCATTTGTGAACGGCATAGAGGTCGTATCGCATCCCGATATTTACAGTACAGACGGGACCGTAAAAGTCGTCGGTCAGACTACTGGCTTCAATATCGACAACGGTACGGCACTCGAGAATGTCTACCGGCTGAATGTGGGCGGAAACGACATTTCACCCTCTCGCGATACAGGTCTCTTTAGATCGTGGCGCGACGATTCAAGCTATATATACGGTGCTGCAAATGGTGTTACGGAGGTTCCTGATTCGAATGTGACCGTTGGATACCCTTCTGGATCGCCGAGTTACATTGCCCCGATTGATGTGTACCGTACTTTGAGATCGATGGGTCCGACTACAGCCGTTAACCAGAACTACAATCTAACTTGGCAGTTTAATGTCGATACTGGCTTCTCGTACTTAGTTAGGCTCCACTTCTGTGAGATAACTGATGTTATTACTAAAGTGAACCAAAGAGTTTTTATTATCTTTATGGGTAATCAGACGGCGGAGAAGGAGGCAGATGTGATTGCTTGGGGCGGCGGCAAAAATGGGATTCCCATTCACAAGGATTATGTTGTCTTTGTTCCGACTGGGCCTCCACAGCAACTGCTTTGGCTTGCTTTGTATCCTAATATTGCATTGAAACCCCAGTACTATGATGCTATCTTGAATGGAGTTGAAATATTTAAAGTGAGCGACCCTCGTGGCAATCTTGCCGGTCCAAATCCGGACCCACTTCCTCCGGTACCGGTTGACACCTCGCCTCAGCAGTCCTCAAGCTCTGGTAAAAACCACAAAGCTATTATAGGAGGAGGTGTTGGTGGTGGGATCGCTGCAATTCTTCTTCTCGGTTTGTGCGTGTGTGTTATTTCCCGAAGGCAGATGCAAAAGAAGGATTCCAGCACGAGTGACGGTTGGCTGCCTCTGTCTCTGTACGGAAACTCGCATTCTTCGGGTTCCGCCAAGACAAACACCACCGGAAGCTACGCCTCAACCCTCCCGTCAAATCTCTGCCGCCACTTTTCAATCGCTGAGATCAAGGCCGCCACGAATAACTTCGACGAATCTCTCCTGCTCGGTGTCGGAGGCTTCGGCAAAGTCTACCGTGGAGAAATCGACAGCGGCACCAAGGTGGCAATCAAGCGTGGGAACCCACTCTCAGACCAGGGGGTGCACGAGTTCCAAACCGAGATCGAGATGCTGTCAAAACTTCGCCACCGTCACTTGGTCTCTCTCATAGGATACTGCGAGGAGAACTCCGAGATGATCCTTGTGTACGATTACATGGCTTACGGAACCCTTCGTGAGCATCTGTACAAGACCCAAAAGCCACCATTGCCATGGAAGCAGAGGCTCGAGATTTGCATAGGCGCAGCTCGTGGATTGCATTATCTCCACACCGGTGCTAAGCATACTATAATTCACCGCGATGTCAAGACCACTAACATCCTATTGGACGAGAAATGGGTAGCGAAAGTTTCCGATTTCGGCCTTTCGAAAACGGGGCCCGCGCTCGATCATACACATGTCAGCACAGTGGTGAAGGGTAGTTTCGGGTATTTGGACCCAGAGTACTTCAGGCGGCAGCAGCTCACGGAGAAATCGGACGTGTACTCGTATGGAGTTGTACTTTTCGAGATAATATGTGCTAGGCCAGCTTTGAACCCTACACTTCCTAAAGAACAAGTGAGCTTGGCGGAGTGGGCCCAGCACTGTCATAAGAAGGGAATACTGGAGCAGATGATGGATCCTTATCTGAAAGGAAAGATTGCACCAGAGTGTTTCAAGAAATTTGCCGAGACAGCGGTGAAGTGTGTGTCTGACGTAGGGACAGACAGGCCTTCCATGGGAGATGTTTTGTGGAACCTTGAGTTTGCTCTGCAGCTACAGGAGAGTGCAGAGGAAAGTGGAAAGGGGGTTCTTGGAGAAATGGACATTGAATCGTACGAGATTACAAGCAAGGGTGGGAAGAAGGATCCGGATTCTTCTTTGGGTTTTGATGGAAATATTACGGATTCGAAAAGCAGTGGAATGTCGATGAGTATTGGTGGCCGTAGCCTTGCAAGTGAAGACTCTGATGGGCTTACTCCAAGTGCTGTCTTTTCTCAGATAATGAATCCTAAAGGGAGGTAAAATCATATTACCTACATTTGTGTTTAAGTTCATCGGGTTCCTACTACAGACACAGACGATGAAGGAAGCCACCGTACCTTTTTAGTCCTATTAACCACGGCAAAAGTTTTTTTTTTTTTTTTTCCTTTTATTTATTCTTTTTACTTGAGTATTTTCTTTTGATGTGTTTTGCTGGAACCTTGTATAAGTTGTATTATACTCAAAGATGTGTGACAAATATTTGTTCTTTTGTTTGGTGCCTAATGCTTATATATATGAATTATGATATATTTCGAGTGCATTATGGTGCCATTAATTACTATTGGGGAAAACATATAGGAGCAGGTAAAAGGTTGAACAGTTGTTCAACTGAAAAGGATGGATTTGGCTGATATTCATAATTATATTACAAAGTCGATGTATGTATATATATATGGTAATGGTTGGTCGGCACCTTCTGTTGTGAATGATGAATCATTCATTCACATCCAGATAATATTATAATTAAAATTGACCTTTTTTTTTTTGTTCTTTCTTTCCTGGAAGGTGCTCTTACAAACGTGCTTACCTTGATGTTTAGAAGTATTCCTTTGGCTTCCGAATAATTTCAGACCGGCCAATACATTTGACCAGTTTAAATTATTATGGTCTTGGTCTAGATAAGATATTCAAATGTTCAAACCCATATAAAGTCAACCATTTCTCATCCTCTCATTCATCAGACAACATGCTACTGCAAAGTCTTCAGACATTACTACTTAAATGCTGGAAAAAAAAGGTAAATACTAGGAGGGAAGGGAAGACAAATATGGACTTCAACACAAGCAGAAAATCTTTAATTTGCAACACATTACATCGTTTAAGGAATTTAGGAGCTTCACTCGAGGTTTCTGGAACAAACAAATCCATGCAATAACGTCACTTAACTTTACAATTGTACACATATAATAGATAGACGGAGGTAAAATGCAAAGATCAAGTAGTAACACCGTCTGGCTCAAAACCGTAAAACTATGTCTCACATGGGTTCTCCGAATCTAGTATGGCAATCATCTTCTTCTGCAGTTCTGGCTTGTTGGCTCCAACGAGTTTGTCAACTTGTTGTCCGTCTTTAAGGAAGAAGAAGGTTGGGGTTGCTTTAATATCCCATGTTGTACTGAATTCCTGAAGCAAAGAACAATATCCATAAGCTTACTTCCGATAATGGAACTTAGTTTATGATCTCTCTCTTTTTTTTTTTGTTTTTGTTTTTTTTTTTAATTTGAATAGACAATGCAGAGTTACTTCTCAACAAGTCTTAATTTTGTCATTTCAGATTGATAAGAAGCAGAGTATCTTACAGTAAGTTCGTCGACGTCGACTGTCAGAAACATTAGTGAAGGGTGTTTCTCAGACAGCTCAACATAGAAAGGTGCAATCATTTTACAAGGGCCACACCATGCCGCGCTAAAATTGGCAACCACCTGACATGTAATAAATCCATGTTAGGAAGCAAAAAATTGTCTAAATTCGTAAAATATTCCATCTTAGAGCGAATTCTAGGAACCACAGGAGTGTACTGGAGTTATTTTGGGAGGTTAGATCTGGCATCAGTAATGTCGGCCAAGCCAATATTCTTCCACACACTCCACTCTTACTAGCATGAAGATGACAGGACCGGAAGTTAAAAACACTGGTGCATAGGGTGCAATAGCAAAAACAACCACAAGGTATAACTTTCCTCCGAATAATTACTGATACATGCAACACCCATAAGTCACATTTGTAGGTGGGAAGTAATGATGGAATTGGTGTCTATAGTATTCTAAGTGAGAAGTATTTGTGCTCGGAAGAAACAAAGTTGAAGTCCTTGGTGGAAGGGGTTGGAGGATTTTAGGGGGAAAAAGTACATCTTGGTAGATAGAGCCTTAAGTTATGGCCTTCCAAAAATGAAATGGCAAGTAATAAATACGATACATGTTGACTATGCAGTAATTGCACTTTTCTCAAATTTGCCTTTCGAGGATTAATGGAGGGACGATTACTGAGAAGGGTCGTTTAGTCATTTATATGTTTTATTCCCTATAATGCATGCATATCTATTAGTTTTCTTAATAAATGTGCACCGACCCCAAAACGTCAATTATTTTGGCACGAAGGGAGTAAAATTTAATCATAATCAATGTTAGTGTATCGGCTATAACATCTTTAAAGTACATTTCTTAGAAGAAGAAAAAGGTGACTTATAACTTTTGAAGTGAGAAAGGAGTAGAGATGTGGCAAGAGTGTATTAAGCATCATGAGATGAACTGAACATTTTGTTCTCTTCATTAGCATGTGACTCACTTTCGTATACCATCAATAATTTCTGATGTATGATGGATAGCTAATAAATCCATTTTGACTATCTGATAGCTAGGACTAGCAGCCAAAGTTGCATACTCACCACAAAGAATATCGTGGGAGAAGCGTCTTTAACAAATACGAGGTGCAAGAAGATTCAACCCATGCAGAGGAAAGAGACCTTGAATGCTACGTAAGTCATGTGATTGCAGAAAACAAAAGATTAAAAGTGTTTCCCTTTGTTTAAGAAATCCCAGTGAAGATTTACCTCGAGATATAGTAGTAGATGCAATTCTAATAGCAGAGAAGAGAACAACTCATTAGTGAGTGCATGTATTAGTAAGCATGTTGTAGCATAACACAATCTCAGGCTGACTACTACGATATGATTGAAATAATCACAGTGGATTAAAAACCTCAAATCATAAAGATTTCTATGATTAACATAAAAGAGGAAAAGTAAGCATGAAATAAATGCTTACGATCTTTCCGTCTCGTTTTGCTTCTGCCAGCTTTTGCTCCCAACTTTCCTTGGTTGTAATGAGTTGCACATTTCCACCAGCAAATTCGACATTATGATCAGAATCATCTCCATCACTAGTAGACTGCATCATAACAGAAGTAGTTTGATGAAGATAAACGGAAAGAATATCCAACTACAGCAAGCAAGTAAAAGCAAAAAGTAAAGGGGAAAGAAAAAAAAGAAGCTTGAAATTGGAGAACAAATGCATACCTTAGCTAAGCAGCTCCCCATCTTTATGTCTTATAGAAACTGAATGTCCACCCAAGACCAAAACACAACCTTTTTGTTAATCGCTAGATTTCTGTAACTATGGAGGGAAGGGGGGGAAAAAAAGGAATTATCAGACTAAAAATGAATTAAAAATACAGTAATTATGTGATCACAGATACGCATCGCAATTGACAAGTGGGATGAATAAGGCACAGGTTTGAGATCCATTAAAACTAAAAGATGCTATTTATCTGCCCAACAGAATAAATACCTTTAATTTGCGGCTGAAAATATTAGGTCGAGGAGGAATTGATAATCGAAAAAGAAAATATAGGTTGGAATGATTTAAGATTTGGGGGAAAAATATTGGTTGAATTGGGGCGGAATGAAATATATTGCGACGGCTGAGGGAGTGAAGGAGGGAGAAGATTCCGCCACCAATTTAACAACAATTTCTAGAAAGAGTAAGAATTGAAATAATACACCTCTCTCCCTCCTCCACGCAATTGGAATTGAAATTGGAATTGAAATAAGAATTGTATTGTATATGAATGGCCAACACAGGCAGGCATGTATGCGGCCCACACCCACGTTTGCCTTCCTTTGCTAACTTTGTACTTATGTGCCTTTAATAATCGCATCTTATGTTCCAAACCCACTATCATTCATTTAATTCAACATCTTTTATTAATTAATTAATTAATTAATCTCTCCCTGCCAATTCCTTTCACAAACTTGGTCTGAAAGATTTTTCTAGACATTCTGATTAGTGATTACGAAATGGAGTTGGCAGGTAAATGTGTATTCACCACGTGCATTAAACAATAATATCGTTCCCTCTTCCATCAACACAAGTTTGAATTTATTTCTTGTAAAATTCGTCAACTCTAGTAGATTACGAAACCAACCGCGTACTCAGTCAGCGTATTACTTTTTTTAATCAATTCCACAAAAACAGTTACCACATTCTAAATCATAAATGTTTTAAAGCAAATTGAAACAGCATACTTCATTTCATGCACATATATACATCATAAATATTCTATATTTATTTAAGGGAAAGGGCAGGTTTGGAGTATCATCACATAGCATAATACCAAGTCCAGCCACGGGCAGAGGACTCGTACTTGGCGGTGTCAGTCTTGCACATGTGGGATATCACAGGCTCAACTGCTTCACCAGCATTTGGATCAGTCAGCACAGCAACGAACAAATCGAGAACCGCACCTGCTTCATACGATAATTCAATTTCGTGTCCATTATTTCTTTATTAATTGAATACAGATTCCGTTCTTGCTTACTAAAACACTGATATACCAAATGTATTATTTCAGGGGCTAATAGTTAATGAAGGCAATATGAATAGAGGAGGGAAGACTTTGGTTATGTAGAGCATAAAATTGCATAACAATAAGACTCCTATACAGACGTACGATTCAGTTTCATCCATGAGTACTATTGAACTTCTAACTAATACACAACTCATAATTAAGTACAACATTTTTGAGGAATACACTAGGTTGCACTTCCAAAAACTTTTTAAGTCATCCAGGAAACCACACATAGTATCAACTTAAAGTAATGAAATAACATTACTCGACTAGACGTAACGTGCATTTCGTTGTAAGCATGTTTGTACAACAGGGATGAGGCTATAAGAAATATAAAAACCTCGCGAGATATTTATAATTCATTTGGTTTCCATCACTTCAGAAGATAAAAGAGACAAAAGCATGAACCTCGAGATTAAAAAGGAAAAAAAAAATTATACCGTCGAGATGGTAAGTGCAGGGGACCACTGTCTATTAAGAATATCAACACATGCGTCCATTAATACCGATATTCGGATGAAAAACCTTGGTCTTAAAAGGCAACCTAAGAATGAGACAATATTTTAATTCTCAAGATGGAAAAACATAACCAGAATTCTCAAGAGATGATAATTAACAGATCAACAATCACAAAGCACGAGCTTATATTATTAGTCTATAAATATTTCAGAAGCCCCATTTTTTTTCCGTGGAAGGATCCAATAAAATTAGCCTTTCAATAGGCTGCTGTATAAGAGCCATACTGTTAGGCATTAGCATATCTCGTCCAAGAATCATTTTGCTCAAGTGTTATTTGTGTCGGCGATATCCTCTTTAGTTGTTGGGTCACGGCTTAATGGATACAACTGCATCATTCATCAAGAATCCAGAATGCATAAACAACAAAGAGTTCAAAAAAGAAAAAAAGACCACCTTGGGGGGTTGAATGGATGATCATGACAGCAACATGTGGGATACACCTCCAGTGAAACAGGTCTTCAGCAACATGTAAAATCCATCTGTCATGGTGTCATCACATGAGACTGCATTCTATTTTAATAAGAAGATAATCACAAAAGGTATATCGAACAGAAGCACCGTCATAATCAGCAACAATTCACCAAACATATAGCACGGACAAGTTAATATTGGAGTTCCGAGACATACATAAGATCCACAAAAATTCAAAGTTTTATAATACAATGACTGACGCCTCTCTCTCTGTCAGTGTGTCATCCCATAGCATGTATATATATAATCATCATCATCATCATCATCAAATTTCACCTGTCAATCCTAACTGATGTCTAATGCAATCAAACAAAAAATTATAAACGATAAAGAGAAGCACCAAGTGGAAGTACCAGCAGCACTAGAGAGCAAGTAGGAGGGTCGATCCTTGAGGATACGCTTTGAAGCCCCATCACTTGAACGAGTCGATAAAAAAATTACCCCAACGCAGACAGTACACCTAAGCTGGAAAAATAATCAACAAATTTAGAAGAAAAAAACAATACCAAGTGAAAATAGAAAAGGAAAATCCCAGACACATTCTCATACCTACGAAGCTACACACATCGGTTCTAATAAGTAGGACAAGGCGCGTGTAACCAGGCCCCGCACCCCCTGAAGTTATTTTTAAACTATTCCATTTCCTGTATTTAAAGACGTTAATTTCCAATGAGAAAACCTCCTCAACTCCTCAGCACCCGGCACCCTCATTTTTACTTTCCTTTTTTTTCGCCCAAAAAAAGCTTTGTCCTGTTTTTTTTCTACATTTGTATAAGAAAATACATTTTTCTGAATTTTTTCCTAATATTTTGAAATTTTCCTAAATAAGAATTCTAATATTTTATAAAATTTTGAAGTTACTCAAAATTATAAATAATTTTCCTACACAAGAATTTTAATATTTTATAGAATTTTGAAGTTACTGAAATTATAAATAATTTTCATATAACTTCAAAACAGAGTCAATAATAAATTCCAAAAGGCTAGAATTTACCCACATTCTGATCTAATGTGACTACTCTTTTGAGAAACTTAAATCAAAATAAAAGGACTGAGATACATTAACTGGTTGGTTAATACTTAATAGCACCATAGAAAATTTAGGAATGGCAAATTTTACAAGACAAACAAAAACATCATGGGAATAAGATGCTAGAGGGAATCAAATAGATCCAAATTCAAAGTTTTATAATACAATGACTGTGACACTGACACCTCTCTCTCTATCCCATAGCATGTATCCGTGTCCAACCACGGGCATTGGACTCGTACTTGGCCCTGTCAGTCTTATACATGTTGCCTATCTCAGGTATAAGTGGTTCATCAGCATTTGGATTACTCAGCAACAAACAAATTGATACCAGCACCTGCAAGAGAAAAACAACGTTTATAAGGTCTTTTTATTATGTTCCGAAGTAGCCCATGTCTTGATAGAGTTGTGGAGCATGAATGAAGTTAAATTCTCTCTTACGAACCCTGTCTGTCACTTATTACTTGTTTTCGTTGGAAATAATCATGTTACATCCTCTATCTTTGCTGCCCAATGATTCTTGGATTGAACTGATGTTGTTCTCTTTTATGTTCTTGGTTTAAGGAAGGAACGAATCGGATAATCTAAGATGTATGGGTTGAGGTGGTGCATTTCTCGAACAAATAAAGAGGTATGAAAAAGGAGGTTCTGCTCTTGGTTAGGGGCATTAATTACCACAGGAGAATCTTCAATTCAAGCAGCAAAAGTAGAGTCTGACTGATCCTGGTAACTAGCTAGAAGAAGCCTAACCTAAATGCTTCATCTACAACGATGCATGTTCTCAAGCTTTCTGTTGCTGATTCTGTGAACTTCATTTCCAATATATGTGTTATTAAGTTTAATAGCCAACAAAAACATTGCATGTTAAAATCCGCTACAGTCAGAGCTGGAGCTGAAAATTTCATGCAAATTAAAAGAAAACAGGAAAGAAACAATTTCACCAATTCCCACTCTAAATTGGCTAGTGTTCCAAATTTATATGAAATTAAAGTGGTGTAATCCTAAGAGCCAACTAATATGGCCAAATTTCTGTAAACACTTGAAGCAGAAATACCTGTAATAGGTTAAGACAAGTGCACAATCTATTGTTATTTATAATGATTTAGTATATGTTTCTTCAAGTGTAGGTTCTGTTATATATCACTTGATTTTATTCTATATATAAAACCTATTATTAGACATTGCATTTGAGTTTCCTCATTATAAGCGTGTTCTGTACACGTAGCAGGGATGAGGCGGTAAGTAATATAAAAACCTTTGGAAAGTATATTTAATAATTGGCATCATCATTGGAAGCTCGAGATTAAAAGAAAAAAGAAGTTATACCTTGGAAATAGTAATTGCCGGGCTCCATTGTTCTTTAAGAATGTCGAGGCATATGTTCCCATATTCATCGATGTTGGGATGAAAAATCTCGGTCTTAAGAGTAACCTAAAAATGAGAAACCATTTGAATTCTCAAGAATAATCTATAATTCTGATACATACATACATACATACATAGGTTAAATGATACAATGCCTCCACAAACTATCAATTGAGTCATTCATCAAGAATCCAACATTCATTATAAACAAAGAGTTCAAAAAAGAAAAGAAAAAAAAAACACCTTGGGGGGCTTGAAGGGATAGTCAGGAGGGAAGCGGATAGCAACAAGGAATAAACCTCCAGAGTATGGGCTGTCTGCGGGCCCCGTGATGGTTGCTTTCCAGTTAAACAAGTCTTCAGCAACAGGACCTGGAACATGTAAAATCCATCGGTCATGGTGTGAAAAGCAGAACAAACATAATCAACAACAATTTCACCAAATCAACACATATATATATATATATATATAGCACGGACAAGTTACTATTGGAAGGATGAAGAAGATGGACAACCAACAACCTATAGTGTGCATATCATCAAATTTCACAGGTCAATTTTCCTTTCCTAATTGATGGCTGATACAGTCAAACAAAAACAATTGCACACATACATTTTCCCATCTCTGTAAAGCTGGCAAACCATAGTATTAGTAAATCCGTCCCCAATTAATTTATAAAGCACCATAAGTTGAGAAATTAAAGCAAAAAGTAAGAGATGTAACCAGCGTTGAAAGGATTATTAGCTGAGTCGTCTTTCTTCAGATCATTCAGTTCCTTAATGATACGCCTTGAAGCCATCAATCACTTCAACGAGTCGATAAAATCACCACAACGCAATAAACCTAAGATACAAAAATAAATAAAAGTTACGGCAACAATTTTAAACAAACACACACCCAAAAAAAAAAAAGAAAAGAAACAGTATGGAATGAAATTATCGAGTGAAGGGAATACCGTAGAAGTAAAAGCCGGGGAAAAGAGCTTCAAACTTACCGGAGGGGGAGGAGTAGATTGGATGACTCGGAAGTGGACTGCTTCCTTGCGTGCTCCCCATGTTTTCGTTTCTGTTGCCCCTTCCTGCTCTTTTTTTATATTTTTTTTTTAAATGCAAAATCCCCAAAATGGCCCAACAAAGAGAGAGGGCCAAAATGTAATTTCTCAAATTATTTAATTCCTTCTTTTTGTTGAGTAATATAAATAAAATCACATATTATTACACGTTTTTCCATTTTTATGACGGGAAATTAAAATTACATATGTCTTTGCACTCTCTTCCCCAAATCTCATTCTCACTTGTCCAAACCATAATTCAGAAGCTTCTTCCTTTGACCGTATGTCTCTCTGTACATCCTCTTTTTTTTTTTTTTTTTTTTTTCTTTTCATATTTGCGTTGGATAGATATTTACTTCAATTCACTTCGATTAATCTTCACGGTAACACTCGATTTGATATTTCTTTTAACTATTATTGCGATAACACCAATGATGTGCATTTGATTTTTGTTTTGTTATCGAACTAATCTTGTCTGAAAATGGGGGATTTGTTAGGTAAAGTTCTGTCTTTAATCTGTTTTGGTTCCACGTATGTATAGATGAGAAAACTGGTATGAGACTTATGAAATGTGTGAAGTTTGTTACAGAGTACCCCAACTGTTCTGTATCACGATTAGACTGTCATTTTGATCCAATGTCTGTTTATTCATTATTACATTGGTTTTATTTGGAGTCTGTGTGCCAAAAATTGTGCTTGATAAAATTTCCAATCCATCATCCTTACAACTTTCTGTCAATAATATTCTGAGGCTTACACATTCATGCTGCTAATATAATTAATTATTTACTAGCAATATTTGACCTTATCGACTAATGGAGGAAGACAAGAAGAAGAAGAAAAACAGGAAGAAGAAGAATAAGCAAGCTACTAAACCAATAGAAAGTGTCACACTTGACGTAGGGGCCGGGCAATCAACTTCTAATGGTCAGATTCATGATCCGGAGATAGAACAGAATAATAATAATGGTCAAGTATCAGGGATTGTTAATGAGACAAATGATGTTGGAGGGGACCTACTTGCTAATAGGGATGAACCACTTGCTAATGGCACTAGAGGAGTAAGTTTATTTTCATTTCCGTGTATTTATGCAACTGAACATTCTTGAATTTGTTTGTATCCCTCCTTAAAGTGCTGATTGTGTCACTTTGTTTGTTCCTCTTGTTTTATTCACTTCATATACAGGCAAATTTAGCTCAAGTCGAGAAACAATACTGGCTTGACAGAGAGGTACGGACAAAGTTGATCTATCTAGTCCTATGATTCACTATTTATCATTTTATTTCTTGTGTTTACGTCTTTCAAAAACACCTACTAACCTAAAGGTTTATATATAGGCCAGTTTCCAAGACAAAATTAAAGAACTTCAAGCTGAAAAGGATGCTCGGATAGAGAAAGAGGTATCCTAAATTTGCACTGTTTGTTTGAGCATGCTACGACTTTGGATCTTTTTTTCTTTTTTTTACTCAGCATCTTGTCATGTGGTTTTACAGGCTTCCACTGAAGAGAGAATTAAGCAGTTGCTCAAGGAAAAGGACAAAATTTCACAAGAAGAGCTAGTACATATTCAAAATTATAGTGTGTGAATGACATAATTTATTCTTTTTCCTGAGGGTGTAATGACTATTTCTTCTTTCACAGGCTGGTCAGAAAGAAAATATCAAACAATTACATGATGAAAAGAATGCATTCATGCAGAATGAGGTAGTGAAAATTTGAGAAAAAATAAAAAATAAAAAAATTTAGAGGAATTGAAATTGGTGTCCGTTGCAACTGTTGATGGATGCTACAAGTTTCTAATTTCCTATACCTGTACAAGCAATTCGAAGCAGTTTGTGATAATGTTGACTTGTACAGGCTAGCCTGAAGGAGAAACTTGTACAATTGGAAAAGGAAATTGGTGCATTGATCCTGAAAGAGGTAATTTTTATTATAGAAAGATTAGGTAAGGCCAATCTTTTGGATCACTTGTGCATCCTAATCTTATAACGGTCTTCTAATGATTATGCATATTTTTTAGGCTAGTCTAGAAACCGAAGTTCAACACCTGAAGGATGAACAGGATTCCTGGAAACAGAAAGAGGTGAGAATGCATCAATTTAAAATATAAAGACAGAAAGTGGTTCATAATATACATGAAAATAGTACCATCATTTTGTTGCAGGATCATGTTTAAAATAAAATATAAAATAATGAGATGTTGATTTGGACAGGCTAGCCTAAAGGAGAAACTTGTACATTTGGAAAAGGAAAATGATGCATTGATTCTGAGAGAGGTAATTTATATTATAGAAGCAGAAGATTAGATAAGAGCAATTTCTTGCTGATTTACAACTCTCTTTTTCTAAGTGATTATTACACTTCTCTGGAAGTAGCTGATATTTTATAGTCTTTTACAGGGCAGCTTTCAACATAAAATTCAACAAATACAAGGGGAAATCGATGCTCACCTGCAGAAAGAGGTAATTTTTATTATTTCTAGAGGAAGAAGGTCATGTGGTTAAAGCTTTACGTAAATGTTTATTCTTTTGATTTTTTCTGGTCTTGTACTCCACTTGTGTATATCTTCAAAAAAAATTCCCTTGTATTTCCGAGGTTTTCTAATGATTATGCATATTTTTAGGCTAGTCTAGCCACCGAAATTCAACAGCTGAAGGATGAAAAGGATTCTTGGATGCAGAAAGAGGTGAACATCAAATTTCAAATTGTATTGAAATCTCGAGCTTTGGGACTCATCACAATTTGTCTTGTTTAATCAGTATCAGTTTTTATGCCAGCAGTGTAGCAGATGGTTCACTGTTTCTGAAACTTCTAAAATTGCAGGCGGATTTTAAAGCAAAAAATAATCAATTGGTGGATGAAGCTGCAGTTTTGCATTTGAAAATGGTACGTGTCTGGGTTTACCTTACCTTCATAAAGAAATAATCATCAAATTGTTTTCTCTTCCAATTTCTGATGTTTGGGTCTTCACTGTGCTATAGCAAATAGAAACTAGGGTGGTTTAGTTAATTGACGTACATCATGAAATATAGGTGAACTTGCAAGAGAAGATAACACAGATGGAAAGAGAAAGAGATGCGTGGGTCCTCAAAGAGGTGAAACTACCTTTTATATTTTATGGATATCCTTCTTTTCCATTTCTAACTGCTGCACTCGCAATAACTAGCACCGATTCAGTTCAGATAATTATGAAGATCCTGATTTTCTGTACGATTTTGAACTATGACAGGACTCAGCCAAGGAATCGATTGCCAGCCTGACTAATGATAACACCAACTTGCGAGCTCTGGTAACGACCGTAGCAGCATAAATTGATAATAATTAAATACTTTGATAAGATTTCTATCATTTAGCCCTTTTTTTCTCCAAAATAGTGGGTATTAATTAATGTCAGAGTCTGGCAGGTGATGGACCTGGAGCAATCAAGGGAGAGTCTTTTAGAAGAAACACAACATTTGACTCAGATTATTTCCAGTCTTAAGTTACAGAACAAAAATCTTGATACCACTGCTGATTTTCCTCACTCCTCTATGGACAACAAAGTGGTAATATAATATATCCTCCGTCTTCGGGCTTCTCGAGTGTGATTTTTACTTTGAGACTCAACTTTTCAAGAAATAATACTTTTCCTCTTTTTATGATTATTATTATCATTTTTTTATGTTGGGTTGTCGACATGATTCCGGTAATGTTTTTGTTTCTGATTCAGACTTCCGAAGATGGTGAAGTTAACTACCATATAGAAGATGCACGTGAACCAGTTGGGGAATCTGTTGCACAAAATGCAGAGCTTGTTGACAAGGTAAGCTGCCAAACTGTGATTGCCTCAAGTAGCATTCGATTGGAACAACTTAAAATGCACAAGTTTTTGTTCAACTAAATAAATATACAAGGGAGCCACATAACGGTTATATTGTTCAGGTGAATGAGTTGTTGTATGCTGAGCTTGACCAACGAGGTGTAGCGAAAGAACATTTTTCCTCTGCTACCTCTGTTCCATTGGCTTTTACTGATATTGATAATGGCTCAGCTGCTCTTGAACCTGATTTAGCAGTTGGAGCTGAAGCTAGCAAGGTACTGCAGCCTATCTCAGGCAGCACCCAGTCTTTAGAAGATGTCATGATCGAAGATCAGAGAAACCTTGAACTTGTCAATGTTAGTCATAGCCCTGGACTTGCAAATTCTTCGGAAATAATAGAGGCTGATGAAATTGTGCAAATTCCGTTAAATGAGAAAGAAATTAAGGAACCTGTTTTGGAGAATGATGACAAGGAAGGTGTAGGACTCACGGATGCTCCATTGATTGGTGCTCCGTTCCGTTTAATATCTTTTTTTGCTAGATATGTTACCGGAGCTGATTTAGTTGATAAGAACACTGCCAAATATGGATGATGATGAATCCCATCCATGGCGTTTATAGTTATATCTATTTTTGTATACAAAGCAGACACTCGAGAGATTTTGAACGAGTCCAAACGGGATCACGTCCACAGTTTTCTAATACTAGGTCGATACAGAGATAACAGGTCCAGGAAAAGCTGTCTAGATCTGTTTATACATGTTTTTATTTTAAACTATTTAGAAGATGTTTGAATGTCGGAAACAATTGAATTAACCAATTTTCTTTTATTTTAATCATAATAATCTTTTGACTGTGTAGTAATTAAACTTGAAACATACAATAAAAGCAATCTAGTGAATACGGTGGTGAACAATCAAACACTTTCGACTAGTATTGGAATAAACTAGATTATTATTATTACATCTGAAACTTGTGAAGACCGTTTTTATGTTTGGATAAATAAATGTGGAGATTCTCTAAGATGCTGGGCTAGTGCTCCTGGACTTTTCGGATGATGTTCGATTCTCAGAATCAGTAAGGCGGATTTCCTCAATCATCCTAACAACTTCACTCATTGCAGGTCTCATCTCTGGCACCTTTGCCACACACGCCAAACCAATCTGAAGCATTTGAACCATTTCTTCTTCAATATTATTATGATACTTGATGAGATCAGCATCAAAAACCTCAGCCGTCCATTCCTCCCTCACAACGGACTGGACCCATCTCGGTAGATCTTCAACCTCATCTTGTCCCATTGGCTGAACCGGAGCTTTGCCTGTGAGCAATTCCAGTATCAGAACACCAAAGCTGTAAATATCCGACTTTTGAGTTGATTTTCCTGTTTGAACCAACTCCGGTGCTCTGTAACCGGCACCTCTAGATGGAATACCAGGGATTCCTCCCATTACAGGAATTAGACCAAAATCTGTAATACGAGCATCGGAGTTTTGAGTGAGGAGGACATTTGAAGATTTGATGTTTCCGTGGGTCAATTTACCACCAGCAGCACCAGCAGAATGAATGTAGGCCACTCCCTTGGCTGCTCCTAGTAAAACTTTGACCCTCGATTCCCAATCAAGAGATCTTCCACTCTCCTTGTTCCCTGTAATGTAAATATTACATCGCGCAAAGTTCAAATTCAAATTCAGATTCATGCATGTTAGTAATTGAAATGAGAGCAAGAGCAGTAGTGTAGGTACCATGGAGTTGGGTGGAGAGGCTGCCACGTGGGACATGCTCATAAACGAGAAGTTTCTCATCCTTGGAGAAGTAATAAGCTCGAAGTGGGACAATATTAGGATGCTGACTCATCATCCCAATGGTCTTCATCTGTAGTTCGAATTCTTTTTTCCCAGCAACAACTTCTCTGAGCCGTTTCACCACAACAGTCGTTCCTTCTTCTAAGATGGCAGTGTAGGTTGTACCGTAGCTTCCTTTCCCCAGCACCTCAGCTGAGGCTCTCAGCAAATCCTCAAGATTGAAATTGAATGAGCATCCTTGGAAGAATATCAACTTGTTCTTTTCGGCCTCTTGTACCCCACTCCCGAATTCTTCATTGGCCGTCTCACGTCTCCCCCCTTGGAATGGTTTTCCTTTTAGCAATCCACTACTAACAGTCATCTTACGCTTTGTACAGAACACAAACATTGCCGAAGCTGCCAGAAATAGCACTGCAGCACCACCTACTCCAATTGCAACTATAGTCCCTTTGCTTAAACTTTTCGTGGACTTGTGCATTTGAGGAATTATCGGAGAAAATGGGCTGTGGATTCGAGAAGGAGATGGTGGAGAAGGAGAAGGTGGTATTGAAGGGCAGTTATCGAGGGGTGTACCGCACAAGAAAGAGTTTCCGGTGAATGAAGAAGGAGGAAACGTCTGTAGGTGAGATGGAATGGAACCGTTGAAGTGGTTATTGCTGAGGTTCAACTGCTTCAGCTTTGGAAGGTTGAGATCAGGTATGGAACCAGAAAGAGAGTTGTTCTGGAGGTACAAAGTGGTGAGATGTGTAAGATTTAGCATAGTGAGAGGGATATTCCCCGTTAATGAGTTGAAGGAAAAATCAATGACGTTGAGCTGTGAAGAGAAAAAGGAGGGGACATCCCCCGAAAAGTTGTTATGTTGGAGGTTAATGTATCGGAGAGAAGGTAGAGAGAGAAGATGGGATGGAAGAGGACCGTTGAGGTAATTGGATCGAAGGCTGAGGGTGGTGAGGGCATCCAATCTAGTTAATGTGTTTTCAGGAATGGGACCGATAAGTCCGAGTGCAGGCAGGCGAAGTGCCATTACACGAGTGGCGTCTGGAGTGCAAGTGACTCCAGACCAAGAGCTGCAAATAGAAGAAGTGTTTTTCCAGTTGAGTCTTGGAGCATGAGGCACAGAGGAAGCAAAATCAAGAAGGGATTCCCTGTCTGAGTTGAGGTCTGCAGTGATTTTTGGCACTTGAAAAAGGTAGAAGAAGAAACACCATATGGAGAGTGAGGAGGAATGCAGAAATAGCTTCATTGGAAGAAATTAGGAACCTCTTTTCATCCAAAGACGATTGCTGGAGGAAACAGCATAATATCCTTCAACACAGATGGTAAGCAAATAAGTATGTAGAAGAGTATAATTAGGTCTAAATTCGTGTACAAAAACTAGTTGGGTAAAACTATTTGCTAAGCAAGAATGTAGATTTGGTACGACCTGAAGAAGATAAATCCATGATTAATTATTTTTGAGACAAGTAAAGTTCCAGTTGATCACATATAACATACAGCAAGAAGTGACAAATTCCTAAACAAGCACTATATATATGAAGCAAAAAAAATCCAATTGACATGAGCCATAATTGTTGTTGTGAAGACAAAAGGCAAAATATTAGTAAGCAAGAAATCAGACAAACTCCGAGATATGCTACAGCCTACAATATGATGTTAAGTGGACCAGACAATAAACATAAAGCAAAACGCATACAGAAAAAGAGAGAGAGGTGGAAATGGAGCACCTTAATTAAGTAGTGTTGTTAGGCTAGGCTTGTGGGAGAAATGAAATCTGAGAGAGAAGAGAGTCATCAGTATTCAGTAGTCATCCATCCATCATAATTATAAACATGATAGAATATATATCCTCATCTCTAACTCAACGTCCAATATCAGCTAGCTGATCCAACCCCAACGGTATTGTTTATCACTTTTCTACATATACTTCCCACTTTTACCTTCTTTTTTTTTTCTTCTGGCATATCTATCAAGCTTCTACTATAGCCTGTTGTTGGAATATATATAATTAATAAACATGAAAGAGAAATCAAGATTTCCTTTTCTTGAAATTACTACTTCATAAGTTTTGTTTCTTTTAGGGATTCTTCGTCGTCAAGTAAACGGACTTAGCTGGATGGATTACTGATCGATCTGCACAAATCTCCACGATATATCCACTTTTTTTTTCTTTTTTTTTTAATTGGGTGCTAATTTCCTGTCCGTCCACAAGTGGTTGTGGTTGAGAATTGAGATAATTAATTGCCATTACGGTGGGTTAATTAGCTCAAGTTAAGACACAACAACTATTAGTGAGCTAATCATATCAAGAATATATAATATAAATATTGATACTCAGTGATTAAAGAAAAACCAAACCCACATGCAGAAGAAACGTAAGACAAAATAGAAACTACGAAATTATTTTATGACAATCGAGTTCCACCTATTATAGGTTAAGCAGTTGACTAGGCATATATGTGGCAGTTGGGGTTTGGTATTAAAAACAAAAAAAATAGAAAAAAAGAAGTTTGCATTGGGGCCCACCAAATAAAAAATAAATAAGAGAGGAGGGAGCACATGCCTTAATAATGCCCAACTCTGATGAGTTGGGAGCCACTGTGATATTAGATGCGGTCAGTCAAACTACTATCGATTCTCAATATTCCCCCTTCACATGGCTTACATATATACATACATGCTTCTCTTACCATTTTCTCTTTATGATGCCACAGCCACAGATCTTCTTCTTTTTTATTATTACAAAATTGAAAAGTCAATTATCTATTTTATATGATGAAATATGGATATGACTTTGTTATTTATTTATATACCAGGCCCCCCTTTGCTGTTCTTTGCATTACTAATATTGCCACCAGTAATTAGTTGAGATGCATACATAAATGAAGTTGGATTTCACATCAACCCAACTAGGTATCTCTATAATTTTTTATTTTTTTTTTTGATCGGTAAATGTGAAATATATAGATCAAAACGGTGGTTACTAGTTGACCTTGCTATATAAATTGTGGAAAATTATTCTCAAGAAACTTATATACATCTACAAGATAAATATACAAGTTGTTCAAAAAAAAAAAAGACAAATATAGAAGCACAACAAACAGTTCAATTAAATCATGCATAAAATACAAGCAATTTACTTTCGGAACTTACAGATTATTTGGTACTGCAAAATTCGATGCCTTCGATACTCTTTACTGCTGCAGTGCAGCTTCTGAATCTTAATATGATTTCTTGCATAAAATTTTATACTAGCTGGCCTGTAATGGGTGTGCATGCAATCTTCTTCTTGTTATTTTGTCTTAAGAAGGGAGAAATATAAACAATCTTCATTCGTTACGGCTCTTCTACTCAACTTACATTATTTCCCACCTATCTATAGATAATCCTCATTTCTAAGAAATCCCCCAATGAACAAAATGATATCTTAGAGAAACCTACAAAAGTGGCAACTGAAAGCAGGGAATTTTTTTTTTACTCCATAGTCGTTGTTTCCTTGCCAATATTTGACATTCTTATAGATCAAGGCATGGAAGTATTTCCAAGAAATATTACCAGATTAATCCATAGAGGAAAGCTTCTGATTCATATTAACCTCCCCTTTTGGTAGTCTCCAATCCAAAGTAACCGCTGTATTTTACTGCATCAGTCGAGTGGATGTGTCGAGAAATACAGGGTGAAACATAATACAGAATAGCATTCACAACAAGGTTAGGCGTGTCACAGTAATACTACAAACAAAAGATAAAACTTCTACACTCCAAACTTCCCTGCTATCCAGGTATACTTTATCCTACAACCATCAATCACAGCAAACACCATTTAATCCTTGAGCATGTATCAACTGAAATCATTCTGTATGGACCAAAACAAATTACATAAATATGACTTTTGCTTATAATAGTGGAATGCAGCTCAGCTTATATATCACATTTTTATCTCCCAAGAAATTGAAAATAAAATTAGGGAAGAATTTCGGTCAAAATAGATTCCACGCTCTTCCTGAGGTTATAAAGGTTCAAACGGTTCAGGTAGTTCAAACCCATTATCAAAGATTGATCCTTGGTCAGACTTATCATCAATACTGTGAAGCCAGTTTGCATTCTTCAAATCCTCTTTGAGAAGAATCATGTCATAACGGGAACTTTCGTAAATATCGATGTTGGTCAACTTTGCTGAATATTGATACTTGTCTTCCTCACTCCCACTTTCAGAAAATCGGTGTCCATTTTCAGCAATGGCACCATTACTATTGATGGACAGGCTTCCGTTGGGAGATGCTGCACCTTGTTGGGTTTTCTGGTTGGTGGATCGAATACTTTGAGGGAATAGATTTGAGCCAGTAAGAGGACGAAAACCATTGTTGCCGTTTCTTATGTCCTGCAATACAATGGGAAAATCTTTGAGAATGATGAATCTTGGAAGACTCATCTCGTGTTGAATGAGATAGAGTTGTATTAGCACAGAATATTGTGTTCATCTTCATAGTCCAACCTAGCATGAATCCTACACAGTGCTCCACATTCCAATGAGACCCACCGATATCTATGAATGGGTCATTAAGAAATGACACCCTCACATAACTATTATGTTTATCCTCTTTTTTCTGGGTCACCGATATATTCCACACGAACAACTTTCCAAAGTAATACGAATACAGAAGTAATGTGACATTGCCAGTAGTTACAGAAAAACTAGTAATGAACATGACCTCACTGCATTTTCAGTTAAGCTCCTAGCTCGCATATCAGAATAATAGGAAGAGCTTCATTTTGAAAATCCAATAAGGAAAAAATAAATAGGAAGTTAGAGATGAGTACCATATGCCGTATTGCCATGTCAAGTGATTTCTTTGAAATTGTCCGGCCAAACCCTGTGCTATCAGTGGATATCTTTGCAGGTTTCCGTGCTGGCAACTCTTTCCGGGAGTCCATCGCATCAGGTAGCTGGCCATTGGCGTGTGTTCGACCCCGTCCATTGGGTTCTGCAACTCTTCCTCTAGTGACTATTGGTGATGAGTGTCTCCTAGGAACAGCAGCATTACCAGGCGTAGGTTCAGCATTTCCTTTTGAAGTGAGAGAAACACCAGGTCTGGACCTACCAGCAGATACTGGTCTATCAGGCAAAGTCGTTCGGAGGTTTGGCGGTGTATCAAGTGGAAAATCATGGAGTACAATAGGCTGTGGTGGGGGCCGAACTCGAGGACCAGGGGAACTTGGGCGAGACACTGAAGCACCACTGCGGCCATTAGTGAGACTACGCCCACCAGGGGTTGAAGGTCCAGAAGTAGGAGATAAAGATGGTGTGGGATTTCGACGAGTAGGTGTTGATGGTCTTGATGTAGTCCGAGCAGCAGGAGAAGTCATGTTCGAAGAGATTTGTGGCCTAGAAGTAGGAGTAGATGGCCTCGAGTTCTGGGATGGTCTTGGTCTGTCTGTCGAAGATGTGCTGAGAGCAGGACGAGGTCTAGCAGGAGTTGTAGATCTTGACACTGTTGGACGGGAAGAAGGGGTTGAAGGCCTTGAGATAGATGAGGATCGGTTGGTAGGAGTTGATGGTCTTATATAAGATGAAACGGAAGCAGAGCTTGTGTTAAGAATGGATGTTGATTTATTGGAATAGGTGTTGTATTGGGAACTAGAAGCAGAAGGTCTAGTCACCGAACTACTTCGAGTTGGTTTTGCAGCAGCATGGTTGTTTTCAGATTGCGATACTGACAGCTGAAATCGGAGAACTTCTATAGTTACAGATATTTGCAAGTAATACATTTAAAATTCAAGTTCAAGAGTATATGACCACCAATAGCAGATTATCTATTCTCACAATCAAGATAACATATTACAATTGGAAGTATTTAATAGTAATCACAATGAAGCATACACAAAGATAGGATAAAGGTTCGACATACCCGCGAGGCTTTGGCTGTTGAGATTGATCTGACCAGCGGACCACTTCTTGGAGCCATAAGACCAGTTTGAGATTCATTTACATTCGAAGAAGGGACCAGCGGAGTTCCAGGAGGAGTAAGAAGCCTATTAGATAGACGAAGTTGGAATAATTAGTAGAACTCACCACTGGCACAAATTAGGCTGAACTGTTAAAGTAACAATCATAATTTTGAATCAACATATATCTAAGCACATTATCTTCAGATTCTGCCCTCAATGGCGTAGTGTTATCTAATGACGCTGAACGACCGTGAACAAAGAAAAAAATCTGTGCCAAAAGTCCGGTTGGCTATGTTCAGAGCTCTTTTTAGGGAAGTTAATGCCATGCAAAAGATTAATTCAAGTCTGAATTGTCAACAGAAGGAGAAAAATGTTACAGTACATATTCTGAAATCTCATGCCACCATCCCTGGACCAGGTTACAGAATGGCTCTTAAATTAGGTTTATGAAGTTATTTACACTTATTAAAAAGTCAATTTACTAAATCTTAATAAATATGTTGATCGATCAGTGTATTATGTAAGATTGAGCAAATTATTGATGTGGATTTTTTCACCATCACTATTGATGACGGAGTGGATACCACTTGAAATTAGCTAACAAACTCATAAGCATAGACTAGATATTATTAAAAGAACATACTCCACATTTTAGCAGAAGCTAGATCTGATCATTAATAAGAACATAAATGATAAATTGAAGAATTACCAATCATAGTCGTGCTTTCCTCCATCAGCTGAAGACAATAAATCGTCCAATCCACTCCTCCCATGTTTCGCTGATCCAATTGAGATTCTACCCAGTTTCACTGGCACTAAGCACGTAAAAACCCCAAATCAGGGGAAAACATGAAAGGAAAAGCAAAGGAAGGAATCTACAGAACTGAATGAAGCCTAAGAATAATAGATACACCATATAGAAAGGTCGAATCACCGATTGCATATTGTCGCAAAGAAAATCCATACAACGGCGTCGTTTGGATTAATTATTAACAGATAATGCCAAAAACAGAAAAGATAAAACGATGTTTTCGCGCGGAGTAATAAAATCAATTGTAATCAAATCCAATAATCACCACCTCATTAACATTACGTGAGATTCCTAGGGGAGAAAGGAGATAATAACGTGTTGGAGATGAGGATAATTACCATCGGACTCGTCGGAGGAGGCGACGGATAGACTGCGGCGGCTTTTGGAGAAGAGATCTAAATTCTCATCGGTGGAATCCTTGGAATTGGGAACACCGTTGATGCTGAGGCCGCGGCGGTGGTTGAGCGGAAAATTGCGGCCGCCGCCGGTAACAGATTCCCTCAAGGTCCGATTCATGGACAGCGGTGGGTGTGGAAAGTCAGAGAAGCAGCATAGACCAAGTCTTCAGTAGAGAAAAGAGGAAGAGCAGAGGGAAAAAAAGAACAGATGTAATGATGCGTGAAGAGCAGTAGCGCGAGAAGAGAGGAAAAAATGGACAAAGAAAACCGAGTCACGGAACAAGACTTATTCGTTTGATCTCATATATACAAAGACGAGTCATGTGCTGTGATGTGCTGCGCTGCGCTTCAGTGGACATAGATATAGATAAATTAGATCTGTAATGGTGTATGTATTATATTAGAGTATTGATTGAGTTGGAGAGTAAACAAAATTGAGGAGATGGTGGTAGTGGTGGTGGTGGTGAGTTGAGCAGTGGAGAGGGGCAAGCGCATGTTCACTCAATACTAAAATAACCAAATAAATTCACATACCAGCTGTGTCTCTTCCAACCATATTCTTTTCCACTTTTTTTTTTTTTTTTTTCTCTTTTTCCTTTTTCTTTCTTTTTTTGGGATTTAAAATAAATACTGGGAGCAAACGAACCCATTCTGACTTGTATATTCTATTAGATTGCCTTCAAATGAAGAATTTGTAGTTAAAATAAATATATTTTTTATTTGAATCAAATTCATTTTTCTTTTAAGAAACGAAAATGTTGTCCCGGTTGATTTATAAATTATTATGTTTGGAGTTATTATATATTACACTCAATTAAATTCACCGTGTGTAGATTCCACCATGCACTTGTATTGACAAGTATTTATTTTACTCGTAAGTGTACGTGATTGTGTGCATATCTACAGTAAAAAAAACCCTAGAGAATTAACCTGGTGTGATAAAAAAGATTGGAGAAGAAATTTAAGTGTCAATTTGGTGAAGAACAGTAATTTGGTAAGGATGAATTGGTGTGAAGTAAGGATGGATAGGGCAGAGACTGGAGAACATGGATGGGGCACTTTACCAAAATGTGGACCACTTTATTGTAATCCATATTAGAGATAGATCTGTGATCTTACAATTATTTAAGCAAACAACAAGTTACCATTGCATATTTTGGACCCTAACCCTAAGTTTTAATGTGTGTGTGTTTACTGGATCACATTATCACTATATATATATATATATATATATATATATATATATATGGTATCTTCCAATGATATTTGAGTCATCCTGGTCCATTCATTAGCTATCCTTTCTCTCCCACCTCAAATTATAGGCCGCAACTTTTATAAACCACAAGTATGATTAAACATAAAGTACTTCATTTGTCATAAATTGGTGAAAATGGAAACCATCTTAGGAAGTTGAAATATACTATGATAATTTTGAACTTAAAAACATTTTTATTCGTTTGATTGATGATGACCAAAATGTGTATGACGTGTGAAAAAAGCAAGTGTTGGAGACTTTGGAAAATGCATTGAATTTGAATAATGTAGGAGTAGTAACGGGGCCACACTTGAAAAAACTAAATGAATGTGTATCAATCCAAGGCCTAATACAATACGTAGTACATGATAGAAAACGATGCATAGGAGACGTATGAACGCATATATGGTCCATCGTGCTCAAAGCCATTTATATCCGTGTATTTTGGAAACAAATTAATTAAAGGTAAAAAAAAAAAAAAAACACAGATTTAAGAGAGAATAGGACATCCTTTAACAATGATGTATCTTATTCAAGTATGGGTCGACGACACTCGACAATGATTTCCTTAACTTTTGATGTCTTCCTCTCTATCTTATATCTCAAATGTACATTTTAGCCATTTATATAATATATACTATTTGAGACTCATTTAAGAGTCACAATGGGTGTATTATTTCCTTTAAATTTCAAATCTAATTTGTAGGCTATTCATTCACTCATTCATTTCATAGTGTAAAATATACATATATATACTAACAAAATATAATTTACTTACAAGGGTGTGCCGCCAAACCGTCTTAAGGTGATCAAGTATAACTACCATCAACCGTTTAGATTTTACAACATGTGGACCGAGCACGAGAAGTATGCGAATACTGTTTTGGAGGGCTGGAATCAGCAGTTTCGGGGCACCAAACAGTTCGTCTTATGTAAGAAGCTTATGGGGCTTAAAGGTCGACTTAAATTGTTGAACGAAAAGCACTTCTCCCACATATCGGAGCGGTTCAAAAGAGCTAGCGATCTCCTTATTGACGCTCAACAACAACTGCATGATCACCCTTCAGATGAAGAAATTCAGCGATCGATTCCCGATCTCCGCAAGGATGCATTGAGACTTGGGAACGCTGAGCGTAGTTTCTTCCAACAGAAAGCGAAGAGTGCTTACCTCGCTAATAGTGATCGATGCACAAAATTTTTTCATTCCATGGTGAAGAGGAACAGAACGAAGAACTGTATTGCAGCTCTTTCTCTCGGTGACGGGACGACTACGACTTCTCCGGAACAAGTGGTATCGGAGTTCCTCAATTTTTATAAAGATTTGCTGGGAACCAAGGTTCAGACGGAACCTATTGACTTGGATGTTATTCAAAATGGCCCGTGTTTGTCGGTCGAGCAACAGACTCAACTCATACAGGAAGTTACGGAGCTCGAAATTAAGGAGGCGCTTGACGATATCGGTGTGGACAGATCGCCGGGGCCTGACGGCTTCTCGGCTGGTTTCTTTAAGAAGTCGTGGGACATTGTTGGAGAACAGGTTGTTGGTGCGGTGAAGGAATTTTTTGGCAACGGATCCCTCCTTAAACAGTTAAATAACTCTTTTATCTCTCTTGTGCCGAAGGGAAGCCACTCTCCTTCGGTGGGAGATTTTCGGCCGATTGCGTGCTGCAATGTCGTGTACAAGATAATTACGAAAGTACTTGCAGCGAGATTGGCGCCGATTATGGATTCAATCGTTGACAAGGCTCAAGCAGCGTTCATTCAAGGGCGGAGTATAAGTGATAATATCCACTTGATGCAGGAACTGCTTCGACATTATAATCGAAAAAGAATTTCTCCTCGATGTGTTATTAAAATCGATATTCGGAAGGCGTATGACTCGATTAGTTGGGACTTCCTTTTTGATATGTTGAAAGGGTTGGGTTTTCCACCGCTGTTCGTTAATTGGATTGTTGAGTGTGTTTCGACTCCATCCCATTCTCTTTCCATTAACGGCGGTTTGCATGGATTTTTTAAAGGGAAGAAGGGGCTGCGACAAGGTGATCCGATATCACCTTATCTTTTTATTTTGTGTCTCGAATATTTCTCGAGATTGATGGCCAAGGCTACAGACAATTCCGACTTTAATTTCCACCCGAAATGTGGTCCTTTGAAGATTACGCATCTTGCGTATGCGGATGATTTGATGCTCCTGGCTAGAGGAGATCCTATGTCGATTCAAGTGCTCATGGATTGCTTGAAAGATTTTGGAGCGAAATCGGGGCTGCAACTTAATGTGCTCAAATCGAATATCTATTTTGCGGGGGTTTCCGAGCAGCAGGGCGAGGATATTCAGCAAACGACGCACTTAGTTAAGGGAGTTTTGCCTTTTCGGTACCTTGGAATCCCTTTGGCTGCAGCACGTCTCAAGGTTGTGCAGTACGGGCCTTTGCTTGACAAGATCTTGGCTTATATTAATGCCTGGACGGGGGCCTCGCTTTCTTATGCGGGTCGGGCTGAGTTAATTCGAGCGGTCCTACAAGGTGTGGAATGTTTTTGGCTTTCTATTTTCTCCATCCCGGTCACGGTTAGAACCACAATTATTAAATTATGCCGAGCATTTTTGTGGGGAAAGGCAGGAGCGTCTGTGGCATGGAAGAAATGTTGCCTTCCGAAGACCGAAGGGGGTCTTGGATTGAGAGAATTAGGGGCTTGGAATGCTGCCCTTATTACGAAGAATATGTGGGAGATTCAATCCAAGAAGGACTCGTTGTGGGTCCGGTGGGTTAATTGTGTATATTTACGGCAACAATCTGTTTGGGAATGGGTTCCGGGCCGACAAGACTCAGCTTTTATTAAATACATGGCTTCTATTCGAGATCAGATCCGATTGCATTTTGGGTCGGAGGAGTTGGCAATCGCTAATTTGACCAAATGGTATGGTCTGCCCGGTAAGGGGTCTGCCGCTGCTTATGATTGTTTTCGTCCGAGGGTTGTTCCTCGTCCGTGGGCCAATGTGGTCTGGTGTCCAACTATTACACCGAAACACTCGTTTATTTTGTGGCTTGGTATTCTGTCCAGGCTCAAGACCAGGAATCGAATCAAGCACGTTGTCACGGCCCGCTAGTTTTGACCCAACCCCTTGCCGATTTCCCTTGGGTTGGGGAGGTTACAAAGAGTCCAAGTTGTAGCCCAAGTAGGGTTAGGCCCAAGTTGGCCCAATTGTATAGTGGTAGGTAGAGCTATTTTTGGTAGGTAGGGTAGGTGGTGGTAGGTAGAGACAATCAAGGGATTGCTCCACTCCCATCCGTTAGATCATATCGATCTCCACCGTCCATTGAGGAGGTGGTCTTGTATAAATAGAGGTAGGGACCTCATTTGTAATCATTCACCAACAAATCCAATAAAGTATTCTTCTACCAACTCTCTTGTCTTCTTACTTTCTTTCTTCGTTTTCCATCACTAGCATTCGAGCAACACATTCGGGAGAGGCTGACTTAGCTATCGCGAGGGGCGAGAAGGAGCTAAGGCCGCACGGTTCTTTGTTGAGGGAACAAGTCCGTGACAAGTGGTATCAGAGCCCGGCTAAGGGCTTTGTGTTGATCGAATTCTCAACGATGGCGAACGTTGAAGATATCTCGTACGTGACCGAGGGACGTGGCAGGGAGGCCCACGTAAACAACAAGAAGAAGAGGGACCACAGCAAGGCTCGTGGGGAGAGTACCAGTACCGAGGCCGTGCTAACGGATCATGGCGAAAGACTCGAGAGGCTCGAGAATAACATCGCCATAGCGGAGCTTAGCGAAAGATTCGAGAAGCTCGAGCACGATACGGGAGTGTTGGAGAATCACGTCGCCGAGCAACTCGATTTGTCTAGGGACAATGAGGCGTTGCGGGAGGAACGGTTGGATCGATTTGAGGCTATCATCCAATCCCTCCAAGAGAGCATCGAGGGGATGCGCGACGACTTGGCCTTGTGCAAAAAGGCCGCCGCTAACGGTAGCGTTGGCGCCACTTCGAGTCCAAGGGTGGACTGCCCGAAGCCAACGGGATTCAACGGCGTAAGGGACGCCAAGGAAGTTGAAAACTTCTTATGGAGGATGGAGCAATACTTCGAGGGTATCGGTCTAGTCGACGAGACGACTAAGGTAAGAACTTCTTCCCTTTACCTTTCCGATACGGCAATGTTGTGGTGGCGTAGGAAGCACGCCGACATCGAGAAAGGCATTTGCCGAATCGATACTTGGGAAGAGTTCAAGAGGGAACTCAAGCGACACTTCTACCCGGAGAACGTCGTCTATGAGGCTCGAAGGAAGTTGAGGGAACTCAAGCAACGAAGTTCAATCCGCGAGTACGTGACGGAGTTCACCACCCTCACCCTTCAAATTCCCAATCTCTCCGAGGAGGACCTTCTTTTCCACTTCACCGATGGGTTACAAGGCTGGGCCAAGCAAGAACTCCACCGACGAGACATCAAATCCGTCGATGAAGCTATTGCCGCCGCCGAGTCTTTAACCGAGTATCAACCGAGAGAGCCGTTGCGAAAAGAGAAGTGGAGCCCGACTAAAGGCGGAGAAGAGAGACGGGACAATCATGGTCGGGACTACCGAGACAACCGAGACCCAAGGCGAGCGTCAACCTCGAGGGGAGGAGACAAGCCATCCTCACGCCATCAACTTGAAGAGAAGAAGAAGTCGTTTGTGCCTAAGGGAGGATGCTTCGTGTGCAAGGGGCCGCACGCGATGAGTCAATGTCCCAAGATGGGGTCCTTGTCGGCACTCCTACAACAAGAGGCCGAGCAAGACACAAACGAGGAGCTAGGCCACATGGGATCACTCCAACTTCTGAACGCCTTGAAGGCTAATCCGATGCCGGCAACATCAAGCAAGGAGCTGATGTACGTGGAGGCCCGCATCAACGGTACCCCAGCAAAGGTGATGGTGGACACGGGAGCGACCCACAACTTCATCACCGAAGACGAGGCCAAGAGGGTTGGCCTACGGTGGACTAGACGAGACGGTTGGCTCAAGGCCGCTAACGCTAAGGCACAACCGCTCAACGGTGTAGCACGAGACGCGGAGCTGCACTTAGCCACTTGGAAGGGCCAAGTGGATTTCTCGGTAGCACCAATGGATGACTTCAAGGTGGTGCTAGGCATGGATTTCTTCCGCAAGGTAATGGCTATCCCGATGCCTTGTTTTAATTCACTTTGTATCTTAGAGAAGGGGACACCTTGCATGGTGCCGGCCATCAACGGCACCACTAAGGAAGAAAACACACAACCAAGGCAACTGTCGGCCATGCAAGTTGCCAAGGGAGTTCGACGGGGCGAGCCGACATTCTTAGCCGCTTTAAAGGAGGAAAGCCCGCCCGTCAACAAAGAGGAGGACGTGTCACCGATCATCCAAACCGTCTTGGAGGCCAGCCAAGACGTGATGCCACCGAATTTGCCCAACAAGCTTCCACCTAGGAGGGAGGTGGACCACGCCACCGAGTTGGTCGAGATGGGGGAAATCCGACCATCGAAGGCAAGCGTTGGGGCCGACGCATTGAGTAGAAAAGCCGAACCCACAGCGATTAGCTCGACAAGGGGGAACTTGGCCGACATGATCCGAGAAGGGCTCGAACATGATCCAATGACCAAGGAGCTAATTCGACTCGTCAAGGAGGGCAAGACGAGAAAATTTTGGGTAGAGGACGGCTTACTCTACACGAAGGGGCAGCGACTCTTCGTTCCGAAGTGGGGCAGCTTGAGGAAGGACCTCATAAAGGAATGCCACGACACCAAGTGGGCGGGGCATCCGGGCCAAATGAGGACAATGACGTTGCTCGAGACGGCCTACTTTTGGCCTCACATGCGGGACGGTGTCGATGCATGTGTGAAGACTTGTCTTGTTTGCCAACAAGACAAGGTGGAGAGTAAACAACCGGCAGGGCTGGAGCCTCATCAAATGAATTACCCAAGTACGAGGCAACGTGGAAGACGAATGAAGACTTGTGAAAATTTCGAGATCGTCTCCACTTGTTCGAGGCAACGAGGACGTCGCCGGATTAGGCGGGGGAGGATGTCACGGCCCGCTAGTTTTGACCCAACCCCTTGCCGATTTCCCTTGGGTTGGGGAGGTTACAAAGAGTCCAAGTTGTAGCCCAAGTAGGGTTAGGCCCAAGTTGGCCCAATTGTATAGTGGTAGGTAGAGCTATTTTTGGTAGGTAGGGTAGGTGGTGGTAGGTAGAGACAATCAAGGGATTGCTCCACTCCCATCCGTTAGATCATATCGATCTCCACCGTCCATTGAGGAGGTGGTCTTGTATAAATTGAGGTAGGGACCTCATTTGTAATCATTCACCAACAAATCCAATAAAGTACTTTTCCTACCAACTCTCTTGTCTTCTTACTTTCTTTCTTCGTTTCCCATCACTTAGCATTCGCAACACAATTCGGGAGAGGCTGACTTAGCTATCGCGAGGGGCGAGAAGGAGCTAAGGCCGCACGGTTCTTTGTTAAGGGAACAAGTCCGTGACAACGTGGAGGTTGAAAAGTCGTGCATTTTTTGTACGGAGCCTGAAACTGTGGTGCATTTGTTTTTCGGATGCACGTTTACTAACAACATTTGGAGCATTATTCGGGAATGGATTGGCTTCCCTCGGGCTGCAACTACGCTCAAGAGTGCTTTGAAATGGCTGAAGAAGGAGGCTCGTGGCTCATGTTGGCGGCAAAAAGCGAAGAAGGTGGCCCTTGCTTGCACCGTTTATCAGATTTGGAGTGCTCGCAACCGGAAATTTTTTGAGAACGAGACGCCTAGGATTGCTGAGATGGTGCGTAAGATCAAGATACTCGTTTACAAGACGGTTTTTGCCTTGTTTCCGCAATCAGCGTTGCAAATCGTGCATCCCTGATTGTTTTTTGATCTTTGTTTTGCATTTGACCTGTGGGGTCTTGTTCATGTATAGGCATTGATATATATTTTTTTGATTACACTACCTGGGTATGCCCAGTGTATTTGTAAAGTCCGTTTTGATCTATATATTTCACATTTACCGATCAAAAAAAAAAAAACAAACCTGGCAAGGTAAATAATAATAAGAGATGGGGGGACGTGGCATTGCAAGTTGCAACTCAAGAACTTGGATACTGGGGATGCAATAATAATTATAGTAGCAACAAATATATTCCGGCTGCGGACCATAAATCCAATGTCAATCAATATTCATAAACATATTCTAGTACATACAAAAGTATCCCAAGTACCGGGGCATAATAGTGCCATTTACTCCTACGGATAAAGGTAGATGCAACAACTGTTCATGTTTCGCCTTAAATGCAATAAAACTAATATTATGATTGCTTTAATTTACATAATATTAACAAGTAAAACTGTGCATTTATTACAGAGTTCAATTATAGGCGGTAGTTCTATAACTCAGAAGACAAGATTAACTGAAACAAAAAAGAGCCATGCACTTGAAACACCATGTGTGATTCACCACATTGTTAATTGTTATGCACACACACACACAAATCACAATCATCATGTAAAATAACATATTCACATGCAAAGGAGCCCACTTGGCCTTTGAGCAAATGCCCCTTGCTTTGGAGTAAAGATGACTTCGACCCTACCCTTTTTATTCACATCTAGCTACCATATAAATCATTTGGATCTAAATCACTAATAAGTGCATGCATTTCACCAGAATAGCAAGACAATCAAATGCAGGACACACCCCTCCCATCAACAATGACTTGCCCCCTTTTTTTTTTTTCCTAAATGAGCCCACACACGGCATTCACTCACCACAAATCATATACATATTCAATATTATATTAAATTGTAATATACAAATATTCAATTGTTATTAAACATGCATTTACTTGTAAATTTCTTTGTAACTGTGTAACATACCGGTTTTTTCAAACAGCATGTGGAACTGCCTCCTCGCATATAGCAGCAGCAATCTGACAAAACCACCAATTAATTCATTTACAAGTTCTCTCAGCTACACAAGTAACAGAACCCATAACATACTTCACAACCAAAAAATGAGGTTGGGTTCTTTCTCTATCAAGACAAAAAAACTCGTACAGGTATGTGCTTTCTGTTACTTGTTTCCAATAAGCAGTCCACAAATGACGCTAGTTCATTTTCATTTTTCTCCATGCATATATTAATAATCAATAGATTTCATTACATTATTATACATTTGAAGCATCAATTTGTGGTTCATGCATGAAAAAAGAAGAAGTAAATATAATGCTTGGTGTTGGTGGAGACAATTGCCATAAAACAAACCTCAGTTGCACCTATAAAGTTACATAGTCCTCTAAGTCAACCTCATCGGTTAAGTTTGTCTTGGCAGTACAAATCTGCATAGACCAGAGCAAATTCGTTACAAACTGGAGGGAGGGAAGAAAGCAATTTCCCAGAAAATGTTATTTGTCTACTCTGTCAACTAAGCACTTGAATATGAAGCAGGAAAGTCATGAAAAATGTAAAGACCATGGTCCAAAGTGCCGGCACGTTTAGTGGCACAATGGCCTTTACATGCACAGTATGATCAAAATCAATCCCATCTACCAGAGCAAAAAGGAATGTTTACAGAAATTGAAAGCTCACAAAAGATAACAAGTATCCACCAATGTCAATGTACAAGACATCACTCACATATTAAGTTGTATCAGAACTGATTGAACTCCAAAACCATTCTAGGAACCCTTTGTGTCCAGCAGAATTAATGAATAATTGTTGTTAACAGAGTCAGTTATGTTAATGTAAAACAAAATGCAGCAATCTATTGCTGCAAATCCTTACAACTCCAGCATAAACAAATATCTTCTCGGAAAGAGATTGTGAGTGGGATTCGGAGATCAGATGCGACTGCATATCTGCGAGGAATTAGATTCTAAGGAAATTGGTATTGACCCTTGTTCTATCCAGTCTGATATACTATAAAAAATACCTATGAAATTACATGTAGAAACATAGATGAATCTGGATAATAAATGAATGCGTAGTAGAGGCCCATAAACCCTAATAAAAATGAAATAAGATAAATCCGTAAAAAAACGAAGCAACTTACTTAAAACTAAACTCCTGGGATGTCTATTTTTGGATTATGGCCTCATCTACAGCAGCTCTACAGCTCTACTCTCTACTGTACAATGAGGGTGGAAGGAAAGGAAGGCGGGAGAAGAGTTGAAAATTGGGCATTTAGAATATGGGCCAAATGATGGGCCCAATTATGTATCTGTGAAACCATAATTTCATGCTATATCAATGTTCATGTATCAAAGTCAAAGAATCGATGATTGGCCAATGAATTCGTGCACCCACCCTGCAGACCTAATAATTATATATATTCTATTTACTATTTATTATTTAGTGAAGTCATGCATGCTCATCATCGATCACCATCTATATATATATAATATAATCATCAAGTTGCCCCTAAAAGCTAATTCCCTTTATAATTTGTTTATACTAACAAATTGCATCCATCAGATGTGGGTGGCCCTATAACTAGTATAATATTGTTTATCCACTACATAAAATTCGAATCAGAGATCAGTGATATATACAATAAACTAATGTATGTGGTGAGTTGCACACAAGTAGAGAGAGAGAGAGAGAGAGAGAGAGAGAGAGAGAGAGAGAGAGGGGTTGAATGAAGTGAAGACCGTGAGCGATGATGCATGTTTTTAATTTGTAGAAATAGGTAGGGTGTTAATGAACATAATAATTAATTAATGAATGAAATATTGGATTAATCCAATATATCCACCATCACTCATTCATATATATGAGACTATGTATGTATGTATGACAATGTATATATATATACACACACACATATGCTAGCTGCTGCTGCTGCTGCTGCTTTGTGACGCCAAAGCCCACTCACTTACATTGTGATGTGATGAATGGCCGACTTCACCGCCCCACACCAACTCATACTCCCATCACCATTATTTATTCCATTCTATATATTCCCCTATTGTATACTAGTATTTCACTACATTTGTATATATATATATATATATACACATTGATCTTTGATCAATTCAGGTCACCTATATATGTTGACCATGTGAATTGGGGCCCACCCACATATGTTAGATTGTTTGTCCAAATTCAAATTATAGGTGGAAATGTGTTTGCATACTATTCCCTCATTCTCATTAATTAACAGATACGTAATCTTGATCTTTTTCTTCTTTTCTTTTTTTCCATGAGATGAGATACACACACAGATTAATATTTATAAGTCCTTGGACTGGTATGCCAATTACTTCCGAGCTTGAAATTATATTTTCATCCAAAGAAATCATTAATAAATAAGGAAATCTTGTTGGAGGACGGGCGGTGGGATTCATAATTTGTTCCTCCGATCCGATCCCCCACCTTTTCATGTCTTCAAAACATCACCACCAATATTACATTGATTTCATCCCCCCACACACACACAGGTATATATTTAATTATGTTCTGTAGAGAGAGAGAGAGTTGAGTTGACACTTGAGAGAGAGAGAATAAAAAGATGAAAATTAATGGAGGGCACCACGTCAGCACAAAATGAAAAGGTTTGCGTACCTGGACTCTACTCATGATCCCTTTCTTTCCTTTTTCTTTCCTCTATATAAACAAAATTCTCATCAAGAATTTTCTTATCCATCATTATATTCAACAGATCATAGCCACCATTGACTCTCTCTCTCCCGTCTTCGTCAATATAATGTTCTTCTTATGGTATATATGTTTCTCTCTATTGATTATACTCATCTTCACTGCATTATATTGCATTGCATGTCTGCTTCATCCTTTCATTCATTCCTCTTCACTTTTCATTCTCAAAGTACCATTTTTATTTTTATTATTATTAATCATTACTTTTATTATTTTCTGTCTTATTGTTATTTAACTTGTAATTAATGATGGATTTCGTATACACGTGCGTGCGTAGATGATCATGTCGACTGTGCAGAGAATGAGGGAAGCAATGGTGTTTGTGTTGTTAGCCATGTTCTCAAAAGCAGTGAGCTCAATGCCGTACTGGTGGCCGAGCGTCGACACTACGGATACTTCTGGTTACTGCCTCAGCTGGCGTCTGGCGGTCGAGTCAAACAATATCAGAGCTTGGCGGACAGTCCCCACTCAGTGCTCTCGCCACGTGGAGGCGTACATGACAGCTGGACAATACCAGCGTGACCTCAACCTCATTGTCGACAACATCTTCACCTACATCGACTCCATCCATCTCCCGTACGACGGCTTTGATGCTTGGATTTTCGATGTGGACGACACCTGCATTTCTAACCTCTTTTACTACAAAGGGAAGCGCTATGGGTATGTATATAATTTTCTGGCAGACTCATGATTGATTATTATTAACATATAATAATAATAATAATAATTGTAGGTGTGAGCCTTTTGATCCATTGGCATTCAAGGCATGGGCACTGAATGGAGCTTGCCCTGCAATTCCTGATGTTCTCAGATTGTTCAACAAGTTGATCCAAACTGGCTTCAAGGTGTTCCTTGTCACTGGCAGAAACGAAGACACTCTCGGGCAGGCCACTGTTCAAAATCTGGACGACCAAGGATTTTTCGGTTACGAACGTCTCTTTCTAAGGTCCCTTTTATTATATGCTGTTACACTTCATAGTCATAATCATATTGATCGTTATGATAAAAACTGAACTTTTCATTGTACAGGAATGATTCGTATAAAGGTCAAAGCGCGATAACGTACAAGTCGGATATACGTAGGCAATTGGTGGGAGAAGGATACAGGATATGGGGTAACGTAGGAGATCAGTGGAGTGATCTTCAAGGAGATTATGTGGGTAACCGCACCTTCAAACTCCCCAATCCCATGTACTTTGTCCCTTGATTCATGCATGATTCAAATGCAAATGCAAATCCAAATCGAGGGATATATATATATGTATAATTGTAATGATCTGCAATGTCAGGACTCGAACAAGTACTTTTTTTTCATCACAAAAAATAAATAATTGTAGCATATCCATTTTCCATTTTATCACATTTTGTGAAAATAACACAGTACACAGAACTAGGCTACGATACAGAGTGCCTCTTACCCCTGCCAGCTGATTTGAGCTTCTTGCCACGCTTGTTGTGTTGATCTTGATTTTGGGCCTTAAAAATACCGATTCTTCCGATCCCTTTAGATATGGAGGTGAGCAGAGTCTTCCCCCCCTGGCTAGACTTATCCATCATCCCCTGTTTCATGACCAACTGTTCTTTCTCAACATCGCTCAGCCTAACTCTCATTCTCGATATCTCCAGCTTCAGCTCCCTATTCTCTCTCCTCAGCGAAGCGTAAGTATCTCGTGGTGACATTGCGGCGCTCGCAACCCCACTGCTTATCTTCTGCGATAACAAACCGTCACCACAGCTTCCTGACAGTGCATTCTTCAACCTCAGCTGCTCAAAATACAAAACCCTAACTACCAAGTGGACCGGGAGTCTATCGTTTTGTGCTGCATGGTTGCATGCTTCTTCCGATAGTTTCTGGCAGTCTATGAACTTGCACAGCTTCTTGCATTCGTTTTCGTTCAGCGTTTGGTGTGCCTATAAAAATATATACATGTTATAGCAGCAAACATATGTAATAATTTTAACAAGATCGAATCATCATCATCAATTCCCTTACCTTTAAGTAGATGTCGATAGCCCTGTAAAGCCCGTCATCAATGACACGAGCGTAATCGGGTAGTACTTCAATCATGGAAATGAACTTTGCAAGGCTCAAATACGGGTCAGGAGCGATTTCAGCTAAATATGAATCGATAAGCCTTCCAACTTTTAACAAGGACCCATGCCCATCCGATTCATATCCGAATTCTTCGTTTTCTTCTTCTTCTTCGATGCGTTGGAGGAAATGACCCAGAATCCGATGGATGGTATCCACATCAAACAAGGACTCACCTGTTTGGACACAAGGTATAAGCAGATCATCCAGTATTGCCATTTCTAATCTATAAGCAATTCTTCTCTCGAGCTCGATCCTGCACGCTAAGGTAGCATCCACCATTATAGCTACCCTCGTCATCCCAAACAGAAAAGTCAAAGGAATAACGGAGGAACTTTTCTCCGTGGGTAACAGAGTTACAAGAGATTCGACAATGGTTTTCTGGGCGTTTTCGACGAAGCCAGGGTTATTTGTTCTTGCTGGATTCCACAAATGTGGCTTCCCAATTCCCTTTAGTGAAGTATGTGCATAATGCATCAAAGAGGCAACTATGCTGTCTGTCCTCACACCACTCTGTCCCATTGCACTAATAACTCTGTGATAAAAATCGACACCCAATACAGAAAGCTCTTCAATCCACCACTCATGACACCTACCTTTCGGCTCTAAAGATCCACTGTGACAATCTAAACGAGATAAACCTGATACAAGCTGTTCCTTACAAGCAGTCGTCGTAATAGCACATACACATCTGTCTGAAATTCCTATTTCGTCAGCAAGTGGTAGTAGGTTCTCGCAGGAAGATAGAACCTCGACTGATTTTTGAAGACTGTGAGATACAACTTCGATTAGATAGGTTTGTGTACGTTCGATGAGGTTTTCGTCTCGATAATCTTCAGTCATTTCCATGTATTCAGCAGCGCAGCGCAGAGGGGCTACATTTGCTGATGTGATAGCAAAATTCATGCCATAACAGAATTTGGCAGCAAGTTCGAATGTTTCGGGGCCTCCAGGCAAGTTATTGAGTTCCAGCTTTGATAGATTTGAATTACTGATTTTGGCATCAGCAACGAGCTTACGGATCTTACCACTTCGAGCGACTAGGGGGAACTTTAGGAACCAAATGTGGGAAGTTGATTAGTTTGAAGGAGATTAGAGAGACAAGGTATATATAGTTTTCAGTTGAGAACCATAAACAAAACAAGTAAGTACCTTATGCAATAGAAATGATTCTCCATCAACAATGATTGTGATGTCACCAGCAACATCTGAGAAAATACTGCACACACACACACACAAGTAGATAAAATAAAATAAAAAGTTTCCATGTAAACATATAACTAAATCAGAAACATAAAGAAGTAATAAGCAACAAGAGGTAGTATGTTTACCGGTTGGCAAAGGAAGTGGAGAACTTTGTGGGAGGAGGGTGGTGGTGGTGGGGGGTGGAGAGAGAATGCTCCGACACCATTCTCTATGTTTGTTGGGAAATATTCTTGTCCGAGTATAAGAGTAGCTGAGCTTGCAACAGAATCTCAAACTACTACTACTCCGACCACGGCAGAAACTAAGCAACAGTAATAAAATGCAATCATTGAAGAGAGATGGAATCAAAACATCATATGAAAAGATAACAAGAAAAAAAGTAGTTGAACTTGAAAGAATTAATTATATTATATTGCTGCTATAAAAGGGAAAACAGTGCAGGCAGGAATTGGCATTTACAGTGCAGGAATTGGATTTAAATAAATTCATGATCATGCATCATGCACCGCCACCATCTCTATCGACTATCAATCTATAAACATTGTTATTAATTAAATCAAAAGTAAAAGAAAAAGGAAAAAGAAACAAATTAAAGACAGATTTAGGGGAATACAAAAGCGATTGTTTTTATGTTTAAAAAAAACATAAAAACGGATTACTTACTTAGGAGAGTTGGTTAACCTTTTCCTCTTTATATATACACAAGCGAGCGACTTCTGCTTTTCTTTCCTTTTTGTCTCCTTCTTCTCAAACGGATCATTGTCTTTACTTTTTCACTTTTCTTTCTCTCTTTTTTTTTAAAAAAAAAAAATTAATAAAAACAAACCAACTCTGCTTTTTCTTTACACCGATTAAAATTAATTAATTAATATATTCTGTGATTTTACTGATTACTGAATTACTGATTATACCTATCATCATCATGATTACAAACCTTTCAACAGTATTTGAAATTTTGAATGTGTGAAAATAGACGTTACAGATTCATTAACTAATTAATGTCACAATGTCCTGTTTCGATATGTAACTATGATTATTACATTACAAAAAAAAAAAAGATGAACTAACTGATTAATATAATTAGTTAAATGTGGGAAAAAGTAAAATATATAGTAGATATGTATGTATGTGGTAGTGAGGGAGGCAGCAAAGCAAGTTTGTAAAGCAGTGCAAAGCATATGGAATGGTCACTGACGACTGACACATATATATAATAACATACTAAACACCCAAATTATTACTCTATATAATAATTACTTTTACCATCCTTCAATGCAATTTTACTAATTACTTTTTCCTTCTTTATTTCACATAATAATTACTTCCACTGCATTTCCATTCCTGCTATATGATTAGTTTCTACTATTTTTTTGTATTATCTTGTTCTTCTTTTTTTGGATCATAGCAATAAACATATTTCTCTATTCAATAACGAACTGATGTGCTGCAATTTACAGATCTACTTGAATTAAGTCTTTCATGTGATCTGAAATAAACTTCATTTTAGCAAAAGCAATAAATACTTGAATTTTAGATAACTATATACCCTACAAACTATGATATAATTTATAGTTTAGTTGTTTGGTTAGTAAGATAATCATGATTAATTCTTATTTGATGTTTAAATGTTTGGGCCTAGCAACAATTATGAAAATATGGGCTATTGTCTTCCTTATCTTACTTAGGGATTGAAAAATTTGGTCCAATTATATAATTCCATATTATCCTGGGTCCAGCCCAAGTGGAGAGGGACTAAATTTGAAATATCCATTTAAGTTGGGGCGGAAACAAAAAGTGCCCAAGTGAGGAGAGGCTAAATTTCGAAATATTCATTTAAGTTGGGGCGTAAAGTGAAGATCGAAGAAAAAAGAATCTCTCTCTGTAACCCAATTGGAAATCGGGAGGAGCTCCGCCATACATACAAACCCATATCAATAAATAAGCATGCCGAGCCACGACGTATTAGCATTGCCCACTGCGCTCAAGCTGTGAGCATGATGAACTCTCAGTAGTAATATTCGATTTTTTTACTTTGAATTTCTGATTCTAACCATGGTTTGCTGCAGTTACCCACCGATTGTTTCTCTTGATCGCCGCTCTCAACCATTCTACCCGTTTAATTCCCCCTTCCATCTTCGGAAAGGTTTGTTCAAGTTTCTTTCCTTGTTTTAAATTAATTTCCAGTTACATTAGAGTCATTTTCGCGCTCTGAGTATAATGAACTATTCGTTTTCTGACTTGCTGAAATTTGACATTCGTGGGTTCAGATTTATCTTGTAGCTTTCAAAATATTTTGATATGCCCAGGCTCACCTACACTTTGTTTTGCAGGCGGCAGGAACCAAAAGGTCTCTATACTTAAGGCAGGCTTTTGGGAGTCCATTAGATCAGGGTAAATTGAATTATTTCATAATTGTGATTTGTTATGGTAGCTTTTTGGCAACCAATTACTATCTTGCACTTGTTTGTTTTTTTTTTTTTTTTTTTTTAACTATGATGGCTGGTGCTGCAATTTACATTTCTACTTGTCGGACTAGTGACTACATATAATGACATAACCACTGATTTAGTTTGAGATCAAGTGGGGGGGAATGAACAACTTGAGACCTTTTGTGCTTCATTTTAGGATTTTGAAGAACAACACTGCACAAGTTGTAGAACCACCTTCCCCTGTTGAAGAAGTGGAAGAGCTTTTGCCCGAGGAATTTGTTCTTGTCGAGAGAACCAGACCTGATGGGACGGTTGAACAGATCATATTTTCGTCTGGCGGCAATGTTGATGTCTATGATCTTGAAGCTTTATGCGATAAGGTGATTAAACCATTCATTTTTCTTATTTCCATTCTCTTGGTTTTCTTTAAAATTCTTCATTAAGAACATCTTTTTCAATGTCGTATAGTTATCTGATATTATTCGTTGCATTTATTATAATTCTCTACTCTAGAGATGCTATAGAGACCAACATGAAATATATTCTGTTGTGACGATCTAACAAGCTCTTTGGCAGTTTCAAATTTTCTGGGCCATGTCTCACACTAGAGAAAGCAAATTTTCTGTATCACATTAGTATTGAAGCGTTTTTATGACAAAGACAGAACTTGTAATACACTTTGGGACATGTGCACTATCAGTTTCCTATTTTGGGACATGTGCACTATCAGAACTTGTTATATTTTTTATGCAATTTCCTTCTTTGATTCATGTTGTTATGGCATTGTCCCAGTTTTCCGGCCAAAATGGGAGTAAGGAGTTACACCTTGTTATCATTAACTAGTTACACTAATTCTCAAAATGCACATGATAGGTTGGTTGGCCTCGTAGGCCACTGTCAAAGCTAGCGGCAGCTCTGAGAAATAGCTACATAGTTGCTACTTTGCATTCCGTAAGCAAATCATCTGGAGAAGGTATTAAATAGCAGGATCTTTCTTGGTTAATGAATACAGCCTAAAGCTAAATGTCTAAAGCTTGTTAATTCAAAATTTATATTTCTAACTATGTAACAATTAGTAATACTGTTATTAAATAAACTAAAGTGACAGAAATCTTAGTGTACTTTGGCAAGTTACTTGGCAGAGGTAAATGGCCAAAAGAAGTTGATAGGAATGGCCCGTGCTACATCAGATCACGCTTTCAATGCAACGATATGGGATGTTCTTGTTGATCCTTCTTATCAGGTACTCTCACAGCATTACATATAAGTCAACATCAGACCTGCTAGATTATATCTTAAGTCGTTCTGCACGAGATTTAATTTCGGTTATGCATTATTTATGTTTTGATGGATGTGCTTGTGATTTAGGGCCAAGGACTCGGAAAAGTCCTTATTGAGAAGCTAATAAGGACTCTTCTACAACGGGATATAGGAAATATTTCTCTGTTTGCAGATAGCAAAGGTATATTACTGATCACTAGAGAGGTGCTTCTAAAATCTGCCTTGAGCCTGGCATAACAAGAATATATGCTCAACACCTGTAGGCTGAAATTATAGGAATAATTTTTTGAGTTGATGTTATTTCTTGCGATTGAATGCAGTTGTGGAGTTCTACCAGAATCTAGGTTTTGAACCTGATCCTGAGGGCATTAAAGGTATGTTTTGGTACCCAAAGTAATAGCGGATGATCTCGATCTCCAGTCTGAGACCACCTCGACTACTTAGTTTTGGAGTTGTATGGTGAAATACTTGGATGGACCATGTTTGTTTGGGGGAATGTGACAATTTATTGTGCTGTGATGATGTCAACTACCATATGGTCTGGTCTTTGGAGGTTTTGAAGAGCCTGACCTGTAGTTGTAAATATACGTTCGTTCCCAGTAGCAAAAGAATGGGGTTTGAGAAGCAGGCTAAGAAATGCTATCGTTTATTCTCAAGTGTCATTTATCTCATACTATGTTGCTCTAATATACAGTATCTTCATTGGATGTCTTTTAAGAATGTGTATGTGCTATTGGACTTTATGGTCAGTGATTGTGGCATCATTAAACATTTTCATAACTTCGGCTAACCTCTGACGTATTTAACTGCCCTCGTTTGACTGTTTCACTCCGTTTATGTTTTTTTCCTTTTTTTTTCACATTGTAAAAGTTTGTGGCCATCTAGATAGATGAATAATGTAAGTATGAAATTGAAACTTGCAAGTCACATCAATACCTGTTCTTGTTAATATTTGAATTTGTCAAAGGCTAACAAACATATTGGTTGCTAATATTATTTGTTAACGATTTGAAAACGTTGATTGGGAAGTAGGTAATACAAGTTGGATATATTTTTATTAATGGATCCATGGTTGACAATTGGGCGCTGGTTTTGAACTGGAACATAATTTGTTATATTAAATATGCCCCCAGTGTTCATTTTTCTAGTTTATTCTGCACTGTTGCTTCTTTGAATAACTCTTTCTCGCTACCTACACGTACATATTCACTGAAATTCAGTGTTCAACATTATTATTTTTTAATCAACAACAAGAATCCAAGGGGAAAAACATTATTATTTTACTAAAATCAACATTTAGTACAGAAAGCAGAGAGGAAAAGATTAAAGTTAATGCGATTCGAGTACAAATAAACCTAACTGAAACTGGGCATTGGCGCCATTGATGAGTTTTGAGTTCAAGTTCATGATACCCCATTTATTACCAACGTCATACTAATTTGAATTTGTCCCTTTCTCCCCCGGTCATCATGATTGATTTGCCCGATTTCTGCAATTCTTTATCTGCAAATTCTGATTTTCATATTGTTGACAATGCCATTTACCAAATGCCTTTGTGATTTCTTCAAAAACATTGACTGCGTCCCAACTCTTAGTTCCCAAGTTATTATATATCCTATAAAATATATTAATATGTGTATAAAATTTTATACACATTCCACTGGACCAAGCCACTGACTTTCTTGTATTGTATGTTCCTGAGGGTTCATATCGTAATACACTTGTCTGTTTTACTTTCTTCTTCTTCTTGAATATGTAGAGTATAATTAATCAGGATTTTCTTGCAATATCTTATCATGTTCATGAGCTGTTGAACTATATATGATTGTTTTTTTCTGAAAGCACGCATTTTATTACACTTGCAGATGGCAGGGCGGACAATACTTTTTCTCGGAGTAATTCTTTGGCTTTCATTATGTTTGTCTTCTCCCGTTGCGCATGGGCAGATTACTGATCCCCAAGAAGGTTATTACAGCTTATACCTTGCCTCCTCATCATCATCATCATCATAATGATAATAATATTTTAATCTATATTTCTGTGTGTGGTGCAGTCGCCGCTTTATTGGCAGTTCGTAGTAACCTAAAGGATAAGGACAAGAATCTGAATTGGACAAGGAAAACCGATCCTTGCGCGTCAAATTGGACAGGGGTGTTATGTTACAAAAATGAAACTGATGGTTATATGCATGTCCAAGAACTGTATGTGCTTCTCTCTTTTGAAAATTTGAAAATTACTTTCTGATTTACTCTTACCCTCTCTCTCTCTCTCTTGTCTGTGCATGCATGAAGGCGCTTACTTCGATTGAATCTCACTGGAACATTAGCTCCAGAGCTTGGTCAGCTAACTCATATGAAAAGATTGTGAGTCATCAATCAATCAATCAATAATTGTTATATCCGAGTATTGACCACTCACTGTGTTGTGTTGTGTTCTGGTGTTGTGTACAGGGACTTCTTGTGGAACAAAATAAGTGGAAGCATACCAAAGCAGATTGGCGATATTACTGCACTTGAGCTCCTGTATGATGTCGATATCATCCTTCCATCCAATCATATAATGACTTTATTTATGATTTTGCAGTATTTTCTCCTAGTAATAGTTGTGTTGTGTCATTCATTTTTAGTTATTTCTTCCAACTAAATCAGTATTTTATTTTATTTTATTATTATAGGCTTTTGAGTGGAAATCAGTTAACAGGTTCTCTACCAGATGAGCTTGGTTATCTTCCCAACTTGAGTAAGTTTCAGCTGGATCTGAACGAGATATCGGGACCAATCCCTAAATCGTTTGCCAACTTACCCAAAGTTCAGCATTTGTGAGTATCAATACTCATACCCAAGAACGTATAAAATATAAAAAACTTGTTTATGCTCTTTACTTATTATTACTATTGATGATGCCCTAATTAAATGCAGCCACATGAACAACAATAAATTCACCGGTCAGATTCCACCTGAGCTCTCTACCCTTCCTTTACTCAAGCACTTGTAAGCCCGCATACTTGGTTAACAGATTAGAAAATATACATCATGTTTTACGTACTAATTAATTGTTGAACTTTAACAGCCTTCTTGATAACAACAATTTGTCTGGGTATCTTCCTCCGGAGCTTGCTCAGATGCCTAGCTTAACAATTCTGTATGTCCTGTGCTTCTTATGATTTATTTAGTGGGCTAATTGAGAATTTTCTTTTTTCAAGCAATAATAATAATAATGTTTCTCCTTGTACAAACTATTTATTGCAGTCAACTTGATAACAACAACTTTGCTGGGAGCGTGATCCCAGATTCTTATGGCCAGATACGCAAGCTCATTAAGCTGTATTGTCTGTCTCCCCTTTTCTTTCATACATAAATCTATAACTATTAAACAATTAATAATGTTCAACTTACTTGGTTGAATGAAAACCAGACTATCAATCAACAAATATATTTTGTGTTCTAGTAGAGTTTGACCTTTGTCATCATATTAATTTCTTTTCTTGTTTTGGATTGTGATGATATAATTTCATTTGAGCAGGAGTCTGAGAAGCTGCGGCCTACAAGGAACAATACCTGATCTAAGTGGATTACGACGACTTCTCTACTTGTATGTCAGCATAAGTACTTGTTCTTACATATGATTGTTGTAATGATTGTTCAACATGCTAAACGTTTCATTTGTGTTCAACTTACAGGGATATTAGCCACAATCAACTCACTGGAAAGATAACGTCAAATACAATATCTCAAAATATCACAACCATGTAACTAATTAATTTCAAACATATTTTCATTGCCAGCTGGTTGTTATCTTCGCATGATATATTGACGGCTAATGCATAATCCATTTTTACTTGCAGTATTTTATCAAATAATCAGCTTAATGGGTCCATTCCGTCAAACTTCTCTGGGCTCTCTCATCTCCAGAAATTGTGAGGAATCTGCCTTAGAATCATGTCATTTTCATTTTTCTTATTTCATTTACATTTTCTAGTATTCTAAATCATGTCATTTTCATCATCATAGGTATCTAGATAACAACTTGTTGAGCGGATTTGTACCGTCTACCATCTGGGATAATATAACCTTCACTTCAGATACAAAACTTGATATGTAAGACAAGACTCGACTTTACATTTCAATGTTTGGTCTTTTTTCTTACATTCAACTTATCTAATTTTCTACTGTTTCTTGCAGAAATTTTGAAAATAATCTCCTCTCTGATATTTCCGGCGTCCTTGATATTCCTCCAAATGTAACACTCAAGTAAGTATTATTTACGTTTTAATGTGTACATAAATCCTGTTAGCTTAGGATTTGATGGCTGACTAGTCTACAATTTTTAGGCTTAGCGGAAATCCTGTTTGCACAAACGCAAATCAACGAAACATCAGGCTGCTTTGTGGACCTAGCAATGGAAACGAAGAAGCACCACAAAATTTGGATAAGCCAGTTTTAACTTGTCAACCGCAGTCTTGTCCGATCCGAGACCACTTTGAATATGTCCCAACATTACCAAATGAATGCTTTTGTGCTGCACCTTTTGGTATTGGACTAAGACTGAGAAGTCCTAGCATATCAAACTTCCTTCCATATCGTGATGAATTTGATATGTTTATAACAACAAATGTGTACGTAAAGCCAAATCTTACATTGTACAAATACCAGCTTTACGTTGATTCAATCGAGTGGGAAGCCGGTCCAAGGCTAAAAATGTTTTTGCTCTTCTATCCCGAGTACACAAATAATTCTAATACATTCGCTGAAAGTGAGATTCAGGCTATTGCAAATACATTTGCTGGCTTCACAATACCTGGGAGCGATATATTTGGCCCTTATGATCTTCTCAATTTCACAGCTCAAGGACCTTATTCAAATGGTATGTATGTATGAGAACCAACTCCAACCAGATTTTTATTAATTGGATTTTCATTTTTATATTTAATCACTCTTAAACGAATGCAGTATTACTTCCGTCACTAGGAGGCGGTGGTCGAAGCAAAGGTGCGTTGGCTGGAATAATATTAGGATCTATCTCATGTGTCATTGTCGTAGTTGGGGGTTTGCTGTTTCTCTTTCGAAAAATGCGTCAAAAGTCGCAAGCTGAAGCTGTCAAAAATCAACCCCGTGAGTTTTTCATGTACCTTATAGATGGCTGGTATTCTGACATCCTAAATACTTGAAACATATACTTAATAGTGTTGTTATCTGCAGTACCGAAAGTGACAATGAAGATGGATGGAGTGAAGGCATTTAGTTTTGAGGATATGCAAACAGCAACAAGCGGTTTCGTGATAACCACTCAAATAGGGCAAGGAGGATATGGGAAAGTGTACAAAGGAACTTTAGCAGATGGTGTAGTTGTCGCTGTAAAACGTGCTCAACAGGGTTCGTTACAGGGTGATAAAGAGTTCTACACAGAGATTGAAATGCTTTCTCGCGTACATCATCGTAATCTGGTCTCACTCGTTGGGTATTGTGATGAAAAAGGAGAACAGGTAATTACTTATATCTAATTCCAGTGCTCCATCTTTTATTTTAATACCATGTTTTTTTTAAATCCAATTTTACTGCAGATGTTGGTTTATGAGTTCATGCCCAATGGTTCATTACATGACCTCCTCTCTGGTACTAATATTAATTATTCCACACGGTTTTTTTTTTTTTTTTTTTTTTTAAAATAATAATTATAATCCATCAGTAACGTGTCTGCATTGTTCTTACGGCAACAGCTCAATACAGAGCACCTCTGAATTTCAAAACAAGATTGCATATTGCTTTAGGTGCTTCAAGAGGCATCCTTTACCTACACACTGAAGCTGATCCACCGATCATTCACCGTGATATAAAGGCAAACAACATACTGTTGGACTCAAAATGGACTGCCAAAGTCTCCGATTTTGGGATTTCGAGGCTTGTACCAGTATCAGAAGACGCAAAAGGGGATTCAAATGCACAAATATCCACCAATGTTAAAGGAACACCTGTATGATAAACAAACACTTTTGTTGTCACCACATTGTACAAGGCTACAGCTAACGAAAACCATCCATGTTTTTGAATTGCAGGGATATGTGGATCCAGAATATTTCTTGACCCGCAAGTTAACGGAGAAAAGTGACGTTTATAGCCTTGGTATTGTATTTCTGGAGCTCTTAACAGGGATGCAGCCCATATCACATGGAAGGAACATTGTCAGAGAGGTATTGTATTCTCAAATAATAATCACGTGAATAAAATTGCAATGGTGATGATGTGTACACACTACATAATAATCAGGTAAATGCTGCGTGTGGATCTGGGATGATGGTTTCGATAATAGACAGGAAAATGGGGCCCTACCCTTCGGAATGTGTGAAGAAATTAATGGCATTAGCACTGAGATGCTCTTTGGATGAGACAAAGGATAGGCCTACAATGCAGGAGGTTGTAAGAGAGCTTGAGAATATAACAACAATGTTTGAGCAGCAATCATCAACTGGAGGCACAGACACAGTACCAGAAATGAATGTAATAAATAGATTCAGTCCAGGCAGCACATCAGTGGGGTCCGGTCCTTTGTCTTCTGTGTATGATAGGAGGAGTCCATATGTATCGATGGATCTCAATAGCGGTGATCTTGTTAGTGGTGTCATCCCTACCATTAATCCTCGCTGATCATCTCCTCCTTCAATTTTCCATATCTGTGTTTTTATAAGTCCTGGTCTCACCGTTGTATATAGTATGTATCTTTCCATATCTGTGTTTTTACACCGTTGTATATAGCATGTATTGTTGTATTTCATGTGATTTGAGTTATTTATTTTATGTATACAAGTAAACAGAACATGAATGGATGAATAAACCCTGTTTTTTTTTTTTTTTTTTTTTTTTTTTTTTTTTTTAAATCAAATAGAGATTGGCAGCAACACGGAGGATCAAAATCCTGTCTTACTCATCAACAATTAGCACCTACTAAATACGAAGCTAAATAACATGCAAAACAGTGAAGATTGAGCTCCGCCAAGACGTTCAAAACTAGGATATCTCCTACTTTAAAACATCATCGTTACAGTCTGCTAACAAAAATTTCCATATACATTTTCACTTACAATAATAAATATGTACGAGCATTTAAGAGTTACATTTTTGCAATACGAGGGGCGAAAATTGGCCATTGCCAGCAACAAAAAGGTACTAGTACAGTTAAGTTGATAAAATTCATCAAGTGAGAATTTGCCCCCCAGATTAAAGTGCGTTCTTCAATGTCTTCTTGCATCAGAGCCTTCAAATAAAAATCTGATATCTTCCATTGTGAGGCGAGTGACATGGCCACCACTTGGATCTTCACCAAAAGCAGATGCCACCATTTTCCTCTTGTCTTCCTGGAATATTATAACCAGATTTAAACACATTTGAGTTTCAGTACAAATTTGTACACTTAAGCTTGTTTAAGAAATTAACAACTATGATTCCAGCCCAGAGTCATGCATAATGTGTGTATATAACTAATGAAACCACAGTAACCTGAAGGGCCAAGATTCGATCTTCAACAGTGTCCTTGATGGTTAACCTTGATACAGTAACAGGACGTGTCTGTCCTATTCTGTGAGCTCGATCAACAGCTTGATCTTCCGTAGTTGGGTTCCACCATAGATCCAGAAGTATTACACGACATGCAGCAACCATATTCAGACCCAGGTTTCCAGCTTTTAGGGACATTAACATCACATCTACCTAAAATTTACAAAATTAACTTTTCATCAAGCAAAATGTTAAACTAATAGTAAATGTGGTCAATTTTTCAGAACATTCCGTACAGAGGCAATAACTAAATATGAAAGATTACTACATATTACTACCTCAGGATCAGTGTTAAAATCTTTGACAGCCTTGTCTCGAGCAGCTATTGACATAGTACCATCAAGCCTCCGGTAACGGATACGTGAATTCTTAAGTGACATCTCCACCAAGTCCAACATGCTAGTCCATTGTGAAAAAACAATAGCCTTTTCAGGTTCTTTATTCTCAGAATTTAAACAAGGACCAGCTGAAGATGAAGCATCCCCATCATATTTGACCAAATCACATGACTCGGAACTCAGACTTTTTGATATGCAATGCGTCTTGATAATTTCGAGAGCGGACTTGATTTTTGAGGATATGTAGTCACGTTGTAAGACTGTAGATTTATCAGACAGTTCATAGGGAGCAGCCGTATCACCATCAATATCATCAGACATGCATCTCAGTAAGGTAGATCTGGAATATACAACGTCGGCACCAAGTTGTTCTTTGCATTCAGGGGCAGGACATGTATTGTCTTCCCCTGTCAAATGATCCGCGACACATTGATAACAGAAAACGTGTCCGCACATTGTGACGACTGCATTTTCTGGAGGATCCTATAGAACATGTGTCATTGAAATAATTAAACATGATAATTAGCTCATTTGATATATTAAATTTGTAAAATAGGATACTTGAGTTAAAGCATTTGAGAGATAATGATTGTGAATGCATAACAATATGATGCAGAAAGTCCTAGGATGTTGGAGAACATACTCTGCATACAAGACATATTGCCAATGAAGTTTCCAATTGCTTTAATAAATTGACAAGGAGTTCCCTGGGGAGCATTTGGGCCATCTGAGAGGAAACTTTTCCAACAGGGTCCGAGCTGAGCCCTTTGACAAGTAACGGGTGGTCACAAGCTTGCCGAAGACGCAGAAGCATCAACAGAATATTTGCATAATTTTGATTAACTGTACCAGCAGCAGCATAAGCCTGCATAAATAAATAATTTAAAATCCAAAGTTTTTCAAACATAAACGAAACCAAATGTCAGATAACTTAAAAGGTCCTGATGCAATCTTCTATAAAGGACCAATGTGAATGGAGAAGTTGAAGAATACATTAGTTTGCAACATTAAGAGTTATGATTCTTTTTAGCCAGCAAATGGAGACAGACCTTGAATTGCTTGCGTGAATCTGCTTCAAGTTTACTATAGAAAGCTCGTTCTTCTAAAGAGAACTCCACCCTTGTCAAATGTACTCTTTTGGGAGGCAGGTTGATTATAGGCTCACCGTCAAGCAGTGTACCTAAGCCACAAAGAGGAGAATGTTATCACACTTTCCACTTGTATTGATTCTAGAACAAGATATAAGTTCACACAGTTCTGCACTACGTCAGGAGATATTTTCAAAAAGCTTCATATTTAACTATGCTATCTTCAATGAATGGCTAGGAACATAGGGAATCACCTTTTGTTCGACGCAACATGATATTCCTCAAGACAACTTGGAGCTTCTTATAACCTTTCACCGAGTCTCTCGAGATTAGGGCCTTGATTGAGGAGCCAAATGTTTTGTACTTATCATATGGATCATACCTCAAAAATCTGAAGTAGCTGAATAATTCATCTATAGAATTTTGTATCGGTGTTCCAGATAAGCACCATCTTCGTTTTGCTCTAAGGCTGCAACAGGCTCTAGCCACTTGTGTTCTGTGATTCTTTATTGTTTGAGATTCATCCAGAATAACCCTTGACCATTTCACCCTTGCCAGCGTACCACAATTACTATCAAAAGCAGACATGTCAATTTCTTTTTTACCCTTCTTGGACTTGTTATTAACTGATGACTTTTTCCGTTTCTTCTCCATGGAAAATGCAGAAGATAATCCAAATTGGTCTCCATCTTTCTGTTCAGTACCATCCTCGTCAACCAAGGGTTGCTTTGGAACTTCATTTGCCACAATAGCATATGTCGTTAAAACTGCATCATATCTTGCCAATTTAGCAGCATCCTTAGTACGGCTGCCTCCATGATAAATTAGAGTAGAAATTCTAGCTTCTTTTGTTACTTTCTCATCGAGCTCCCTAGCCCACTGTCGAAGAACACTAGCTGGGCAAACAATCAACGTACCCGCTGTGGGCCTCCTGCTTCGGAAATCCTTAATTGTATTAATTGCAAAATCATCAGATTCTTTAATCTGCTGGTTTGCATCACCAACTGCAACACAACCACTACTTCCATCATCATCATCCAAGTTCAAGGCCTCAATTACTGTATTAGGCGAGTCTTTAGGTTTAGATTTTGCCTCCAAAACCTTTTGCATCTGCATGAGGGCAATCATTGATACAGTCTTACCAAGGCCCTGCAGTATTGAAAGTTATAAGGTAGATATAATGCTCCGACAAAATGGAAGTTAGAAACTTAAATGAGAAAATAAAATCATCCAAATCACTAGCTTGCAGACCTGGTCATCAGCCAGAATCCCCCCCAAACATAAACCAGATGATTCCTTATTGAGCATCCATGCCAAAGCAATTTTCTAAAAAAAGATAAGAAAAAAAAAAAAGATAAGATCTCTGCTTAAAATCACAAATACGGAATAAAGATTTCTAACATCAGCAAACAAGGACCTGGTGTCTAAGAAGAGAAACTGACAAGAGACCTTCAGGTAATCGAGCTTCGACCTTGGGTTGATGAAGATCCTGCAGGAAAAGTACAATAACTTTGATACACACTTATTCTTGTATTCATAATTCGACCTTGGGTTGACTAACAGAAACATGTTTGGAACTAGGTTAATAGCAAGCAATGATAACTTTTTTAAAGAGAATTCATAAAAGTTGGGAGACAGTGAACTGTCAGTAAAAACATAGTGATCATTCTCAGGAGCAACAGGCGATAACAGAAAAATAATTTTCTAAAGTAAATTTACTTGCTAGTAAATCAGTGTTGTTGTCGAAGAATACAGGTAAAGAGAGCCACATGTCTCTACTTAGAAGGTCGAAATCGTTCAATTTGGAGAGGAACCTCAAAACATTGATTTTAGAAGATACAATGGGCAATACTTTAAATCCTTTTGACTTCTCAAGGTACCATCAAGATTAGAGGAATAACAAGAAAGTCTAATCCTTCCAAGAAACATGAGAAGGAAATCAAAACCTCTAAAAAAATAATGGTAATTTGCAAACATAAACTCAGTTAAATCAAAATCTATCAACGAAATCTCATTTGAGAACAGAATACGTGATTGAGGTCAGTCCCCAATGAACACAAAAACCAAAGACACACACAAACAAGTACCTGAACAGCTGCTTGAAAAACAAATCTCTCATCAGCTCCTGCAGGCCTTTCTTCACCTACCCCTGTATGATGGAAGGAATCGTTTGAACCACTATATGGAGTGGATGAAGAATGTTTTCCAGGCATCATAGAAGGAGGCAGTAGTCTATTTCCTCTTTTTTCATACAATGACGAATCATTCCCACTGCCCGAGATAAAATTTTCTTTCATCGAGTTGTTTCCATTAGAAGAATTTGACCATGCTGAGGATTCGTGAGATTTTCCATATGGATCACGAATTTCACTTGGACCAACATTTTCGAGCAGGTTGTTCGGTCGGAAATTAGAGGTAGAAGGCTGGAGTGATGGAGGGAGGGCCCTCTTCAATGGTTGATGAGAAGAATGCATTTCATGAGTTGTAACATATCTACCAGAACCATTTGAACTAGTTTTCTTATAAACATTTTCATCCGTCCTGGTATTTGAAACTCCAGCAGTCTCCGCAATATTCAATCGCTTATGGGGTCTTGGTGAAATTCCGTTATTAACATTTGGTCTCTTGGAAGAAGAAGGGTCTTTGCGAGAAAGGCCAGTTTGACCTGCAAATCACATCACAGGCTATCTGATATGTAACATCAGTTTTTTCATAATAAAGCTATTTATATCCAGTAATTCAGGAGTCACCTGTAGAATGAGTTGAAGATGCCCAAGATGGAAGAATCCTGGAATTCATAGAAGAGAGTGTGTCCCTCTCCGGAGATTCGTCTCTATAATTATCTATTTCCCTTAAATCCGAATCGCTGTCCGTCGAGCTGATATCTATAGGACCGACTGAATCCATTGCTTCAAAAGAACTATTATGAGTCGGACTTAGTAATTCAATTGACTGACCAAATGCTGAACTGACCTGTAATTCAGAGAAACAACGTGCCTCAATATGTGGCAAACAAAGATATTTACATGGATGTTGCAACCATCTGGAAGAAACATGTTCACTTACCACGTAAGAAAAACGCCTCAAATAATCTAGTATTCCACCAAAAATTGCATGTCTCCGAGAGAATTTTAATATATTATCCACAGGATCCACATGGTCAGGCATCTAAAGAAGTTATGGACATCAAATGCCCCATACCTAAAAAAAAGATATGGCAATGTACAACCCTAAGCAAGGTATCATCAACCCAAGAACTTAACTGGTGGAGTTGTAAAAAGTAACAAAATTTTAAGCAACCCACCCACTTTTTAACACTAAACAATTCAATGAACAAAAGAACCTCCTAATCTGGTCAAACCTAAATCAAATTGAGGAGAAGAAAATGGTTTGGCAGTGGAATGTTTAAAACGTGATGAAAATGTGATTCAACTACATGCATGGATGAGAAAATTGATTTCTTCAAAGGCATCTTAATTCTTAAGGAAATATATCATACCCAGACAGTGAATGTGGAGTGATTTTTGTTTAATCCCAATATTCATACCATATAAAAATCGTCCTCTTTTGTCATTAAAAGGAAGAAAAGCAAGAACATCAACAAGAAAAGCAAATATAAGTTACAATTGAGAGATAGATAGAATGATTGCATGCGTTAGTGTGAACGATAGCAGGGGAGAAGAAATATTGACGAACCTAGTGCGCGAATCAGACACAGATTGCGGAAAGTGAAGAAGGGCGAGTGGCACAGTGGAGCAGTTGAAATCTGTAGAAGGTCTTGTTTACTCTCACAGAAGAAAGCCCTAATTGGAAAAAAAAAATGATTCCTTCAACCTACACTACACACACATTCTTGGACACTGCAGACTACAGAAGAGGACGATTAGCTGCTGCGTTCCTTCATATTTCTGAGGCGATGTCGAACTGGATTCTCAATTTTATGTTTCTACTTCTTTTTTTTAACCTTAATTAATATTTATTTATTAGTCCGATGATGTAAAACTTTTTTTTTTTTACATTATATAAATTAATAAGTAATTTACATTTAGTTTCAAAATTTAAATATAATGCAATAATTAACCATTTGTTTTTACTAAGAATCTCAAAATTTATATTGAATAGTAAATCTGATTAGAAATTCCAATTTAATATTTTTATATTTTGTTGGTAGCAAAACATGCTAAATTTTAGAGAGTGGAATTAAAAAATATGAATATAAAATTATTTAATGAAGGGTAGAGAGCTGACTGTGCTAAAACTCCCAATAAATAAATGGCTACATACATTTACTTGGTAGTTGGGCCAAGGCCCAAAAATGATTTCTTGCGATCCAAAAATAGCCCTTTTGTATTCTGTATTTGTAAAATAGTGAAACCCTAGAATATAGTATCAATCAATAATACATAGAGCATTTATATAGTATAGTATAATATATCAACCACAATATAAAATAATTACCAACACAAGAATCAATACAATGAATAAGTTTTCAATCGCTGAAACCTACTTCAAAACCCCAACCAACTATATAAGATTCAAGAACCACCTCCCTTTCTTTTCTTTTCTTTTTCATTTATGCATTATGTTACTTACTGTGTTCTGTTCAATAAAAAAGGAGATACAAACAAAGCCCAACCAGAAAACCTCAACCGCCTAATTGTCATATTTATAAACTTGGCCATGAGTTTCTGATTACTGATATATGATATACGATATGTTTTCTTTTTCACAAGCTACTTTTATATATATCCATGCTTAATTTTGTGAGATGAGAAAATTCTTCTTCAACGTCAACGTCCAGTTTTAGCACGTTTCATTCCACTTGTATTGAAAGGTGAGACGCTACCACTTGGACCAGGGCTCTCTTCTCTGAAATTTGAATTTAGCATGGCCAGCTCACGTAATTGCTGCCGCTTTATAAAGTCCTGCGATTCATCCTATTCACACACAATAACAACCCAATCATCAACTCTCAAATCTTAACTGTCTTATAGTTAGAGGGTTAATGACGATGATCAGATGAGGAGATGCTTACCACTGGCTTAAGCAATTCTTCGATGATTTCCTGTGCTTGCCTCAGTCTGATATCTACAATGTTGGCAGGTAAATCAGCCTCAATTAGAATATGGAGTGGCTCGTTAAGGTGCTCATAGCCCGGTCGCCCCCTCAGCTTATCTTCCTGCAAATTAATTGACACACATATTATGTAATAGAATTACTTTTTTCCTTTACATATATTGCCAATTGACGACAATGAGCAAATTTGCATAATTGTTTATGGCACAAGCCAATGGCATTAACCACATAAAGGAAAGATATGTATCTCAAAGAACAGTTGCAATACCTTGTCAGGGTCCTTAATTGAACCTTTTCCTCTAATATAGACACGGCATCCTGTAGTGACTTCCACTCTTTTCAATGAATTTCCTCTTGGCCCCAGAAGCCGCCCAACAAAATTGAACTGTGAACACAAAATAGACATTAAAAGGACAGTCTTTGAGAAATGAGAATAAGCTATCACAGCTTATCCAAAAATCTTACAGTAGGATAGTTGTCCACAGGAATTTCTAGCCGCAATATTCTTTTGACAGTGTAAGAACTCGGACTTGCTGGTGCTCCTTGCCAGTCCATCGTCATTCCAGGTGGTCCACTAAACCTCTGCACCAAAATTAACAAAACAAACACAAGAATGGGACAATTTTAGCCATGTAATAATTTCAAAGTGCGTGCGTGCGTGATGACAAATTGGCCTCCACCTATCAAGAAAAAAGGATCTCTGAATATTCAATATGTTGCTTTCCAACAGTAAGCAAGCCAAAAATTTGATTAAGATGGCATGCATAGAGTTTGAACAGCAACAAAAGACGTTCTTTGTTTGTTAATATGCAGCTAATCAGGTTACAACGAGCTAATACATCAGGCTCGAATCTTGAGTAGCTTGACTTGCATACTATTTTAATTTTTCGCTTAGTTGAAAAATAGTGAAGTCCGAGTTGAGTACTTGCAACCTATCTCGTATACAAAGAGCACGGTCCTAAAAGCTACACAACAAGAAAGAGGAAAGAAAGAAAAACGATTTTTTCGGAGCATCCCTATATCAAAGAACCGGTTTTTCACAGTTAACCACCAAGCTGGATTTTTTATCCTGGTTTGACCATGCCACAGCCAGCTTTGGAATGAGATTGTTAGCCTCCCTAACATAAAAATACGGTTTGGATGAAATAGCACTAATTACATATACAGCAAATACTAGTAATACACTCTAAGCAGCCATAGAAACAGAGAGAGTAACGGCTGCTGATTATGTTTATTGAGGAAGTGTGCTGCATCACATCCATGGAATGATTTTTCTATAAATATACAGTAAAACGCAGAGGTATATATGATGAAGGACGTAGGATAAGAAAATAATTACCTCCTGAGGAGGTCCATTCCAGCCGGATAATCCAGTCCCAGCAATATTTGACAACAGGTTTGATGAAGCCATTGGGCTTGGACTTCTGTGCCTTAGTCTCTCAAGTTCCCCAAAGCTTTGATTTGGCATCATACCAGTAACCCGTAAGATCTCTGGAAAGATTGCAGAATTAAAATGTGAGAATGAATTATATATTTTACCAACAAGATACAATTTTCAAAGAAACAAGAACAAAGGGATATTTATACAATCAAGATATTACACTGACATTAATATTCTGAATAATAGAATTCGAAAATCCAATAATCAGACCACATACATTCTCAAACAAAGCAAACTGACAACAGTTTAATGCTATAACTAACATAAAGATACACTCTTTCTATTCAAAACGATAACTAACCAAATCATCACGCAAGTTCAAAAGATTAAGTATGTTATGAATCTTTTATCTATATATACGATGGAGAGAATCATTTACCAAATAAAGGGAATCCTTAGATGAGATTAAAGAAAAATGAGTATGTTATGTAGTAACTTTACATTTGCAGGAGTGTTGCAAGTAAATAAAAAATATTGTCTTTGTCACAACGACACATACAAACAGTATCAAGTATCAACCAGATGGATACGGACAGCTTAAAGGGGAATTATCCAATGTCATTTGATCTTATATGCAATCAGGACTGTCGGAAGCAACAAACTCAAAGAGGTCTGTGTTCCCGTTGATGAATAACAGCCCCAAGAACACTGAATGGTATCTAGAAGCTCAGATGCATCTGTGTAATGGAGTTTCAGTAGAGAAGATAAGCTCTAGGAAATAAAGCTCCACTTTTGCATATCAAGCCACATGGATGCATGTATAATTACAGCAGAAAAGAGTTTGCAGTAAGTGGCATATAGCATTTAGTGAAGTAACAGAATGTTTACAGATCCAAACAGTAGATATAAAAGCAAACAATCACCCAAAGTGTAGTTAAATAGTGACGAAAACCTAGATCCAATTCCTCGTAACAAAAAAAGAAGGGGGGGAAAGAATGAACCTTGATTCAAGAGTCTGGTACAGGTGGGAAGAACTTGCATGAAAGGGCCAAGCTTTTGATGCTCCGCCAACAGCTCTGACAAGTACTGATTACTAAGATTGGTTTTGAAAATGAATCAATCAGCAAACAAAAAGGGAGAAATAGCAAAATTCCTGGAAAGTAAATATTATTAGCAATAATAATAGGTTCGGATGAAACGAACCTGTCAAAATCGGGGTTGCTTCTAATCTGCGGCGAGGCAGCTCTCGCGGGGGAGAAGTTGTGATTGTAAAGACCCGACATCCTTTCTCCAACCAAATCTATCTTTGAGAAATTAGTACAACTCAGAGCTGACGAACAAAAAGATGTTGAATATGAAGAGGAGAAAGAGAAAAAGGGGAGAGAGAGAGAGAGAGAGAGAGACAGACGGAGAGACACAAACCTCTAGAAAGGGTTTGTGCAAAAACAAGGAAATAAGTGTGTGTGTGTGTGTGTGTGTGTGTGCAGTAGAAAGAAAGGTCTGTAACTTAGCAGAAAGGGAAAAATCAAATCGCGAATATATATATTTATTTATTCTTGATATCCTATAATAATAATAAGGTCAAAATATACAAAAAAATAAAAAATAAATAAAAAAATCTTGGCCCTCAGAAAGAAATGAGAAGTATCATCAGTAATTCAGTATCAATATATATATATATATATATATATATATATATATATATATATATATATATATAAAAGAGATAAAAAAGGAAAAGGAAAAAGAAAAGAAAGTGACGTCAAAGCTCAAATCATGGTTAACAAAAATGGTGGTGGCAGTAAAACTGGTAAATGAAAAATCATATGAGGATGGTTTTTTCGTGAGACACAGGTGGACACGTGTAGCAAGGTTCGATGTGGGACCCAATGTAAAAATGCCACCTCACCAATAGTAATTGACGTTGCCAGCCGAGTCTTAGCTGGAGTGACACAGTGGCCGACAGTCCACCAACGGCGCCGTTTGTGCCTTTCTTCCAGATGCTTTTATGTTTTCAGTTTAATTTTCTAGTTTAAAAATATTCCGATCATCTGAGTGTTTTTTGGTGGAAAAAAGAAACCAGCATTAGCATTGCATTGCATTACTTGCCTTTGAGAACAATTACAAACTAGTAAATTTCTTTAATTGTGTAATTACTAGGTATAATATTAGTCAAATATTGTTGACCAATATTTTTACGGTTTAAATCCGACATTGTAGTCCCAATTATTTTTGGCATGTTGTTGTGTTTTTCTTTTGTATTATTAATATTAATATTTTTTTTTTGTTCATGTTATGTGTCCTAGCTGTTTGACCAAATGCCAAAGAGAAATATGTGAAGCTCATTCCACACCAATAGTTGTTGTGTAGGTGAGATCTAAATTCTTATACAATATAAGAAAGAGGTGGGATGTTTGTATTTTTGTGGGTAAACGAGTCTAATGACATGTTTAGTATGAAATAAACTCGATTATGTATTCAATTTGTTGAACATATATATAAAACCGGTGGTATCGAAGCCCCTTTATATCGAAAGGTGAAAAAAGGTAGGAACAGATTTGAATGTTCAAAAAAGCGTAAATTGAAACAAGAAAATGATGGAGCACGAGACGGGACCATTTGATGAAATGGGAAATAAATGAGATAAAAGGAAAATGGGTTAATAAATGTGAAGTGAGTTAGAAAATAGGAAATGCTTTCTGAAAATGCAGGTGAGTGAGTGAGGGGCAATATTCTTCTTCTTCTTCTTCTTCTTCTTCTTCTTCTTCTTCTTCTTCTTCTTCTTCTTCTCTGTGTAACCACCACCACTAACTCATCATTTACTCAAATCTACCATCTCTGCTACCAAGTCATTGTTTGAGTTTAATTTGTTGGAACCACACACAATCTTGAGTATACTAATCCACCATTGACACCACCTAAATGACATTCAAACTTTTTATTCTTCATCAACAGCACAACAGATATCCTTCATCGCTGGTCAATAAATAAAATAAAAAAATAAAAAATCAATCTTGTCACAGCCTAAATGCAATGCAGCAGCACACAATTACAAATTGAATGGAACAAAGATGATGGTTTTGTGAGAGCTGGCAGATTATTATATACACCAATAACAACCTATTTTCCCCACATTACCAACAACGTAACCGTAACCATCCACTAACGAATCAACAAAACAATGGACTAATAATAAGACACCACGAAAATTAGGTGCAATCATCAGAGAAATTATAGAGAAAAAATAAATTAGGGCATGTATTCAGTTTCAAGGGCAGGTTGTGTGCGTGTTCCTGTAGCCGCTGGTGCTTTAGTTGTTCCAACAGTGGTCATGTGCAGAGCTTCCCCAACATCTGCAGCCCTCTCCATTTGATTCATTTCCTTCCTTTGCTTGTACTTTCTCCCCCAAACTACCAAACCTCCCAACACAACCAACAATGCAATTCCTCCTACCACTGAACCTACTATTTTCCACACCTTGGACTTATTCTTTTCATCATTAGGGGGTGGTGGTGGTGGTGGTGGTGGACTACGAGGAGGTGCCATCGGAATTGGTGGGGAAGAAGGGGCAATTGACTCTGCCACAATAGAGAAGTGCCCCTGTTTGAATGTTGTGCAAATGTTACCTGCTAATGCATTGCTCAAATTGACCGATCCATTCAAATCAAATGATACGCACTTGGCAACCAAACCATCAGGCACTCTTGTAATGCTTGAAAACTTGATAGATATGGGCTCACCGGATGCCTGGATATCGAGTTCGGGCAGATTCTTAGCCATCAAATCTGAAGCATCGTAAGCAAGAAGACCTAATACAGGGGCTAAATACATGTAACCTTGAAGAGGGGGGTAATACGTCATAGACCAATTGCCCAAGTTCTGGTAGACCAAAACAAGCCTTTCAACATAAGGCTGCTCCACCACACCCACGGGTATAACAAACTCTTGGTACATACTCACTCCCCTAGTCTTTAAGCTCCCACTTCTCAGCCTCATTGCTGATACCTGAATTCCAGTCAGATTGGAGGGGACGACCCCTTGGTAAACAACACCTGTTCTTGGACGTGCAAATGCCTGGTAAGCATGGTCTTGGAGAAGAGCATCTAATTCCCGTGCATCACTCGTAGAAGAAGTGGACAACTCAAGACTTTCCAGAACTGTCAATGAGCAGAAAAACCAGACCGAGAGTAGAAGCATCCTGAGACTTCCAGGAAGTCCCATGATGCTTGGCATGGCAATAATATCACAATGATCGATACAATGTCGGGTCAACAAGATGTGATATTTATATATATATATATATATATCCAATCAAAATGAAAAAAAGCAGGGGCAAAGTCAACCCCAACAGCAAAGTAAAGTGATTGTTGGGCTTGGGCGGGTATCCTCCTCAGATCCAGAACAACAGGCAAGTGGGCATCATGACTTGATGTATTTGAGAGAGATATACTTGGAAATCACACATAAATTTCCAAAACTAGCAGGAGAATCTAATTCCAGAAATCTTTAACCAACGGTAGCAGTAGTATCGCAAATATAGTTTAAAGTAAGTAAGAGGAAGCGAGAGAGAGGAAGGCTGGCTTTAAACCGTTGCAAAGCAGAAGCAGCAGCGATGTGTACTTTAACCCTTTAGAATCATTTCGTTGTAAAAGAAAAGAAACCCTCCCCTAAAAAGATTAAATTTTTATGTCCCTTGAGAATGAAGGGACAACTAAAAAGATGGGTAATTAGCCCTCGGGATATCAGAGAATGAGGGGAATGCAGATTTGTGATATGTGGGAGTGAAATGAAAGAATTAAGTAGAGAGTAATTTCAGAGTTTGTTCCTTACCCAACGCAGCGGCGGCTTTAAATCTAAAAGAAATGAGGGGGATTACTAATAATAGTATCAGTTGTTGTGTGAGAGCCGTACCCGTAGCAAACACCTCCGGAGATCGAGCCTTCTGTTTGGGAAGATAAGCATTTACTTATTTCCAAATTCCGAATCAATTAACGCTAAATGCGGTTGCATTAATTCCCCGAAAAATCCAATTAGTAATTGAAGGAAGGAAGATAAGGGGGAGAGAATGAAGATCAAGTGGTGGATACATTACAATTTACAGGGGAATGACTGACTGAGTGGGGAGAAAAAAGACAGCTACCATCAATCAAACAAAGAGAGAGAGAGAGAGAGAAGAAGAAGAGAGAGAGAGAGAGAGACAGTCAAGTGTGAATGTGTGATGATGTCAACTGTTAGCTTGCTCTGCTCTGCTCTAGTGTGAATGCTCTCATTTTCAATTAAAAAATCAAATGTGGGGCATAATTTAGAATTACAAATATATTTACTATCTTTAATTAATTAATTTAATATAAAGTAGTAGCAGTACTCCGTATATATATATATCATAAAAAATAAAAAACTATAAAGTCAGTCTTTAATGTGTTGGTGCAGTACATAGTGGGAGACTGGTCTGGTGTGTATCAACATTTCGCATTTAATTAACTAGTACAAATGTCGATATTACCCTCCAACTATTGCAGTGTAAAGACGAATCTGCCCATGTGTTATATGATCAAAGTCAAACCATGGCTAACCAATATTTAGTGTTTGCCATGATCTATATTAATCAGCTCCTAAAATCTATTAATAACTGGACTTTTTTTATTTTTTTGAGTAACTGGACATTACATTACATTAACATTTGTGTTTGAATATTTACTATATCATTGGTGTCTGTGATAGGTAACTCCAATTATTATTATTTTCAATTAATTCATATAATAGGCTTTTAATCAATATATATTCTCATTGTATGCTTATGCATTAAGCCATTAACTGCCGTCTCTTATTAGTTATTACAATAAAACAAAACTTGTCCGTGTTGGGCCATACATGCCTTAACTTCCTATTGGTTTTTCTTTTTCCTGTCAGAGGGCCCAATATGATTTCAGCCCAATACAATTGTGTACAACACACCATCCAATCCAACCATACAAATATGTCCTAAATAAGATTCTTATTATTAATAATCTTATTATTGGATACCTTTTTTTTTTTGTTGGTGTTATTCTATCAAGGATAAAAAAACTTTTAGTGACAAACATTCTTCTTTTTTTTTCTTTGTAAATTTAATGTATTATCTCAATAAGTTAATAATTATACTTTTCATTTTATTTAATGTATTTACACTTTTTAAATATAATATAATATATGAATGAAATAATAATAATGCAAAGTCTATAGTAGATGAGACGAATGAACTTCATATTTAATTAATTAAAAGGCCTTTTATTGTATCATATATATTTGCTGATTTAAGAAAATATTTAAAGTTTATTTTTCATTATATGGGATAATTTATTTAATAAAATACTAATAAGTTAATTTAGTAAATTGAAATGTAAATATGAGTAGGTTGAGAAGAATTTGGTGTGTCTATTTTTATGGCGTATTATATATATATATATATTATTAATATAGTAATAATTAAAGAGGAGGCGAGGCGACGAGGCAAGATTGTCCATTAGCTTTACATTTTCTCCCTTCTCGCTCGCGCTCTTCCCAAAGCCAAACGAAGAGGAGAGAGAGAGAGACAAGGGAAAAACGCGTATTACCCTGCCGTGAGTCTCACCGTCTGATTCTCCTCCCCCGCGGAGCCAATATTATTACCGGCGTCTGCCTCCCGACCTATTTGGATATGTCTTCCTCCCCCTTTTCCATTTAGGGTTCTTTCCCCAACAATGAATCCGCCTTCTTCTTTCTGAATATTAAACGATCATCCACGGATTTTCGATCTCCAAGGTACTTTTTTTCTTCTCCATCATTTCATTTCATTTCATGTTTTTTTTTTTTACCGTTTCCGTTTATATATTATATATTTCTATGTGGATGGATCATAATTTTATTTTTTGACCGTCGGATATTCCTATTCTTAACCAGGGTTAGGTTTAGGTTCAGGGCTTCCTCACGAATGGAAGCGTCCGGTTTAAATTCGGACGCTTACAGGAATTCTTCTTCTTCCACTAATCATTCCCGAAGACATGGAATGCATATTTCTGCCTCTAACATTCTTCGATCGCCATTGTCAACTTTATTAGAGTATACTGGAGTTCTCAGAACGAGGTCAAACCACTCAGAATCAGACATTTTACTGAATAGTGGAGCTAACCTTGGTTATCGAGATCACCACTTGAATGACTCTGCACCTTCCCCAGTTGCAAACAGCAGTGTCAGTGCTGGAGAGGTTTCAATTAGGATCATTGGTTCTGGTGAACACGAGAATGATAGGGTTGCCACCGTGTTGCATCCAGTTCCGACTGTTGAGCAGCTCAGTGTACAGTCCGAGTCTTATTCACGCCCAATTTCAAGGTCAGGGTCCGCAATTTCTGTCTTGTCCTCATTGGAGAGTCAGGTTGATTTGAGGAGTGATCGCGAGGCAGGAGAGGGAGTTACACATACGGTGAATCCAGGCAGTGATACAGATGCTGCTGACGGAGGTGGCGTCACTAACAGGGACTCATCATCTTCTTACCAGAGATATGATATACAGCAGGCGGCTCGGTGGATTGAGCAGGTCCTTCCTTTCTCTTTGCTTCTGTTGGTTGTGTTCATACGTCAGCACTTGCAAGGTACTTTTTCCTTGCTTCATCTTGCTTTCTACTTGTAGATTTTCATCTCATGCTCCAAAGTAGCTCATCCTAGCTTATGCAAGTGTATTAATCGGCAATTTTCGATTTATACGAATTGTATTTTCATTACTACCAGCACATTGAAGTTGTTAAACACTTTCATTTGCTCATGTAGCATGCGAGGTATCATAAATCTTTCCATATATCTTTTCTTGTTCCATGATGGAAGAAAACATTATCCTGTACTTCTTATTCGTCAATTAGCTATAAGAGAGGATTTATAAAAAAAATCACTATTCTTTCATTATATTTGATTGATTTATGTTAAAGAGAAATTCCATCATGCTTGTCTGATATCTTCCGTACAATATCCATCACTTGTAGCAAACAAGCCCTTTTTATCCCTACAATTAATATTTAGTTATGATGGGTTAAAGATCCTGTGAATTCTTGGTGTCAGTACTAATAGTCTGTGAGGTTCTAGGAAGATAAATTCAAAGAAATTCTTTATGCAAAGTTTAGATAAAACAGTTTTTTGACTTGTTGCTAGAGTTGCAGGGTTCTGTGCTACCATATGGATTGCTGCTTTCATGTTTAAATCGAATGATATAGTACGGAAGCAGACAGCACTTAAGGTAGTTGTTATACTCCTGCATCCTCTCTAATTATTTGAATCATCTCGAACGATGAAAACCTCCTTTGCTTTGAATGTAGTCAATCTTAACAAGGAACTGATTTTCCCTCTTCAGGGTGAGAGGAGAATATTTCTTCTCACTGGCATTGCCATTCTTTTCACACTTCACGTGGTTGGGATTTACTGGTGGTATCGGAATGATGATCTACTATATCCGTTGCTCATGCTGCCACCAAGAACTATACCACCTTTCTGGCATGCAATATTTATTATCATGGTTAATGGTCAGTTCTTTTCATTGAACACTGTGATTTCTGGGAGTAGTGATTTATTAGTGCATTGATCTAATTCGTCGAACATGGCTCTTATTCTCAGATACACTGGTCCGTCAGGCAGCGATGGTCTTTAAGTGCATGCTATTGATGTATTACAAAAACAGTAGGGGTCAAAACTATCGTAGGCAGGTATATGTCTATGCCACCTAATGATTCAATCACCATTTTGTCAGATTATGATATTCTTAGCTCTTACCTAATGAAGAGGTCTTTGTTTCACAGGGTCAAATGCTAACTTTAGTTGAGTACCTGCTTCTGCTTTATCGTGCACTACTGCCTGCCCCAGTTTGGTATCGTTTCTTTTTGAACAAAGAATATGGGAGCCTTTTCTCATCACTAATGACTGGACTGTACTTAACTTTCAAGCTTACATCTGTTGTTGAGAAGGTATCAATTTAGTTATGTTCTCATTAAGATTTCACTTTTGAAGTTTTCCTTTTTGTTTTGGATTTCTTATTTTTAGATATTGCAATATAAGTTGTTTTTTTACAACACCTTCAATTTTTGCTAAGTTGGTCGGTATTTTCAGGTCCAATCATTCATTACTGCTCTGAGAGCATTGTCTAGGAAAGACATCCATTATGGATGTTATGCTACATCTGAACAGGTATCCGTTTTTTTAAAGGACATTCTTTGGTTTAAGATATGCTTGATTGTTTTGTCTTTGAGCTGCTATTGAAGAACTGTATTGCTTAGAATCTTTATTAACTTGCCCAGTTGAAAGACATATATATATATGTATGTAGTCCTTGGGGAAGGAAGTTTCGTGATGTATGTTAGTCTGGCCATTAGCTTAAGTTCAACTTTAGAGCAGGAGGCAGATGCTTCGTAAAGTTGATCCTACCATTAAACCCCCTGTGAATGGATATGCCTAACATCACCTTTATATTTGCACATGGTGAGAATGCTGATACAGGTGTGCCTCAAACCCCTGTTCTGTTAGACAGCATTACAAGAACATTAGTATTTATGCAATTGGATTGGCAGTTATCTGATAAGATGAAGGTTGGCAAGATGCATGCGTGACGACAGGAAGATGTTCTTGTTTTCTTATGGATCTTGAAAGTTGTCCACCTGACAAGAGAATATATAATCCCTAATTGTCAGCTGCTGAATGACCAAAATCTGCAACCAATCCAAAAACCAAAAGATTGTATTCAGAACATCTTCAGTACACTGCTATCTATTTTACCGTGACATACTCATGCGCTGCTTTCTAGTCCGGCCCTTCCGTTCTTTCCAGTTGATTTTTACCCCATATTTGGTGCTACTGTTTTATGCTTCAAGTGGACTATCACTCTTATTGTATTGCTTCATTTATCTGCTTATGTTTTTTAATGGGCTCTCAAATTCCATGACGATTTTTTATCTAATTACGGTGGGTTACTCATTGGTTCTGTCTTGATGATTGCATAAATGTATTAGTTTTCTCCGATTTAAAGATAGCATATTGAATCCCTTGTGATGTAAGATAACATTTAATGATTCATTTATTTCCCTGTTTGTGATATTTGACATCTGAATATAGGTTCTGAGGGTTGTGTTATTGGACTTAATGCAGGTCGTTGCAGCAGGAGATCTTTGTGCCATTTGCCAAGAAAAAATGCATGCACCTGTCCTTCTACGGTGCAAGCACATATTTTGTGAGGACTGTGTGTCTGAGTGGTTGGTTTTCTTTTCCTGCATATGCCTTTTGTTTTGTCCAAGCAATTGTTAATATGTGTTTTGTTGTTGAGCAGTCGGCTATGTTTTTTTGGCAGGTTTGAGAGAGAACGGACTTGCCCTCTGTGCCGGGCATTGGTGAAACCGGCTGATCTTAGATCATTTGGTGATGGATCAACCAGTCTATTTTTTCAGTTATTTTAAATCCAGCAAGTTTTGTGCCCCCCAACATTCAGAGAAGCTCGGTCCCGATCATCCCAACATTTGCATAGCAAAATTTAACTGTAACTATTGTGTTTATTGTCACTGACATATGTAAACTGCAGTGGCTGATAGAAATGCACCATTCTGTTCATACATTGTAATCGAAAATGCCTCTCAAGGGTTCCTCTTACAGGAGTTTTACCATAGTGGCCAATGGTATATGCAAAACAACTTGTCATATATAAAAGCTTCTTTTTTTTTTTTAATTATTTTATTTATGTACTTGATAATATTTGTGTGGTTGGGTGGGCCTTTCCTTGTGTGAGTACATACTATTGAAAACACAATCAAATATACATGGAGTGGGAGATTGAGAGAAGATAGAACAGTTTTTAGGAAACTTACTAAAAATATATGATTTGATTTGGAAAGGATGGAAGGAGTCGTACTCAACAGTTTATAACGCAACACGACATGATTGTTATTGCTATGTATAAAGATAATTACAAAGTAGTAGAATTGAAAAAAGGGTTAAGTGGTAAGTTAGAAGAATCAAATGATTGTGATGGCGGGGTGGGGTTCGATTGGTTGAACAGGAAATGGTTAATAGTGGTGGGTATTGAATGAGCAGATTGGCGTGTGGAGTTGAATGGCGCCATGTCAACAAGTCCTCGTCCAGAAGACGGCCTATTCTTGTTGTTGGATGCATTCATCTGGTTTAGCCTTGCTTTTAAGAAGGGAAGATCAAAAGTGAATGGAGAGCTATTGTTCGACGGCAACGACAATGGAGCTAAGGTGCTGCTGTTGGTGGTGACGAGTGCACCAGCTGTAGCATTACTAGTGGTGGCTTCACTCTGAGGTCCATTCCGCCTGATCGGAACATCAATGCAACTCTTCTTATTTCTTGTTTTATATTCAGCAACACTATTATTCTCTAATGCTAGTATAACTGGTCGCACCCTCCGGTTGTTGCTATGCCTCTTCCTCTTCCTGCTGCTCGAACAATTCAAATCTGTATTAATCAATCCCCTGCTGATGCTGGTGTTTATCAGTGTAACATCGGTTTTCTCTTTCATATTATTATATTTTGTTTCTTCATTTGTCAAATCAATTATGTCTTTGGCCTTGTTAAGGAACGGATTGGTGGCAGGAGCAAAGTCACGGAATGTCTTAAATGGACTAGCACAATCGGCATCAAAAGCATCTTTTGTATTCTTGGATTCATGGTGCATTGCTTGTAGCTTCCTCTTTGCTACCATTTTTGCTATTGGTCCTAAACCTTTCACGTATGACATTAAGCTTTCTTTGTACCTGATATCTCTCTCATTCATCTGCCAACACAAATTTTAACTCTCGATTCATTATTATATCTGAATGAAAATAATTGACCCGTTAAGCTACAAAATGCAATAGTCGTGTACCAGAAACAGCTTCTTGTAACTGTTGTGATACATCCAACCAATAGGATCCTTTTCATATGTGGAAAGGCTATCTGCTGCCTGACTATTCGGTATTTTTCCATCTCTACCTCCTGCTAAGGGAACAACAAAAGTTATAAGATGTTTAAACTGCAGACTTTGTTATCAAACAAAAGTTTTTCTTAAAAAAAATTAAAAGAATACTTTGTTGCATTACCAGTGAAGATGTTTCGTGCATGATAATTATTGGTTGCTCCAGCACAAGAAAGGTTCTTGTTAGGAAATGTTGATGTTGAGGGAGAATGCAATAGAGTTCCCTTTAAAGAAACATCATCAGCGCGTAATTTGGCAATAGAATCCTTATTGTGGCTGCTCAGAGTTTTTCTCATAGACCTCCTTCTTGTCCCCGAAAATTCAGATACAAAGTTTTCAGGATCCGTCTTAAGGACATCAAATACCTTACTAGCTAGATCATGTATAGCACGACCCTATTTCACATCAATACATGGTTTAGCTTGATAATAACATAGTTTAGATTTTTCATGCAAGTAAGATTACAATACCTGTCTAAAGTAAACGGTGGTTGACGAATTGAAATGCATTGCATTTTCTGGTATCAGAAACACATCGTGCTGCAATATTGTTTGCCGGAATAAATTAGTCAGGTTCATTTAGAAGATATTACGGAGTGATGATACAAACCTCAAATTGTTCAAGAGTTTTGTACATCCCTTCGTGGAGTTTAGCCCTCATTGTCCCAAAATCCATAGGCTCCTTGATGATTTCACAGTAATCCTCAACCTTTTAACAATACTGTAGAGTTAGAAAGATTTTCAAAATATGAATTTGAGGAAAAAATAGAGAAAGAAACCTCATTTGGATCAACTGGTTCAGCAAATATTTCGTAAGTATCTCTCCTGAAACACAACAACACAGTAGCATTTTATTCAACACATACTTTTTTATATATATATATATATTTATATTTGACCCAAGAATAATATAATTTCATTTGTATTTTATATGTTGCAACTCATATAACTAACTGCACAATGAAATGATCCACCTTTGTAGAGTGTCGAGAACGAGCTCAAGTAAATGCTTGGCTGGCATTACTGATGTTTTGGCTGATAAATAATAACCAGAAACAAGATAGTGAGTCATAAACAATTAACCAAATTAGAGTAAATGATATGCAAGAAGGGAAAAATTGACAGAACCATGATTATTCATATGATGGTTTTGAGATTGTTTAGACACTCGAATAGATCTCCAGTCAACTGATATACATGACATCAATCAAAGAAAACAAGTTAGGATCATAAGCATGTAGGATGTGACAATGAATACACAAACACAAGGGTGGGTGGGGGTATAAAGAACTCACTGCAATCAAGTGAGTGATCCGATTCTCCTGCATCCACTAGTGGATTGTCTCTACCCTGCATGTATGTATGCAAATTAAGATAATGATCATTACACATGAAATTAACACTAATATTTTTTGTTAAAGAAAAAAGGCAGGCAATTAGTAATTAATTAATAGTACCTTCCAAACTTGCTTTGCTAATTTAGAGACAGAAGCAAAAGGTGAAACATGATTATTATTATTATTATCATCATAATCATCAAATTTCCTCTTCTTGTTGGTCTTCTTCTTGTTCTGTATTTGTTGTTTTGGGGGCTTACAAGCATCAAGTGCTGAGATTCTTGGGCTCCTCCTCATTCTTTGTCCATCTCTCCCCACTAACACTACTGACTTGTCTATTTTCCTGCTCATATTATATATACATATATATATTCACCACTACATTATATATATATCTAGCTACGTAGCTACTACCTAGTATAAACAAACAAACAAACAAATTATTTTCCTGCATATTCGAGTATCATATATTAGGTAGTACGTACCTGACCATTGAAGCAGATGCTGACGTGCGGGGAGACAGAAACGAAGACTAGTACGTATCAAACAAGAAAATAACGGAAAGTAATTAGGTAAATTAGAAATGTTGTGGGTGGAGATCATCCAGCAGCCATTGAAGCATATATATATATATATGCCTGACTGATATTGAGGACACACACAGGTAGACAAGTATGAAGGATTGAAATAAAATGTCATGAATATTGATATTGAGATCATGCAGATATAGTTATTATTGTTTTGTAAATGGACAAGAAATATCACAAATGATTTATTGCCATGTTAGTTCCATTCCCCATAGCCAGCATTCAATCTTGTTTATCATCGGTTAAGAATATTCACGAGGATGCAGTAGTAGTAATAGTAATGCAATTATGGAATGCTGATCATTATTGTGATGGATTGGGCAGTTTCTTTTCTATGATATGGTGTTAATGAATAAACCTAGCTAACCACGTGTGATTAATTGTATTTGTATGTCTGCACAGACACAGACTGAGTCAGCAAGTTCCAACAATAGTGTATTTTCTTTTCCTTATCTTATTCTCTGTGAACATAATGAATAAATAATAAGTAAACATCCCTTTGTTTTCTTTTTCCTTCAATTCATCACCACACCTTCAACTTTCAATTCTCTTATCGACAACCACCGCCGCAGCCCAGCTAATTGATTGTCTTCTTCAATTGTAATTGTAATTGGATTTAGATCTTGCTCCCCTCCGCTCCTTGGCTTTAATTCCAAAGAGTTGTCAAATCTTCATCTAACGATTGGGGTTTCATCTCTCTCCGGATATACCTAATTCAATTTAATCACTTGATTGAACGGCGTAAGTAAATACATTTTTATCAATTCTTCATGTACCAATTCCATTATCAAATGGATTTCTTTGTTTTTCTGTAATTATTACCATTCTTCGATTGATTTTAGTGCCCATATTCATATTGTATGGATCCAATTTGTTCAGATTATGAGTGTGCAGATCCATTAGTGGACTGGCCACAATCTACTTATTGTCTTTTTTAGATTTCCTGACTTTTCCTTTTGTTTGACATTTTCTTCTTTGCAGTTAGAGTTGTACATGGATGTCAATCCTGAAACTAGTTTGGAATTGGCGGGGTATTCCGAATCATCCAGAAATGGCTACATACTCGACAGTTTAGCTGTTAGTAACTCGTCCCTGCACGTCATTTCAGCCACGTGTGCTCTATGCCACAGAGCCCTTTCATCAGATAATGAGACAGTTGACCTTGAAACTATCAGCATATGCGGCGATTGCAAGTTTTTGTTGCTCGAGGATCTTGATACTGCCTCACCAGATGTGTTGTACCCAAGGACAATGCGTGTATCAAGAAGGAGGTATGACAGTTCTGAGTCGATTGAGAGCATGTTTTCTCAACAACTTTCGCAGATAATCAGTCTGGCAAGGCAAAGCCAGCCCATTTCTTTCGAGCATGATATTCAATCTGTAGATGGAGATGGTGCTGCAAGGCGTGGGTCTAGAAGATCGAGGATAGGGTTATCAGACAGTGAGAGTGATGCCTTTGATTCTCTGTATGGAGAGAATGATTCAAATCTAAGCTTTAGGAGATATAGATGGGCTTCACATGGAGAGGTTGATACCGTTGTTTCTTATAGAGGAGACTCGGATGATGACCACAGTTTCCTGGAAAATGAAAATTATGAAAGTGATACTGATATTGACCCAATGAATGCTGGTCTGTACCGATGGAACTCGGAAGAAGAGGATAGTGAACAGGAGGAAGCTGACATTGAAGTTGCAACTCAGCTTCATAGCTCGTCGAGATCGAATGTTGCTTACATCAATTGGCGTAGACATTTTTTGTCCCATGAAGTTGCGGGTACATTTGTACGCAGATTCCATGAGAGGGTACAGTCACATAGTGGGGACTTGTTAGCCAATTTGGAAGAGTCGGAGACGTACAATTATGTTGGAGAATCTGGAGATTACCTATATGGCAGAGGCTTCGGAGATATATTGGAGCATCTTGCTGAAAGTGAAAGTTCAAGGAGAGGGGCACCTCCTGCTTCCGTATCTTTTATAAGCAATATGCGATGCATGACCATTAACGAAGAGAAGCTGGACAATATGGTATGTGCAATCTGCAAAGAAACTTTCAGTGTTGGAATTGTTGTAAATGAGCTGCCCTGTTTTCATATGTACCACCCATGCTGCATATTGCCATGGTTAAGTGCGAGAAATACATGCCCGCTTTGCAGATACGAGCTTCCAACGGATGACAAGGATTACGAAGCAAGAAAAAGGAATGGGGACATGAACGAATACGAGACAATTGAGGATAACATTCAACACGAAACAAATGATGACGATAGTGATAGTAATTCTCAAGGGGATGAAACTTGTGAGATGGAACAAGTGGTAAATGCAGAAAGTGGCAGGGGAAAGAATAGATGGTTGATGATGGCAGCACCAGTTGTTGGTATGGTTGGGATTTCTCTGATGATGTGGTTTGGCAATTCTTCAGCAGCTGCAGCAGCTTATAGAAGAAGCCCAACGAGTGCTCACATTCACCGCCCCAAGGACAATGGCCAGAGGAGGTGGTGGTCTTCCTTTTTCTAACTAACTTTTGTTCAAACAATTCTTTTTTTTTTTTTTTTTTTTTTTTTTTTTTTGTGCTCTTGGGTATGTATCATCAATTTGTTTATGATTGTCAAGAGTTTTATACCCAATTAAGCAGGAGGCAGGTTAACTTTCTTGTACATGTTGATGTTGTGGCATCTCGAATAATATACTTTAAAATTTCTTTAGAGGATGAAGCTGCTGATGTTTTGTGTAAAATAAGTAAATATATAAGTTGATGTATTATTAGCAATGGAGTAGAGGAAATAAATGGGAATGATCTATATATATATATATATATATATATATATGCCGCCTTAATCTTTCTTAAGAGAGAAAAGAGCAGCTAATGTATTATTAGATGGGGAAGGTGTAAAATTAGAAAAGAATGTTCAAGTATAAAATGATCCAACCAGCCATTGAGAAAACAGCAAAAATATGAACCCAGAACAAGACGGCAGCAGCTTCCCTCCCACAACCTCGTAGATTGGCCACGGCACCTGAAAGCACAGAAGTGGGCATAGTGTGCTGGAGTAGGAGAACAAATCTGAACATTTTATCACCGGGGGGAAGGAAACCCAACTTATCAGCAAGCATAACAATGCCTAGTCCTGTTGGAGGTACTAACATCAATCTTGCAAATACAATCGCTGCTGTTGTACGTGCTCCCAGTTTTGAACTCCCTGGCCCTGCATTCATCATCATCCCCCCCACATACTCTCATTATTACATATCATTCACTCTAACAACTCATAATACAATATGTTTAATAAATATTATCCTTTCCATAGATTGCTTACCATCCACCAGATTGCCTCCTAAAGCTAATAATATGCACGGAATCATTGCTTCCCTGATATATATATACATATATAATGAAACTCTACTGTTAGAATTTATCAGTAATCATAATCATTTACCAAATATTTTATTCTAGCAAGGAAGAACATACCCAAGAATCATGCAGCTGTCCGTAAAAAAGTAGAGTGGAGCATCTGTAGTGAAGATTAATTTCTTCAAAAATGGAACACACCCTATAAATATTGCAAGGATCTGTAGAGGAAATAAATAAAAAAAAATAAAAAATCATAAGGATGGTGGCGATTCTTCCAAAAATGAACAGACACCGGGCTTTTTTCTACTAAATGCATTTCGTCCAATAAACAATCACTACTTCTTTAGAGTATTGAATGAGAGTAAACTTACAGAAGCAATGATTGGAGGCTGAATGATTTGTTTGAGCTTCAATTTTTCATATATATATTTCAAAAGATCTTTGACCTGCATGAGAAGACATCGATAGGTGGATGAGATCGTATGAGGAACAGTCACCAAGATGCAGTTGCACAATCAAAACTTAAAAAAAACTGCATGAATGATGAATTTAACCTTGTATCCCTTTTTTGTAGCATTTGAACGAGCTAGTGTAGCCTCATCTGATAGCAGGGGAAGTTGCTCAGGAGGAGTATCTTTATTAAGAAAGGAGCTAGTTGTTGTAGGAATCTTTATAGGCGCATCTCCGTCTTCAACATCAAATGTCCCACCATCAGGAGGAGCTAGCATTTGAAAAACATAGGTATACAGGACAATAGCACCAACCTGTCACAAAAACAAAATGTTGAGTAGCTATGCATGCCAAAAAGGGCTATTTTGATGCAAAACTGGTTCTTGTTCCATGGAGTTTTATATATACATATTACTGTTTGTTTTTAGATATGCACCAAGAATGATTTAATAGGATTTCCTGCATTTGGATTGAAGGGGGTTTAAAGGAAGGATTTCAAATCCATATTAATGATATTAATGAACTCACCCATTGGCCGAATGAGATGTATGCATTTCCGTCCTGGGAACATTTATTAGAGTCACCAAAAGGGTTTGATTTATCTCGACACAGAGCAGCAATCAAGACAAGTGGCACGTTTCCAATATTACCTAAAATCATGTTAAAAAAAAAATCAGCAGAAAACACAATAGAAAAGGTGTAGGTATAGTTATCCAGGCATAGGGTGGGTTGGAGTACTTGCCTATTCCAATCTGTATAATGGTAAACTTGAAGTAAGGGTAAGGAGGGCGGACAATGGATGCAACAATAAGACCTATAATGGAGCCTGTTATGGTGGCAAGAACAACATTGAAAGGAATGAACCACCTGTGTAAGTAAAACACAATTTAATTAAGCTACTAATTGTTGCTATTTTAATTTTAATAATTAAAAATAAACAGGTAGTAGTACCATTCAATCATCTTTTCCCAGGTTATGGCTTGTCCAAGTTGAGAAAATATCAAACAAGGAAGCAAAAGTGAGAAGACCAGCTGCATCGAGTCATACGAACAGACAGATGTGTGAATATAGACAGACAGACAGACATACAAACATAAACATCAAGATTTAAGAAGCTTACCCCATTAAGAAGCTTTCTCCCATTAGATGGCAAGATGTTAACGCACTTGGAGGCCATGAGAAAACCAAGGAAACATATTGTAAAAACCTTTGCAATTGGTAAAACAGCAATTTTGATGCTCCCAATCAGTGACTCTCCTCCCTTTTGGGGCTCTGTTAGGACCTCAACCAGTAACCTCTGTATCCTCTCCGCCATCTCTCCTTGCTTTCTTTCTTTCTTTCTTTCTTATAGACAACAATCCTCAAACCAGAATTTCGAATAAATCCAATAATTGAAGATCTAAGAAAGAAATTCAAACTATCACCACCAGGTTACACGAAACATAAGAAAATTAGCGAACAAGGAAATACAAAATAGAAAGAACAAGTTACCGATCAGGGAATTGAAGGCGGCCGTTGATATTCCAATTGAGGGGTCGACGACGGTGCTGGTGCCTGGTGGTGGTGGTGCCTCTATATAGCAATAATAAATTAATAATAATGATAAATAATAATTTCTGTTGTTGAAAAAGAAGAGGTACTTCTTAGGTAGGTAGAAAATAATATATATGAATTATAGGTCCGAGTTTGTAGGAAAGATAATAACGTAAAATTGTTCTGTAATGTAACTCTTCTATTCCAGATAGGAGAGGGGAAGAGAGAGAGAGAGAGAGAAGAGAGTCCATACTTGAGTGAACAAGAAACTTCCGTGTGGGACCTTTTCCCTTTCCACACATCTGCTGCCATGTTTCAACTTTCTCTTTCTCATCCCATTTTTCTCTTTCAAACGGTTATTCATTATTATTCTTTTATAATAATTGTACCACTTAATTATTTATTTATACCCAATAAATATCGTTTGTTTGTATTTACATACTTTATCTTTCTTCACAAAATAATGAAAGATACCCAACTCCATAAGACACATGTATAATAATAATGTTGACAGAAATTGCCATATGTGTAAGTAGTTGTTTATCAATATTAATGTTGAGTCCACCCAAATATTTTAATACGTTCTATCATAATCAAATGATTCATTATCAATTATCAATTGTTTGATTACGTACACTAACCCTTTATTACCGCATTAAAACACGCTATTGCCAAGATAAATCAAACATTTTGGTGACTCTAATTAGAAAAAAACATGTAACGTTATCAAATTGCCTAAGCTCATGAGCTAATGCTTTCGTTGAGTTTCATTGTTTCACTTTAAAAAGAGGCTTCATTTATTTTAGATGGAAGATATAGAATAAAGATTGTAAAATAGTCATAATTAGTTGATCCGCCGAAAAATACCTCGATTGGATGGGTTCTTTCACTACTATTGAATGGAATGAGTGGAGGTTCAATATTCTCAACTGGGATCGAGCTAGTACAAAAAGGAAGCAAGTTGACGCCGGAGTTAACACTCTAAATCAACTTCTACATTGTATGTAAATAACATTATCTGCCATATGCTTATATCATTTTCCCCCGGACCTCAAGAGTTCCCCAAAACCGAGGCGAGCACATTCCTATAACCAATTCCGTCGCCCCAAAACCGAGGCGAGCGGATGCCTATACTCAATTCCATCGCTATCCTCACTATTAGCATATATATATTATATATTACGTATATATTATTATTTTTATTTATTATAGTTACCTTATGTAATAGGTTAGCGTTTCCTACATGTAACTATATATATATGATTAATATATGTGAGAGACATAATTCTCTCTTTCTCCACTCTATTTCTCCTGTATAGTATCACACACTAAGTTAACCTAGCCGTCACCACCTCTCTCCCCTTCTCAGCCACCGTCGCCTATCTTCTCCATGGCCGGTGACGAAGCTCCTTCTTCTACCGCCCCTCTCAATCATTTCCACCTTGCTCATGCCATCTCCAATATTAAATCTCTCATCCCCGTTATCCTAGATCTGAAAAATCCCATCTATCAAAAGTGGAGCCATTTTTTCACAATTACCGTCGGTCGTTTCTGCCTCTCCGATATCTTCTCCATGGAAAACCCCGACCCGATTAAATTTCAGCCGATGAATGGCAACGCGCCGACTATCTTCTCCAATCTTGAATCTACGGCACCATCTCCGACGATTGGTCTAACATGGTTCTCTCCAAAACCTCCACCACCAGTGGTCTATGGACCGCCATCTCTTCTCTATTCACCGATAATAGAGATTATCGGGCCATTCAACTTGAAGAAAAATTCAAGTCCCTCAAGAAAGGCACTCTCTCCATTCACGATTATTGCCAAATAGTCAAAACCACGGCGGACAGCTTGGCCAATGTCGGAAATCCAATCTCCGACAAATAACTCGTCCTACAAACCCTACACGGCCTTCCGAAAAATTACGGGACCGTCGCCAATCTCATCTCCTTTCAGAATCCCCTTCCCACTTTTCTACAGATTCGATCCCTTTTTCATATGGAAGAAACCAGACTTGCTGAACCTGAACAGACTGCTGCTGTTTTCTATGCCTCCAACGCGAATTGTCCATCCAACAGTTGCAACAGTTCCCGCGAAGGGGATAAGGCTTGAGGGGCTGGAAAGAGAGGAAACTCTCAAGAACAAAAGAAGAAGTTAGAGGGAAAGCAAGAAGGAAATATTCACAGGGTTTGTGAGATTTGGGGTTGGGAAACAAGAGAGAAACAGTGAGGTATACACAGGGGAGTGTCAATACAGCTTAGGTGAAATAGTTGTTGAGAGCTTGAGAGTAATCACTATCTTGTAATCTGTAACCTTCTTGATCTAGTGGATTTTGTTATCTCTGCACAGTGGATGTAGGCCTGTGGTGATACAGGTTGAACCACTTTAAATATTGAAACACGTGAATTAATTTCACAATGTGTTTTTAACTCTTCTTAACTCTAAACTAAATCTTAGTTAGTGGGCTAAGTGGGGTTAAGTAATGCTTAGTGGATTTAATTATGGAATTTATCTTAACTTCCAAACTAACCCACTAACCCATTATCTTGAGTGCTCTTGTGGTTGGTTTTCTTGCAGATCATGGGCTGAGAAGTGGAAGCTTGGCAAGTCTATAAATACCCAACTCAAGACTCAAGATTCGTACGGATTTCGAGGAAAACAAAAATAGAGCTGAAGTTTTAATCTCGAGAATTTTAGTGTGTTTTCTAGGATCTGTTGTACGTACTCTTTATGAGTACATTCTTTGAAATCTAGAATTTTTAATATTTTTCTTTTAGTATCTAGATTTGGTTGTAAGAGTGATCTTGAAAAAGATTCATTCATAAGGAAGAAGTTTTCGCACTCTTCTGTTTGTATTCTTAGAATACTGTTTTTAATATATTTTTCCGTCCTGTAAAGGGCAAGTTCACAAGTCTTTACTTGTGAACATTTTTAATTCTGAGCATTGTCTTTTAATCTTTATATTTCCGCTGCATGTTGTCTCAAGTGTCATAACATTTTAGATAACATCTCTGTATAATACGAATTCGGGACCATAAATTTTTTTCAATTGGCATCAAGAGCCAACACTTGACGTATACTAAGTGTTTGTTCCTATTTTTCTTACAGAAACGAATTCGTGATGGATACTCAGATGACTACTTCTATGCGACCTCCTGTACTTGATGGCACGAACTACACCTACTGGAAAGTCAAGATGAGGGCGTACATCAAAGCCATTGATGAAAGAGCATGGAGATCTATTCTCACTGGATGGAAGCCACCAACTATCACAGATGTGGACGGAGATGTTTTTCCAACTCCAGAATTACGGTGGACACCAGACGATCTATCAAATGCTAACCAAAACTCAAAGGCGTTAAATGCAATTTTTAATTCAGTAGATTTAACAATGTTTAAATTAATCTCTGTATGCACTTCTGCAAAGGATGCTTGGGAAATTCTTCAGCTACATTGTGAGGGATCAGATAGTGTCAAAAGAACCAAGCTCAGATTACTCTCTTCCAAATTTGAGAGACTAAGAATGGAGGAAACTGAAACAATTTCTCAGTACAATGAGAAGTTGATTGATTTGGCTAATGAATTTCAATCCTTAGGTGGTCCCTTGAGCAACGAGACACTAGTGAATAAGGTATTGAGAACTCTTCCAGAAAGGTTCAGCATGACAGTTACTGCTATTGAGGAGGCTAAAGATACATCATCTCTACGGCTGGACGAGTTAATTGGTAGTCTCAAGTCCAGAGAAATGAACTTCGAAGATCAAAGAAAGGAGAAAGGAAAGGCTATCTCAAATGCACTCCAGGCAGAATTAGAAAAGGAAGATGTTGCTCCGGAATTTGATGATGATGCAGAAGAATGCCTTAACAATGTGGCATTTCAGATTCAGAAGTTCAATAGGGCGAACAGACGAAGTGGAATCAAGCCCAGACAGTTATTTCCAGAAGGGTCTCCACAAAATCGACAAACTCAGCCCCGGAACAGATCTATTCCACAGAGAACATTTCCTCAAACACCTTCTCAAAACAATTTAAAAAATTCTTCTTTTATTCGTACAAATTCTGAACCACCTAACTTAGATCACATTAAATGCAGGGCCTGTTCAGGATTTGGACATTATGCTAATGAATGTGCAAATACCTTGAGAAGGAGAGGAATGAGTTTGATTTGTGCTGTCAGTGATGAGGAGGAAGAACAACCTGAACAGACAGAGGAACAACAATCCTCTAAACAAGCTCTTTCTGTCAGATATCTCACTGAAAGTTTCTCTGAAACAGAATCCCAAGGAGTCTCTCTGGATGCTGCAACACTTTCTGAAACACTTTCAGTTTGTGAATTAAATACTGATCATTATACATGTTTAAACTCTATTTCTTTAAATACAGCAGAATCCAGCATTGAAGCAGCTAATGATGAGGAAGAAATGTGTAAGAAACTAGCTCTTGACCTGGAGAAGAAGACTCAAGCTCTAGATGCAGCCAACAAGGAAAATTCCTCCCTCAAAGAAACAATCACACATTTGGAGGTTGGAATCACCAAGAAGGATCTTGAACTGGCAAAGGTGAAAGAAGAACTCAAAAAGGCAACTCTAGCAATCAAGAGGATGAACACTGGCACAACTAAACTCGAAGAGATTGTGTCAATGGAAAAGCACTACAAACATGAAGGGCTAGGGTTCAAAAAACAAATGAAGCCAGTAAAAAAGAAAGAAATGGTCTTTGTAAAAGAAAAGGGTGCAAACAGAAAGGATTGCAGGAAGTCCACAGTCACCACTCCAGATTCCAGAATAAGAGGTTATGTTTGTCATTACTGTTTCTCACCAGGGCACATTCGTCCATTTTGTGAAAAACTCAGCAATGACAAAATGTTGTATAAAATAAGCCACATCACTTCAAGGAACACCTCAAAGAAAAAGGTAGAATTTACCAAAAAGGAGTGTAAAATATGGACTCCCAAAGGTAAACTTTTGTGCAAGGCAGTATACACCTCTTTAAATGCTAACATTTCAGGTTCATGGTACTTTGACAGTGGATGCTCTAGACACATGACTGGAACAAAGGAATTTCTATCAAACTACCACACACTTAATGGAGGACGTGTAACCTATGGAGGAGGAGCTAAAGGCAAAGTGGTTGGACGTGGAACACTCAGTATTGAGGGGCTTCCAAAACTCTCAAATGTTTTACACGTTGAAGGATTGGGGTCAAACCTCATCAGTATCAGTCAATTGTGTGATGATGATCTACG